CAAAGCCTTCGACAGAGTCCCCCACGAAAGACTAATTAGAAAGGTAGAAGCAAAGGTGACATCCTTAAATGGATTAGGGCGTGGTTACAGGACAGGAAACAGCGAGTGAGCTTTATCGGCACTAAGTCACATTGGAGCATTTTCACAAGTGGAGTTCCCCAAGGCTCAGTACTTGGACCATTATTATTTATTATATACATAAACGACATAGATATCGGCATAGACAGCAACATAAGTAAATTTGCTGATGACACTAAAATAGGACGTGTTATCAAATCGGACGAGGACTCGGCAAAACTACAGGAAGATCTAAACAAATTTTTCGAATGGTCTGAAAAATAGCAGATGAAATTCAACGTCGACAAATGTAAAGTACTCAGTATAGGAGATGTAAACAGGGAAACCAGATACCAGATGAACAACGATGCCATAGGGAAATCCGACTGCGAGAGAGATTTAGGAGTAATGATAAGTAGGAACCTTAAGCCAAGTAAACAATGTGTTTTTGCTCGTAACAAAGCTAATAAAGTACTTGGGTTCATACAAAGGAGTGTTAGTTACAAGACTAGCGAGGTCATCCTAAAACTGTATCTTGCTCTTGTGAGACCACACCTGGATTATGCAGTTCAGTTCTGGTCACCGTATTACAGAATGGATATAGAATCCTTGGAAAGAATTCAGAGGAGAATGACAAGACTAATCCCGGGCATTAGGAACCTTGAGTATAGAGACAGGTTAAAGCATCTTAATTTGCACTCCCTTGAGAGACGTAGAGCGAGGGGCGACCTGATAGAGGTGTATAAGTGGAAGGCAGGGCTAAACAAAGGGGACATTACAAAGGGTACTCAAACTATCCAACCAGGAGCGAACTCGTAACAATGGTTTTAAATTAGACAAATTTAGATTTAGGCGCGAAATAGGTAAACACTGGTTTGGAAACAGAGTAGTGGATGAATGGGACAAGTTACCAAATATCATCATTAACTCGAATAAGCTGAATTGCTTCAAACATAGGTTGGATGCCTATATGAGCAATAGGGGTTGGGTGTAAACGGGACTGCCCAGTATGGGCCAATAGGCCCGCTGCAGTTTCCTCCATTCTTATGTTCTTATGTTAACACCTGGAACTCTTAGAGGAGGTGTTCCGAAGGTTACAACAAAAAAACATGACCGTGAAACCAAGCAAGTGCGAGATTGGTCAGGCTGCAGTACAGTTCCTCGGGCACACTGTCGGCGGAGGACGCTGCACCTGTCAGAATGAGAAGATCAAAAAGGTCCAAGATGCACCACGGCCCACTACAAAAAAATAAGTGAGGTCATTTCTGGGCCTCGTAGGGTACTACCGGAACTTCATCCCAAACTTTGCCGTGGTGGCTCTTCCCTTATCCAACCTGCTCAAGAAACATGCATCTAACAAGGTGCAATGGGGATCTGAACAAGAGGATTCTTTCAGTGCCCTCAAGAACCTGCTATGCATGCAACCCATCCTTCAACTGGTGAGGAAGGAAGAGCCTTTCATCCTCCGGACCGATGCTTCACAGGATGGGGTTGGCACAGTGCTACTACAAGAGGCAGATGGCGAGGTTTTTCCAGTTGCGTATCACAGTCGGAAGTTGAAACCTGCGGAGAGGAATTACAGCACGGTTGAGAAGGAACTTTTGGCAGTGGTGGAAGGCATCAAGAAGTACTACTACTATCTCTATGGAGGTGAGTTTATGTTGGAGACAGACCACATGCCGCTCACCAGTCTCCGACCATCTAAGAATGCAAATGCTCGTCTGATGCGGTGGGCACTGTATCTCCAGCAGTTCAACTTCGTCCTCTGGTACATCAAGGGCAGCCTGAATGTGGGGGCTGACCTCCTATCTCGACTTGTGGCGGAACCAGAGCAACTGATTGAGAGGTCACCTTCCCAAATGAGTGTGGAGTTGGTCTAGACTCCAGTCGACTCGAGCCTCCAGCGTCTGGCGGCTCGTCAAATGTTATGTATAATTTTCTCACACCTTTCTGCACTTGAGAACATAACACAACACCTGTGCCACCTAAACAATGTCTGCATACCCTACACCACACAACACGTTGCTCTAATGTAAATGTAGCGTGCTTCCACTTAGCATGAACTATTGCTCGGGAATTGTCACCCTCGCCGCGGAGTTTTCCTCCAGCCAGAAGAACTAAAGTAAATGTTGAGGTTTTCCCTCAGTGGCGATTGGTGACTACATTCCGTTGCAGTGTTAGTGTTACACGCACACCACAGTGTGAATGTCGAATTGTGTGTCTGGGCTAGGCATTCTCTTGATTGTATACAGGTGCTGAAAATTTATTCTCCAAGAGAAAAATTTTTCTTAGTAGGGGCGATTGTCATGGGTTGCGTTGGGCCTCCCGCACAACCCATCCCAAATGTTTGTTTACGGTAGAGATAAGGTAACTGGCCAGCCATAACTGGGACATGTTTTCAATTAGTGGTATGTTAGCCAGCCGATAGGGGGGGCAGGTCAGTGAGACAGTGGTGTACTGTTCATCACTTCACGCCTCAAAAAACCAATTTAGCCAGTGGGCTTTAGACCTTGGGTTAGAGAAGACCTCCTGCTCCGCGGACTTAAGAATAGGGGCCATACAGTCCTACCAGTGCTACGGGTCTGTGTGTGCAAATCCCCGAGATTTTTGTTAAGTCCAGCGACAAGTTAACACATACTGTAAAGGAAGTGATCAATGGTGAGGACCTGTTTGCTACAAGAGCACTCCAGGCCGGCCTAATAGATCTAAACGATTAATTCTCCAGGTTGACAAACTCTCCCTTATAACTTACGGTACTGTGGCGTGAATGTGAGTGACTGACCTATCCATGCAAATTATGTCCAGTGTATGGAATTGAGCCAAATAAAAGTAAGTGCAATCATCTGCCCGTATCTGTGATCCCTCTATTATTATTATTACCAAGGGTAATGACTGATTGGTTATGAAAAAGTATAACCAATAACTTAGATGGATGTTGGAAGTTAATGGAATTCATTAAATCATCATTTATCAAGTACACAACGCATTGAATGCCGGAAGCAGAGTGAATTTCGACGTAGTGATACACCATAATCTCCTGGGTGAGTAACGAGTGTGAAGGTGTAGTGGATTTCTCCCCTACAAACGCTCGTCACTGAGTAGCCAACCCTGCGAATTCCCCAGTGTATGCCTCGTGGTCTAGGTCAACCAGCGCCGCCTTACATGACGGAGGTCAACTATTAAGCCACGCCGACCTCCGATTATAAAAGACCTGACCTCGTGGTGACCACTCTCTCTTTTCTACCTACACCAACCAGCAAGCAACACCTCCTCCTCCTCCTCCTCCGCCGCTGCCTGGCGGCCCTCGCTCCCGCCGGCGAGCATGGCGACCCACAAGCTGGTCCTCCTCTGAGCACCCTCACCAACCAGCTCTCTCTACTCAACGCTTGTAACCATGCTGCCTTCCCAGCACCAAGCTGCAATGTACATCCAATACAACATGTATACAGAGAGCACATTGTGAGTTTCCTTTCTCCATCCCATCCTGAGTGTGAACCAAACAACTCGTACTCAACAAATGGTGACCCCCGGACATTCGCACTCACACAGGATGGAGGAGAAACCAATCACGCTCCCAGTCTTCAAGCAACATGGAAGACTGGCTTATCCACACAGAGGCAGCTCTCATCGGCTCTACAGCTACTGTCTCTACACCACAGGTTAGACACCCTAGAGCAGCACTGCTTCTCTAAGCAGACACCATCTCCTCTTCCTGCCCCAAGCACCACGTCCTACCGACCCTAACACACTCGTCCTGCCTCAGACGCCGCCTTGGCCCAGCAGTACCCCCTGCTGAGCCCACACACCCCAGCAGGCACATCTGAGGACTCTGTACCTGCCGTGAGGGAAGCACAACATCCATCGCCTCCACACACCCTTTTTCTCCCTCTCTACTCCCACAGATATAGTGTATCTAGACAGTTGTCTTCTCTAGCGGCCGGCTCATCCACGCCCTCGCCGTTTTGGCTCTCATGTGGCATGCACGGCCCGTTCTGCCTCACATGTGCCATACAACCCTGCAGACAACAAGTCTCCTACACCGCCTGGAGGAAAGGGGGAGTATTGTAGTGGATTTCTCCCCTACAAACGCTCGTCGCTGAGTAGCCGACCCTGCGAATTCCCCAGTGTATGCCTCGTGGTCTAGGTCAACCAGCGCCGCCTTACATGACGGAGGTCAACTATTAAGCCACGCCGACCTCCGCTATAAAAGACCTGACCTCGTGGTGACCTCTCTCTTTCTTCTAGCTACAGCCGCAGCGAGCAACACCTCCTCCTCCTCCTCCTGCCTGGCGGTCCTCGCTCCCGCCGGCGAGCATGGCGACCCACAAGCTGTCCTTCTCTGAGCATCCTCACCAACCAGCTCTCTCTACATCACGCTTGTAACCATGCTGCCTTCCCAGCACCAAGCTGCACTGTACATCCAATACAACATGTATAAAGAGAGCACCTTGTGAGTTTCCTTTCTCCATCCCATCCTGAGAGAGAACAAACATCACAACCCGTACGCCACAAAGGTATCCGAGTTCTACCTTGAGCAATTGTTTTAAGCAGGAGCGCCCCTGATCATGGCGTCAGCAAATAAACGAGTTAAAAGGTAAACAGCCATCAGTATTGTAATCTACTATTCGCTTTTTATTATTTGTGGGATATAAATTATTGTATATGCTTTAAGTATATTTAGACAAAATTGTCCAGCATATGCCGTAATCGTGGATTTTCTTTAACATTGTTTATTTAGCCTCGTTGCCTAGTAACCAGAGGACGCTTTTTTTATCAAATTGGCTTTCTAGTCATAATTGTTTAGATGCCTGCACTCGCTTTGTATATTGTCAATAAATCTGTACTGTATATTTAATCCTTTAAAACGTGGAAGTTTTTTTGATGATTTACTTAATTAATGTATAACTGTCAGATATTAACATGAGCCTTGTGTTGCCCCGGGCGTCCACAGATGGCAGCAGTGGTCAGTGTTCAAGAGACCGCGGCACGAGGACTACACTAACAAGGACTTTTATAGCTTTTAACTGTGAATAGATATGAAGATTGAAGAAGTAAAGAGTACGACCAAGACACAGCGAATTAATGCTCATTCTCACGTGAAAGGTTTAGGGTTGAGAGAAGATGGGACAGCGGAACCCTCATCTGCAGGCCTGGTGGGTCAGGTCCAGGCCAGAGAGGTGGGTCTTTTTATTCTCTCCACGCCACTGTTGTAGGTATGGTAAATGTGTTGATAAGTGGGGGAGTTTTTTTTACAAGTTGCCCATAATGTCCCACAATATATTTGGGTCCAGTTTGGTATTTCTCCATTTTAACACCTAAGTCACATATAACAATACTAATGGCTGTACCACTTACCTTAGGCAATTCTAAGCAACTTTTCGGGAAAGGTGTAGTTTGTAGAAATCGTTGAAATTTTGTCTACACTAATAGCATCCTAATCAACACAGACATGGAAACGACGACACATAGAACCCGGTCCGACTAATTACCCAAATATAGCCAAATGTAGCCGCAGTGAAGTCAAATAATGGTCCTAGATGAATAAATCGGACTGCTAATCACTTCTCGACTAGTATTTGGTGTCAGAAAGTCACAAAAAATTGGAAAACGTACTTTAATCTGAGTTGTGTTAGGTTAGGTTAGGTTAGGTACGGTACATGCACTTGATCTATTAACTCAGATTAAATTAAGTTTACCAATTTTTTGTGACTTCGTGACACCAAATACTAGTCGAGGTTAGGTTAGGTTTGGTACATGCACGCGATCTATTAACTCAGATTCCAGCTATATTTGGCTACAGTTGGGTAATTAGTCGGGCCCCATAGAACCTATGGGTATGTTAGGTCACGTTTTATTAGGTTCTATGCATTATCGTGTTAATTTATGTGTTAAATAACTTGCCTTAATATTGAGGGATTCAGCGAGGTAAACAACAAAAATGGCGCCGGGAGAATTGTGAAGCAGGATAGAGTAAATAAAAAAAAAAAAAAAATATATATATATATATATATATATATATATATATATATATATATATATATATATATATATATATATATATATATATATATATATATATATATATATATATATATATATATAGAAATACTTAAAATTGTACTAGAAAGTCGTCGTTTCTTTTAATATACTTAAAATCATCAAAACAAGTACAGCAAAAATAAAGTAAACCAACAAACTCCTTCTGGTGTTAGCCCTAAACTACACCTTTACCAACTTTTCTTCTATAAACATCCGCTCGGTTACCTTTGAAGCTTAAAATTGTGTTTTTCGTATGGTCTTTAGTGTGAATCATTTGATTCTAATATCCATTTCTGTTGCAAATCACTTGTTTTTGCATGATTACCCCACCCAAAAAATCCGCTTTCCTACCGGTCCCTCATGATTGTCAGGGTGTTGGACAACTCGTACGCAAGCAAATCGTACCCATCAGAACATGTCAACTCTTGCCCAATTACGAGATAACTCGTACCCAATTTGCAAGACAGTTCGTACCTATATATATTTTAAAGCCTGCATTACATTTCTCTATTTCACTGCACTTTCCTACAAGATTTACATAATTTTTTTGTAATCATAGATAGAGCTAAAATGCATGGTATATACTGTATACTAATAGGTATAGATTATATCTTGAATTGGGTGTAAGTGATCTTGGGTACGACTTATCTCGTGAGTTGGGTTCGATTTATCTTGGGTACGAGTTGTCTTGGGTACGAGATGACCCTAACCCTGATTGTCAGGGGGGGGAGGAGGTCATAATTTGTTGACAAGTGATTTCCGACAAGTGGATGTTAGAATCAAAGTTTTAAGATTCAAAGAGAGTTGGGTGTTAATCAAGAAATTTACCCCCAGTATATCTCATCATTTCTAACAACTTTTCTGAGCAACGTTTCCGTCGCAAATGATTCGTTTTTTAGAAAATCGCAGTAATTTGTTAGGGAGACATCAAATATTTTCTAAGTCCAGTGTTGATGTTACCTGTGTCCTCAGAGAGCTTGTTAGGTTAGGTCAGTTGCTTCAATATGAGCTCTGTTGGGGGGGGGAGTCCTACAGGCAGAGCCCCCATTGGTTAGGTAATATATACAATGGTCCCTCGGTTAATGAACACAATTCGTTCCACAAAGTCATTCGTTTACCAAAAATTTCATTAACCGAATCCATTGTTTCTATGGGATAATGGGTAATTGGTTCCAGCTCACTGAAAAGTACATACAGGTTGACAATCCCTTATCCGAAATCCTTGGGGCCAGAGGAATATCGGATTTCGGAATTTTTCGGTTTTCAGAATGGTTAGATTTTTTTTTTTTTTTTAATGTGTGTATTAGCCCACCTGGGCATATATCACTGACCCACATCAGGGGGCCTGGGGGGGGGGAATATAATAAAAATTATAATAATAATAATTCATAGGTCTAGGTCGTGTTTCTCACTTTTGATCTTTTTTTCATTCTTGTATTTCTTTATTATTATTATTATTTTATTATTATAGTACTCCTGTATTATTGTTATTTTTATTAATTTTATTATTATATATTATTATTATTAATGTTATCATATTATTTTATTTTGGTGTATTTTTATAAAAAATTTATTTACGTACTTTGAATAATTATTATTACTATTATTATTACTATTATTACTATTACATTTTCGCCCCCAGGCCTGATGTGGGTCAGTGATCTATGCCCAGGTGGGCTAATCCTGTTTAAAAAAGAAAAAAAAAAAAACTTTCGATTTTCAGAGCGTTTCGGTTTTCGGAATTTTGGATAAAGGGTTGTCAACCTGTACAAAGTAAAAAAAAATGCAGTAAAGTACACTTACTTTGAGGTGTGTATGTAGAAGGTTCCTGGTTGATGATGATGATGGGAATTAGAAGTAGGGGTGGAGGAGGAGGGAGAAGGGAGAAATCACCTTTCAGGGGACCCATGCTTGATGCAGTCATTTCACCAATAAAATTTAAAGTTCACTAGGTGTAATTCAAGATTATTTTATTTAAATCAACACTGCACTGTGCTATATATTATCAATATATTAACTAAATTTCAGAATGACCAATAATTTTAATGTAAAAATACAAAAAATATTCAAGACCAACAAAATCGATGTTCACTCCACTGTAAACAAAGTCAAACTGATGCCTGGTGGGTGACTGAAGCGGCTGATGGGTGCACAAAAAAAATAGTTCCCTGTACTGCATATATTATCAATATGTTAACTAAATTTTAAAATGACTAATAATTTTAATTTAAAAAATGCAAAAATATTAAAGAGCACAACTTTCTTGATATTTACTCCACTGCAAACGAATGTAAACATAGAACAGATTACTGAATTGGCAGACTAGCCCATCAGCTGATGCTCACAACAAAACTTGTTTGTCGTAAGGTTTTCGTTAATCAAAGTTTTGTTCGTTAACTGAATTGAAGATCCTTACGGGAGGTAATTCATTAACTGAAATTTCGGTAATCGAACCGTTTGTTAACCGAGGGACCACTGTATAGTATTCTAAACAATGGCGGTTAGGACAGGTTAGGCTAGCACAGAAACTGATTTTGAGATGAAACCTAGTTTTTCCGATGGGTTTTGGTGTGATTCATTCAAATTTATAGTATTGTACATGTAATCCTTCTCCAAAACTTGGTTCAGATTTTCAAATTTTGGCTTTTCTTTACTCATTTTTGTCTCCTCCCACCCAAAGACCCCAATTTCCCATGGGTTGGGTCCCCTAAGATTGTAAAACTAAAAAACGAGTCATGTCCTAAACCATTATGGGCAACTTGTAAAAAATTACCAAAAGAGGTTATTTCTAAATTAAACATAACCTAACCTTCGTTGATAAGAAAAACAAGTGGCAGAAGCGTTGTTAAAAGACCTCACCAATTTAACCAAAGAAATTTACCTAAACTTATCTAATTTCCTAGCTATGAGGCTCAACCCTCCAGCATATTAAACACAAAGAACTTAATATTACAGTGTATGGTGTAATTTTTTCGTTATTGTGGATGTGAGTGCAACGACCCAATCCGTGTGGCTTATAAACATACATTGGTGACTGGCGTCGATCGGAGATGATTGGCAATGTACCGCTTCATGCCGAAAACAACAAAGTACTGTAGTGTGTGCCAGACAAAGAATGCGTGGCTAGACACCTAATTATCTACTAAATGAAACAATTTCCCTAAATATGATTATTATTATCAGAACTCACTGATGAAAATATAGTAATAATATAAACATCAAAACAAATAATGCGATGGCTGCGAAATCCTTCATATTAGCCACAGAAACTGCTAATTTGCACAAAAATGGAGTCAGTATTTGAGTCAAATACCAAAATATTCATTCTCATACCAAAGGCACCAACCTACCTAACCTACAAGGAAAGGAGGAGACAAGTGACTCTTAAGTGAGGAGTAAAGCCTCGGGTAAACATGGCGGGCACCTGCGGATAGCCGGTATACAAATATTAGTCGGGGCGGATCCTGGATTTCTTGAAGGGGGTTCGGATTTTGGGGTGAACAGAAATAAAATCACAAGAAAAGGTAATGGAAAATAGTCAAATTTTGGCTTGGAAAAAATCACATTTATAAATACCATTAACAGGTTGGTGGGAATGGAGCTAAATTATTTCTGACATCAGATGACATGAACCAGTTTCATGTACTGATAGTAGGTTATTTTGTATTAAATTGGTGATTTATGAGGAAACCAGAAGCAATTGTTTGATTTCATTCATTTCTTTCACAGATGTTCTTATCATTATAGTACAGGGGGTCCCCGGGTTATGAACGAGTTCCATTCCTGAGGACGTTCTTAAGTCTAGGTTTTCCCCATGGCAATTGGTGTAATTCATTCCAATTTTTCCTTCATTTCCGTCGGAAATGAGTCGTTTTTAAGTTATCACCCCCTACCCCCATAGAACCTGGCTTAATCAACCAAAGAACCCTACCTAAACTTACCTATCTTAATAGCCTGGGGGCTCCACCCCCCCCAGCCATATTAAACAGAAAGTACTTTTGATATCTGGTACCAATAAAAGTGACTTTATTGAAGCATCATGGTGTAATTTTGTGTCTATTTTTTTAACTTGCGAGTATGCTCAGACCGAGTGGATGACTGCAAATTTACATGAATTTTCTACGTTAATTTACCTTCTCTGTTATTATCCATTTGCGGCAGGAAATCTGGTCACCTTATTTACACTTAGTCTTATTTCTTTGAAAATCATGAGCTGAAATGCTAGCAAATACATTAATTGTTACACCAGTATTCTATTATATTTAATGTCAGTCATGAAACAGGTTCAGTAGTCATATAAAGATAAGCTTCCTCGTGCATGTCATCCTCTCATATTATTGTGGCTCTTTTAGTATTACTGTACTGTAATTTGACCATTTCAGGCAGGAGGTTACTTAGTTGACCTGATTCGCACAAAGAGAATGTCTGGCCGAGCAGCCCTGTTTGCCGGACCTCCAGGAACTGGCAAAACTGCAATTGCTCTTGCTCTTGCACAGGAACTTGGAAGCAAGGTATGTTGGGAAGATTATAAATACAGGTACTACCTGTATATGTATATAAAATACTGTGCATGTTTATGACCTTTGGATCATCACCAAGTGACTTACAGATCCATTCACTGAACACCCCCTGGTAGAGTCAACCTTGACACAATATCATCTCATTTAACTGGATTAAAACATTCAGATCTTGCACTGCACTTGACCTGTTTTCTGTCTCTGCAGTGTGTCCTTAGATAATAGGATTAGGTTGTTTGACATTGCCATGTGTGACATCAGGGGAGAGCAATTTATCTAAAGGAAGGAAAGGAACCATAAAAGTGAGTTAATGAATACACACAGGTGAAAAGTGAAAATAATACCTTAAACAAGCTACTATTGACAGGTGCCATTCTGTCCAATGGTTGGCTCGGAGGTATACAGCTCAGAAGTCAAGAAGACGGAAGTATTAATGGAGAACTTTCGGCGTGCAATTGGTCTTCGTATTAAAGAAGTTAAGGAGGTTTATGAAGGAGAAGTCACAGAACTCACACCGGTTGAGACTGAAAATCCAATGGGAGGTAAGAATTAAGATTATGCAGTACCTCATATTCCAGCATCATGCATATACCTGTACTGTACTCAGGTACCATATTTAGCTGATCCCATTATATGGCTTTCCTAGTTTTTTATAATAATAATTTACTGCTATATTTTTCAAATAGTGTATTTTCAGCCATATCACATCAACTACCTAATATACTTAGCATTTCTTGCAATAATTCTTAACAGAACAGTTATTTCTAACTACTTTTGTTTTGAAATCTACAGCCCAGAAAAGTTATTAAGTATATACCAGTGAAGTATTCTTATTGAATGCAAGGCATGCATTGCATGCTTAGTAGAAAGCAAAATATATTTTTAAATAGTATCTTCAATAATACATATTTAATTTTAGAGTTCACAGTTTTCACTCAGGAAAGTCAAGGAGACTCGGCGTCCCTCAATGCATGCAGTAGGATAAGCCGCATGCCCTCAATGGACATATAGACGTAACCATCCTATCAATAACATGCTAAAATGAACTTTATTGTGTTGGAGCATAAAGAATTTGAGCCATTTTAGTCAAATTTAATACGTTTTCCCTTAATAAGCATGGTCTTATGTTATATGCTGATATTATTTTACCTAAGAGTTGTTGTTCCATAAGAGTGGCTATTTAATAAGGTTTCTGTAAATGTAATGGGTACAGATGCATGCACTTCGAAAACTGCATTCACTTGTCGAGAGGCTATGTAGACCAGCGGCAGCTCTCCGTCAGCTGGACAAAACTGGTCCTCATTATTATTTTTAATATTTCTAAATACTGTAATTCTACAGTCTGCTTTCAGTTATAGTTTTTTCACTTGGGGAAGTTATTCAGTTTTCTGTTTTACTTGAAATTATAATCGGATCATAGAAATAAAAATATTTACCGATTATATAAATGTTCAGCAATAAGATCATTGGCAACTTTACAGAGGGCCAGCATCATGCATGATGTCTAGTCATTTTTTTTAACTGCAGTGGTACCACGATTTACGCGGTCAATTGAACCCATGGGGTACCGCGGAAAGTGAAAACCGTGTAAAGTGAACAACAGAACATATGGGATTAATTCCAATAGAGACTGGCCCGACCCCCAAACTCCACTTTTTCAAACACAATACCTACGTTGTGGTAAAATTAACATCTTAATTTTATGATGGTATGCATACACAATTAATAATTAAGAGAAATATCAATAATATTAGGTTTTTTAACACTTACATTAGTAGAAAAGATGGATGGGCACACGGGGATGGGGGGTTGGTTCCGAGGCAGAGGGCAGATTATTGGCCCTCACCTGTATCAATTGTATCACTATCCACCACATAGGCTTGCAGGGCCTCTTTGTCAAACCCCTCAAAGTCCATATAAGTCCATATCCTCACTATCACTGTCTTGGGCCGGCTGTGGTGGGTGGCGGGTGAAGAACTCGGTAATGTTTTGATGACTGGGCGACCTTATGCGCATCCTGCCCGTGCCGCTTCCCGCGTATATGAGTAGATGCACCGCGTGAAAGTCCGGTTCTGGCGAGGTATTACTGTATTTTATTTCCAAATTACTGTAGATAACACTGAAAGCTTAATATTCTTTTGCCATAAGTATTTTTGTACCCATTATTTCAATTCAATTTCAATTGTTTATTCCTTGACAGAGGACGCAGGATCCTAGTGCTGTCACTAGGTACCCCTGCCCATTATTTAATGATTTATAATACCCTGTAGATACTTTGTCAGATGCCACTGGCATAATTTAAGAAATTAAGTGCAGCTGTAATTTAGATTCTTAATTAAATGGCAACTAGCCAAATATAAACTGTAGGAAATAGGACAACAAAAACCCTCACATCTCTCTTTAATTTCAATCGAAAAATTGTTTTTGTAAAAGTTAATGGTGAAAAGAGAAGAGTTTTATAACAGTGTTACGGAAGAATTCTGCAAAAATTCTCGGATCTGAATTTCAATATAAGTAAATATTTCTTTATTGCAAAATTATCTGAGGTAAGATACTTTAATTTTAGTATTGTTTCTTAGGTGTTTGTAAAAGTTTGACAACCCTTATTTAGAAAAAGGCCGTATCCTACTTGATATTTGATTTAATAACTGGTGTATGTGGGTGTTCTGCATGCCTCATCAGTGCAATCATGGTACTCCACTGGTATATACAGTATATTCGACGTCATGTTTTTTATCAAAGGACTGAATAAAAAATACACTAACAGAATTGAGGTAAAATTTTAAGCTAATAGTAATGTATGGAAGATTTAAATGCTTTCTAGGTGTTGTTTATATTTTACCTTGTATAAAGTAGGGATCAGTTTACTGAATAGTACATGTTAAAATACCATATTCTACAAGTATATTGTTGTACTTTTAGGAGTTTGAGGCTTTCTGGTGTTACGGATAACCCAGTCAATTTTTGTTTTTACAGGATACGGGAAAACTGTGAGTCATGTTTTAATTGGCTTGAGGACAGCCAAAGGAACAAAACAGTTAAAACTGGATCCAAGTATATATGAAACACTTCAGAAAGAGCGTGTAGAAGTTGGGGATGTCATCTATGTTGAAGCCAATTCTGGGGCAGTCAAGAGACAAGGACGTTCTGATACTTATGCGACAGAGTTTGATCTAGAGGTGAGGTTTATGATACTGGCTAGTATTGATCTAGAGTATACTGGTTTGGTTTATTTTAAGGTTTATAGTAAATTATTATTGTTGTGGAGCATTATAATAAAATTAAATGCTTCAGGAATACTGTCAATAAATGCTGAATGAAAAAAAAATTGTATCTGTCCAAAGATGTTTAGATGCAAGAAACAAAATTCAGTGAGAATGGATGCCGTAGGACTTTCCTCTTTGGAAGAGAATTGTACAGTACAGTACATGTATGGGGTAATAGAAAAGGTTAGGAATGAGCTGTGGTGGAAGACAACGCTCATACCTTACTGGTAAATAGACAATGGAATAGCATAGGACTTTAAGAGAAATGTAAATCTGGAGTGCAGTAAGAATGTATACGACATCTTGTATCAAAGGATAATTATGGAGTTAATGTAAATTAAACCATCTTTGCAGAGCATATATTGGTCAACAAACTGTAGAGGTGATACTGTAGATGACAAGGCAGGGTGAAGTGAGGAGTATAATTAATTACTTGTATTAGTTTTGTATACTGGTATCTAACAATTCCCCATTTCTGTTTGTAGGCAGAAGAGTATGTTCCATTACCTAAAGGCGATGTACACAAGAAGAAGGAAGTGATCCAGGATGTGACTCTTCATGACCTGGATGTTGCCAATTCCCAGCCACAGGGAGGTCAAGACATACTCTCTATGATGTCACAGCTGATGAAGCCAAAAAAGACAGAAATAACAGGTACAGTAATTGTAGACTTCTGGACTTCATTAATTTTAACGGAAAATATTATTTGTGACGCCTTCAGAATAAGAAAGATATAATATAAAATTGTATTTAAGGGGTATGGAAGTGACAAAACAAAATATTCAAGACATTTTGTGGAACTGAGGTCATGTGTGATTGAAATGATTTTTTAGAGTTAAGTGAAAAAGGGTTATATGAGCAGATGATAACATAGAAACATTGTGCCAAGACACTAAATTTCTATATTTTATTGAGGAATTATACAAATGTTACAAATACCCAAGTTTTAAACTATGGTCTTAGGATAAAAATGAATTTTTTTTTTTTAAGGAAAATAAAAGCACGTGGTACATTTTTAAGAAGATACAGTATATCAGAGATGTGATAAAACTGTAACAATGGAGGACAGTGAATATGGAAATCAGAAATGGAAGATGATCTAGTTCGTTGTGAGCCTCAGGCATCTCTTCCACTTCATCAAGTTAAGATTGTAGATGGATTGATGGATAGAATAGGGATAAATGAAAAAGCATCTAGAAAAGTTTTATCCCTCTACTGTATTGTTGGAAAAATTGATGAATATTCCTAATTCTTGATTTTATACTGGAAGTAGTACAGTACCTACCTATGAAGAATAGATTTAATAGCTACGTAAATTTTCAGTGGAAATAGTAGTTCTTTCCCCCATGCTGTTAATTCTTTGTTTTTTGGTCATTCAGAAAAGCTGCGGTTGGAAATCAACAAAGTTGTGGATAAATACATTGACCAAGGTATAGCAGAGTTGGTACCAGGTGTGCTGTTTATTGATGAGGTGCACATGTTGGACATAGAGTGTTTCACATTCCTTCATCGTGCACTGGAATCAAGAATAGCACCCATAGTTGTCTTTGCCACAAACAGAGGACGTTGTGTCATCAAGTAAGTAATTGGCTCTTGATTGTGCTCTTTATTTTCTGATTTGTAATATTTTATGTTTGGGGGGATATTGTTTTTTATATCCATTTCCATACTGAGTTCACTCACAAAATTGTCAAGAAGAAATTTACTTGTTTATTCATTGTTGGGATTTTTTAAGAAACATTAATTCCAGAATGAAAGTCATAAATTGTTGATGTATTTTATTACAGAGGCACAGGAGATGTTGTATCAGCACATGGCATTCCACGAGACTTACTAGATCGCTTAATTATTGTACGTATGCAACCATATGGCCAAGATGAGGTAGCCCAGATAATCCGAATTAGAGCGCAAACTGAAGGCGTTAAAATTGAAAATGATGCCTTACAAGAACTTACTTCAATTGCTAAAAGAGCATCACTCAGGTTGGTATTTGTTTATTTTATTCCCTTTTACAGGAGTTGCCCAAAATTTTGACTAGGGTAAGATTATTTTGTCATGAACTTATTGTCTTCTCTGAAGAAATTTTTTAACTTTCATGCACTAAATCATAATGCAATATTAATCCTTAATCTAATTCCTCAGATATTCTGTAAGGCTGTTGACACCATCAAATGTTGTGGCTCAGCAGAATGGAAATGATTCTGTTACTGTTGAAGATGTGAAAGAAGCCGCTGATTTGTTTATGGATGCTAAAACATCAGCAAAGATGTTGGCAGAAAATCCAGAAAAATACATGAAGTGATTTGAGTATATCTGAGAACATGGTCAAACATTTATTAAAGGTAACATTGGCAATGTAGAAGTACTGTACATGAAGATGAGTGGATGCTGATATTGCAAGATATGCATGTCAAAAAGTACCATACTATATATTTTGATTGAATTCAGCAAAAGTTTTACTGTAGTGAATCTGATAAAGATTAGGAAGTTAATTTGTCAAGCATTGATACTTTTCTTTATGGTACCAGCAGACAGGGTAGGAGGAAGCATTAGAGTAGTATTCCCTGCACTTTAAGTGATTAATTTCCAAACCTTTAAACATCTGCTTACGCTATCTTCTATTATCCTAAGGTGGGATAAAAGTAAAATTAGACCTGATCATGGTGTTATGATTAACATAGGTCTCAAATGCCTAGTGTTACTCTTTTTGGCCTCAGTTGCTATTCAATTAGGATAAAACTTGTAATTATTCAATGATGTCTTACAATGGCGGTATCAAGAAAAGTACTGTTATTAGATATTCCAAAGCAAACATTATTTAATATTATGGTCAGAGAGGTAATGTAATGGATTTCACATTATTCTCAAACTAATTTTGTAGGCATGGTAATTTTTTTTTATTTTGTTGTGTGTTTCAGATCTGACATTGCTTTGGAGATTGGATGAGAATAAAGTTATATTAGAAACCAATATTCGTTACTGAAAACTCATTTCTTCACTGAGAAAAACAGGTGTGAAAATACAGTACTGTATCACATTGTGGTACAGTACTCAGTACAAAAAGTTATTGTATCATTAATGTGATTTATTATTAAAAACATTTTACATCAATTCATGAAGTTTTGATTTAAAAACTAAGTACTGTACCCTGTACAGTTATACTAATAAGCAATGTGTAAAATTAATCAGGATTCAATACCTTGTAAAAGAGGAGTACCCATGCAAAAACAGCCTTTTGCAACAGCAAGTTTGAATACAGGGATAATGTTTGCATGTATGTGCCCTTGTGTCTGACCATCTGCAACTTCTCTACTAGTGGAGTGTTGAGTCGAAGATCTGTGATGGATTAAGTATGAAGAAATGTTCCTTCTGTTTGCATCCGTATTCTACGCATTACTCTTCATCCTCTGAAAGATTATCATCACCTTTCAGAATCCAGGGTGAGTTAAGGGGTAGTGGATATGACTGAAAGACCTTTTGATATATATATGTATATATATACTGTACTTTATTTATATTTTTTCTTCGTATACAATAAATCATACAACTTTGAATCAAAACTACACCTTTTCACACTGTATCAAAAACACACATTACTGTTTACATTATCACAGACTTTATGATACTAATAATATACAATTTTTCAAAATATATGAATTTCTTACCCACCACTTAATAAAGATTATGCTGTACACCAAGCATATTCACCATTGGTACAAATTAACTATATACTGTATAGTACAGCATTAATCTACTAATGTTGGTGAACAAACTTGGGCACCCTGGTTGATATTTGGTACAGTAAGCCCATGAAAATAAGTTTTCACATGTACTGTATACTGAAGCACTATACACTACCTTTAGCTACTGATATACTGTACAGTTAAATTACAAAAAATATTTGGTTTATACTGAAGCACTATACACTACCTTTAGCTACTGATATACTGTACAGTTAAATTACAAAAAATATTTGGTTAACACAATGTAATAAAAACAACCAGGGTCTTGAGCCGAGTGTTGCACCTTGTCTCTCTTCCTCAAGCCAAGAAAATTAATTCTTGGAGGGTTCAACCATTTATTCTATGCACTCATTATTAATTCATTGGAGTAAGATTTACTTTGTAAAACAAAGACTGACCACATAAAATCATCATCGTTAATGTCTTCAGTACAATAAACCTCATGGGAAAAGAGGTATTGGCTCCTCACTGAAAAGATTTTTCCATGGATAGATCACAGCTAATGAATGTATGCTGAGCACTTGCAATTGTACTTCTTGACAAACTTTCCCAGATATTAGCCTCGGTTTTCCAAACAGTGCACAAAGGACTCATTAATGCTACAGGACCTTACCACAGAAGCTGTTTTCACCTCTGACCAAGTGATCCAATTACAGTAATTTTCCCAGTAGTTGCAATAATAATAAGACAAATCTCTCAAACTCGGAAAAATCCCACATTCTCGGAATTTTCTCGGGTACTGGTAAAAGTTTGAGTCTAAAGTATGTATCACACATGGACATACACTATCGCACATCTCCAGAATGTTTCCGAGTCTAAATTATGTGCATCTCTTCCCAACTAAACTACGCATCATATCATCTCATCTCGCACAGACAAACACTCCTCCATTACATTTACACTATGGGCATGAGCAAAAATATTTATGGCTAGCGAAAAAGTGCATAAACTTTTATTTACATGTTTTAATTGTGTTCGAGATAAATTTGATACCATAATGATCCTGAACAAATTCTCTAAAAGAATATTTCACGAACAGCTCCTTAAACAAAATATTTTGACACGATATAATGACAGACTAAATTCTTTTATGGAAAAACGTTAAGAAATGTTTAGACCGGAGTCTAATAAAAAAATTATCATTAGTTAGAAACAAATTTTTGTTACTAAAATAAACCTTAATAGTTTATCTAAAAGTATGTTCAAAGAAATCTATATTAAAACAATCTATATGATACGGGCGTGTGAGGTGCCTCATGAATGGAGCTGTGTCATGGCCAAGACTGGAAGTTTCCACTCTGTACTGGAGAAAGTTTTCCCCGAGTCTAAACTATGCATCTCACATGGAGCTGTATTTATTTATGTAAATACCTCTGTATACAGTATATTGTAAATAAGCAAAATAATGTCCAAGTCCTCAGTATATGCGAGGGATGCGTTCCTGAAACTCGCAAAAATTAAAATTGCATACAGTACATCTAATAATTAGTTAAATATAAAAATTAAGATGCATTCCATAACCCAAAATGAAGATGTTCCAGACCCATTTTCAAGACAAATAAACCATAAGCAAATCATCACAATATTATTTTTTTAAATAACAGATAAGGCAAGGTACAGTATAGTGTACTTACCAATAAAAGCAGATACTGTACATCAGCTGGGTAGAGGGAGATGATGGCGTGCAAAAAAACACCAAATCTCAAAAGAATCCATAGGAGTGATAAAGCGGCAGTCCACGGAGAACGCGGGCAAGAAGTGACGCACGCACCACCCAAGAGTAGCCGATGAGACTCGGTAACGACGCACTTACTTGCAAAAGGGTGAATTTTACTCACATTAATTGAATTTCCAGTAGGAATAGGATCCTTACCTGTGATTGAATTCGCATATACTGAACACACATATATCGAGGACTTAATACCACTGTACTCAGCAGTGGATACTGTTGTCTTGAGCCTTCATTCATTAGGCATACACTGTCCACTCTGCTGAATGTAATACCGTACATATTTGTGATCACTTTTTACATCTTAACACTTGCGATGGAGGTGGGGTAGGGTATTAGTGGGGTCTCATGTTACTGACCTGACCTGATGCAATGTCAGGCCACCCATTGTCAGGGTGGGGGATTAGTGGGACCTGAAGATGTCTTGAATACAGACAAAAGCTACGGTGCTCCAGTGTTTCCTACTCACTGAATGCACAGTGCAGTAAATGTAACTGTAATCACTTTTTATGTCTTGGCACTGCTTTAATACTGTATTCTTGGCTTATTGTGTCCTGGTACAGTAATATACAGTACAGCAAGCCATTCAAATTTGCAGGGAATAGGTTCTCAAAATGGCCGCGAATCTGCGAATAACATTTGCTGGGGGTTTACATTTTTACTTGTGTACAAAGAAATGTATATTCCCTTTATGTGTTTACCGAAAGGGCAATTATTCTTTTAACCTGTATTGTACAGTAGCTAAAACAACTATCTGTGCATACTTTGTGGGAAACAATATGAGACCATGGACGATAAATTTTGGTATGCGAGGACTGTCACTAGTCACACGTAAAATTTCGGACCATATCGACCCCCACCTGCACAGATAGTTGTTTTAGCTACTGTACATACAGTATGTGTAGACACACACAAACACAAAACACATACCATACAAATAAATAATAATGGGAAAATCCTCACAAATAATCAGAAACAAATGTTCATTAAAAATGTTGAGTCTACCCTCAAGTCCACTACGTGTTTTATTAATAACAAAGCACGGAGTGGACTTGAGGGTGGACTCAACATTTTTAAGATACATTTGTTTCAGATTATTTGTGAGAAGATTTTCCCATTATTATTTATTTGTATGTGTTTTGTGTGTGTGTGTGTGTCTCCACACACACACATAAAATACAGGTAAAGGAAATTACTGTCTCTAGAACGAATAGCTCCCTGTCCCAGCCTTGAAAATGCCGGCAACTTTAAAACTACCCGCAGACATTCTTGGGTACATCTAGGGTGTCATCCGCGAAATAAAAATCTGTAAATTATCCGGGCGTACTGTACTGCAGAAAGCAAATTTATGCAAAATCAGGAGCGAACGAGGGATCAACTTCATACGATGGCAGTGGACTATGAACCAAGTGCACCATGATGCTATGCTTAGAGGCGATAAGCTGGCAGATGCATCAGCCTATCACAGGCATGGTTTTTGCCTCCATCCCCACAAGGGAGAATGACAGTTATGAAATTTGATCGAGGCAATGTTATATTTTCTGTCGGTGAAGGAATCACTTGGTTGGTTCTGCAGATGTTACTACATTAATTATGACAGTTTTTGGAAATTATACTATAAAATTTCCAAACCATACCACGAACTCTTCATCAATGTGTGCCTGGTACTACAACAGTAAATAATACACTAATTTGAGAGAAAACTTAATTTAAGTTTAGACATGATACATATTCTGTGTAATGTGATAATGTTAATACAGTACTTTTACTTATAATCATACAAATTTACATAAAAAAATTTTCATCAATAATGAAATTTAGAGAAGGGAATCCATCAATAATATGAATATAAAATCATTACTTATCTAATAATACAGTCGTTGCTTGCATTAATTAGGATTGTGGAATTTCACCCACACGGAATTTGTAAATTTAAATCATTAAATCCAGGATATGGCACAAAAGTTTTATTGTACAGAAATGGGGAAAAATTGTCAACACATGAAATGTGATGGGAAACAAAGATTTTACCCAAATTTTAATTACAGGTATTGTATTTGTTCTATATAAGTTGTCTTAGCACACATTTGCTTGTACAATTCAAACGACAGTAGTACAGTACTTATCCTGTCTGTCTGCTGTAAACATGTGGTCAACTTGGCTTGCTTTGTGTACTATCTGGACTGCAGTGCACTGTTTCTGCTAAGTTGAATTTGCAACTTTTGTTTATTATTAATAAAATAATAAAATATTATCACAGAATAATAATGTTTCTATTAAATGTGCTTAAAAATTATGTATCACATTCTTAAGTGTGGTTTTAATCAATCTTTTGGTGACTTCTTGAGATACAACTCCAAAAAAATGGAAGCAAACTTCAAAATTGGGTTCACATTACAAGCAACTTTACAGATGAATCCCAAAGTAATGCACGGATAACTGTATCAAAATTAAAAATGTAATCATTCTATTCCAATGAAACTGAGAAATCCTATTACATTTGTAAAAAAAAAAAAATTGACGAGGATGTATACTGTTCTGTACAGTACTTAGTCCAATAAACATGTACTGTACTGGTTAAGAATAGTCTACAGTGATTGTAGTGGATCCCCATGGAAGATGGCAATCTACCAGAAAGAAGAATCAACTAATAAGGGATTTAGTTGCAACAAAAGTTATCTCGATGTATACTGACTTGAATAACACAATTTCTTGCTAAGTCATGATTAGGGATTACCAGAGAGAAAATTTCAATGGTGATGGCATCACATTATGAGTACAGCATTATTTAAATAATTATACAGCCAGTCACATGAATTACTGTATAACCAAAATAGCTACAAAATGTGAAGGGTCCATATGTGGTGTTTTCTGCAAAGCTATAAATCTGTATACAGTACTGTATCAGATTGATTAAATGCAGGTGGCATTATTACTAAGACAGGGATAGTTATAAAAAGATGGAAGGAGTAAGAGCTAGACATCCGTAACAACTTCTGAAGGTCAGTGTGAAGTTTAGAAATATACAGTAGATAAGTGAAGTGACTGATGGAATAGAACCATCAGAAGGAGAGAACAATACCTCTGGTTGTACTTTATCTCCCGTCTAAATTATCATTATCCTAATTAGAATTACACAGATTGCTTTGTCTCCACCTACAGTAAACCCTTGATAACTCAGAATAGTATATGGGGGTCTAACCAATTCAAGTTAGCAAGGCACTTTGTTCCCAGTCTTTCGTCCCACCCCAATACCCAACTTTTGGGCCAAAATAACCCCCCATAATCAGAAAACGTGTATAAAAATGAACATCTACCAGCACACTGCAGGTGAAGAATGAGGATAATTCAAGCTTGTGGGGGTAAGAGTCAGAGCTTGATGGTGGGCTCTCTGTGCTACAGTACAGTATTCAGGTATTATAATAGACAGTATAATTCTGTATTGTAAGCACTTACAGAACCAACTTTAAATGTTATTATTCTCTGAAACACTACATGTATATACTAGTTAAATTTTCAATGTGGGTAGAATAACACTTCGCACAAAATATAAAAAAATTAGTAGAACGACTACAGGTGGGTATCCTCTCACTAGGCCTACCAATGCATACCCGAGTGGCTGACCAGTCAGAGCCTCTTGCGCACCCCGCGTGGGTCACACGTGTTACGCCATTCCGAGATTGCATCATCATGTTTCTGATATTGTGAGTATAATGTAAAAATTAATTTTAAAATAATTTACAGTTGAATATTTTACTGTCATTCCGATTTATATCGAATTACGAGTTATCAAGGGTTCACTGTGCTGTCCTGTAGTCATTAATCCATAATGGAAACTAACTTTTTCATTGTTCTGGTTATCCAAAACAGTCTCTACTGAACACTGAAATGTAATTCAATCCAAGACCTTACTATGGGCAATATTGTAAGAAGCTTCATAAAAATTAATATATACTGCACAAATTGGCCTCATGCCAGAGGTTGTGTTTCCAGAGTAAACAGGTTATATTCCCAGCCACAGAGATCCATTTTTTATGATATTTCTGTACTGTATTAAACTTTTATGAATAGACTAATAGCAGTTTTGTAACTAAATACAGTACATACAAATATTAGTCAATGAACATTAAAAATGAGTGGACAGATGGCTCACCGTACATCACATATTTGCTAAATGACCATCCTTTACCTTTCATCAAAGTGTTCACAACTAAGATCCTCACATGTCAAGTGTCCTTATTTTGAAGTGCTTGTTCTCAGAAATTAAACTGGAGTCCTTCCTCTCTCTGATAAGTATAAACCTAATATTAGAAATACATTTACAAAGTTTTTACTGACTTACTATACTATTACATAGATACAGGTCAGTTTACAGTGCAGCAGGTACATATATTAAAGTCAACAATTTATGTGCAATGGGCTTAATATTTTTGCTTTTCTGTATTTGACTTATTTAGAGGTTTTTCTATAATAATCCACAGTTTGGGCCACCTACTGTACTGTTACACATCTTGAGTTGATATAAAAAATATGTATAGCTGATTTTTGGTATTAATGATATTTTTTCCTCAAGAAATTACTCTGTAAAAGCATATATATATATATATATATATATATATATATATATATATATATATATATATATATATATATATATATATATATATATATATATATATATATATATATATATATATATATATATATATATATATATATATATATATATATATATATATATATATATATATATATCCTCGATAATTGAGGGGACTAGGTTCCAGAAAACTACTATGAGCAAACCCTTACATTCTGAAACATAACGTATGGGAAAAATTTGTTTCGTCTCATGACCCGAAAGATGCATCCCCAAACTGACCAAAATGTGTAAGTACACTAAATTATATAATACTAGTAACATATCTTTATTAATTAATGAATAACAAATAAACAATGTACAGTCCTGTACAATGTTACAATGCTGTATCATGAATGACAGTCATAGTAGAATGAGTGAGAGGGGCAGAGTGTTGGTGAGACGCAGTGGGTGGGAGGCAGCGGATATAGTGCTAATCTGCTCTGGCTAAAGCAAAGTCATCACTGAAATTATGATTTAGGTAGTGATAATAGAGGTAATGGTGGTGATCGTGGAGCTGGCGGTCGAGGGGGAGATTGTGGTAAGTGGTGAGGAGATATCAGTTTGTTTGGTAACACTAGTTGCAGCCCTGCCAGACACCACTGAAAAGTTGATTGTCTACCCAAAAAATTGAGTTTAAGTATAAATGAACGTCATATTCCTTCCACATTACGTTACATAAATTTTAAATTATGGAGTGAGAAAGTAGAATGATGGGGGTGACTAGAGAGGTGGAGTGGAAGGAAGTGGTAACATGCTTATCCTTGTCGGGAACATCGGAACATTCAAGCAGAGAATACACATGTCTTCGCCGCTTAACTGGATCAAGAACCTTAACACTCTTCTTGTTCACAGATGCCATGGTGGAAGTTAAGTAAAAGTTACAAAAATTGCACCAAAAACAAGCACGAAGCATGAAACTGTCTTCAAACACCAACCAAAACAGTGCAGGGAAACAAATGCTGTCACTGGAAGCTGGCGCCATGAGCCGTGCTGCCATCTCTTGGCAGTCGCTGCTACCGCTGGCTCTCGTAGACCCACTGCTGTCCCATGATAATTCCGCGTTAACCCAGATCAATCAGTGATAAGCATACACATGGTCGCAGTTGAGGATACTATAAGCCAGATCAGTGATTATCAGGTCCCGTGATTATCGAGGAATATATATACTGTATATTGTAGGAATCTGTATAAATGCAGTACACTGTATGTATGTTTGTTGGTTGGTATATTAATGTATCTACTGTAAGTAAGGAGGTACAGTACAGGTACACTGTATATTTCTTATGTATATTTTAATTAATAGGTATGCACTGTATATTCATTCATGTATTTACATTACGATATACATATGTATGAAAAAGCACACATGCATTCTCACATCTGTATTCATACATACTGTGTACACAAACAATCAGTGATAGTCGATGTTATACATTACTTTCTGTGGCCTTGTCAGTAGCCTTCTCCTTATTACTAGAAGCACTGTTGGTTGACTGAGTATCACTGTTTTGGCTCTGTGTTGTGGAAGTGGAGGAAGCCCAGTCTCCTCTGAAGAACACTCGAGCACTGCTGACACTCAAGTACAACAGCTCAAATTCCTGTTGGTACTGCAGCAGACGTGTCAGTGTGAGTGCAAGAGTCTGCTGTAATTTGTCATCTGCACCTCCTCCACCTTGGCGCTGTTGTTCAACCTAAAAGATTATACATGAAGATCATTACCACCATAAAGTCTGGGGAGGGTAAAAAAAAAATTAATTCTGTATATACAAAGTTCAATAGTGTCTACCAGAGCATTAAGTGGGCTGTAATATGGAAATGGCCTGAGGATAGATGAAATAATTAGAGAAAATATATGAAGGCTTATTTTTTTATGATGCACAGTCCAGTCCAGTCTGTGCCCCCCTTCCCTATTAAGACTACGTACTGTACTTGTTAGACAATCTAAACCACTGATGATTAAAAAATCCAACTTTGCAATCTTTCCAAGATGATAATCAAACCATGATATTATCACTAGTGAACACAATCCACTGTTGCTGTACCTCAAAGATAATATTAAAAACTTAGGGAACTCAAGAATATTCTTTCTTCAGCACTTACTTTTTCTCTTTCTTTGATGTATTTTCTCCTCACTCCTGACCACCAGTGTAAGGAATCAAAGGCAGAATTCTGGTCAAGAACCTTCAGCATATAGGCAAGTCCTGTAGAGGTTAATTATTTTTAATTAATATCTAAAACTAAAGTAAGGATTTGGACATTACTGTGAACACTATATATATATATATACTTTTTTAATTTGTGGGAGAAGCATGTCTTGTGTTTACAATAATTTTAATATTTCTACCCTGTTGCAAATCAAATTCTTTTGGATAAGACAAATTAATCCGGGAACCACAGATATTCATATGTCACCCTACACCCTGTCCAGCAAGTAGTGCTTGTGAAGATGTTAACCAGTTGAGACCACTACCCTTTCTCTTATTAAAAAACAATCCATGTGAGTCTCTCAGAATCACTCTGATGGAAGTGATACTACGTGTACTTTAATTGATACCAGTATATTTTGAAGTCCTAAACTTTTTGAAAATGATAAATCAAGCAGTGGAGGAGCCTTTCAGTCATATACAGTCTCTCTTCAACTTACGACATATTCGACTTATGACAACCCAGACATACGACGGCCATGGTAGTATAAAATATTTTTCACATTACAGTATAGTCTGGATTTACGCGGTCAATTGAACCCGTGGAGATCCGAGTAAAACGATTAACACGTAAACGAAATAACAGAACATATGGGATTAATTGAAATAGAGACTGGGCCGACTCCCAAACTCCACTTTTTCCGACACAATACGTACCTTGTAGTAAAAATAACATCATAATTTTATGATGGTATTAACACACACATAATATCTATATAAAAAACTACAAATATAAAGGTGTTTAACACTTACGTTAGTAGAAGAGATGGGTCGGCACACGTGGATGGCGGCTGGTTTCGAGGCAGAGGGCATATTAGTGGCCCTCCGGTGAATCACTTTCACTACTCGCAGAGGTTTCCAGGGCCTCCCTGACAAACCCCTCAAAGCCCATATCCTCACTGTCACTATCACTGACTTGGGCTGGCTGTGGTTGTGGTGGGTTGCGGGCGAAGAAGTCCGTAATACTACATTGACGACTAGCATTGATGTTGTCGTGATACATCTGGACATAAGCCTCCATAATTTTTGCCAGAAGGTTATTAAGACACTTCATACCGATGCTTGACTGTGTCTTTGTCAAGGACGAGCTTAATTTTCTCCCCCAACTCGATGATTTCCTTCACATAACAATGGCTTGGTCCAGGTAATTCAAGGTTTTTTCGGGTGGTGGGGGTCCAGTGGAAGCCATTGTGAGTGGAATAGCGGGCACAAGAGAGAACTGTATACGCGGACTGAGAACAATGAGACTGGCCCGGCTAGGTCAGCGACTTCTGGTGGCAGGGCACTTCATGTTACATTAGACCAATCACAGCTAGTGGCGGAGGGAATGCGTGGGTGGTAAGGATGAGTGGCCCAATCACAGTCCGATACGTCATATGACGTCAGCGATAATGTAAGAGCGACCTAAAGCACAATACCTGCGCCGCTTCCCACGTAAATGATGCAATGACCAGCGTAATTCAAAATTTTCATTCTGGCAAGGTGCCGCGTAAATGACCAAACGCGTAAACAAAATCCGCGTAAATGCAGACTATACTGTACGTATTTTCGAGTCCCAACGTTTGGTAGTAATATGACGCCGTACGATAGCTTGGGCTGGGCCACCTCGTGGTGTACAGCATCCACGTCGTAGCCGCTCAGTTGGTGTTTGGCCGTCGTTGTTGTTAGTGATCGCGCTGTGTACTGAAAATTTTTTTTTTTGTAATTCCCTTTAAAATGACTGGCAAACGTAAAAGTGAGAGTTCTTGTGGTGCTGAGAAGAAAAAGAGACAGTCAATTACTTTTGAGATGAAAATGAAAATAATAATGCAATATGAAATGGAAAAACAGTAGCAACCATTTCACGCGACCTTGGCTTCTCTCACTCAACGATATCAACAATTTTGAAGGACAAGGAACGAATTTGTGAGTTAGTGAAAAGATCAGCACCTATAAAGGGAACAATAATAATGAAAAAAAGACTAGGTCCTCTTCATGAGGTGGAGAAATTACTTGTGATGTGGATGGAAGATCAGCTGCAAAAGCGTATACCCTTAAGCCTTCTAACCATACAGGCTAAGGCAAGAAGCCTTTTCGAAAGCCTGAAAGAGCAGGCAGGAGATGAGTGCGACCAAAACTTCACAGCAAGTCATGGGTGGTTCCAAAGATTTAAGAAACATTACAATTTGCACAATGTAAAGGTGAGTGGAGAGGCAGCAAGTGCTGATGTGGGTGCTGCCAAAGCTTTTAAGGAGGAGCTAGATCGTGTCATCGTGGAGGGAGATTATTTGCCTGAGCAAATATTTAATGTGGATGAAACTGACTTATTCTGTAAGCGCATGCCAGAAGGGACATACAACCACAAAGAGGCAAAAACCATGCCGGGATTCAAGGCATTCAAGGACCGAATCACACTTCTGTTGGGGGGGAATGTAGCTGGTTTCAAGGTAAAACCCTTCATGATATACCATTCAGAGAACCCAAGGGCTTTTAAAAATGTCAGCAAGCACACACTGCCAGTGTTTTATCATAGTAATAAGAAAGCATGGCTGACCCTAGCACTGTTTGAAGATTGGTTCCTGAGTTGTTTCATTCCACGAGCCAAGGAGTATTGTCTGCAACAAGGGGTTGCCTTCAAGATTTTATTAATTTTAGATAATGCTCCTGGACACCCACCACACCTGGACGACCTGCACCCTGATGTTAAGGTAGTCTACCTTCCACCTAACACTACCTCTATCATCCAACCCATGGATCAAGGTGCTATTGCTGCTTTTAAAGCGTATTATTTACATACCACCTTCTCTCAGGCTATTGCTGCTACTGAAGGTGAGAAAACACTCAGAGAGTTTTGGAAGGACTACAACATTTTGCAAAGTACAAAGAACATAGCTGCAGCATGGGATGAAGTTACAGGTCAGTGCATGAATGGGATATGAAAGAAGGTTCTGAAAAGATATGTGAACAGTTTCAAAGGATTTAATGAAGATGAAGCAATTTCTGACATTAGTAACAAGATAGTGCAGATGGGCAAATATCTGGAGTTAGAAATTGTTAATGAAGATGTTGAGCAGTTGGTGGAAAGTGTAGCAGAAGAGCTAAGTAACAGAAATTTGCAGAGGAAGAAGAGAGACAAAATGTAAAAGAAGAACCTGCAACCCCAAAAAGTTTTCAGTGAAACAAATGGTAGAGGCATTTGCTACTACGTATTAATAAGGCGATGCAAATGTTTGAAGAAATGCATCAAAATGTTGAGCGTTTTGCAAAAGTTGACAGACTGATCCAAGATGCACTTGCTTGCTACAGGGAGATATACAATGAAAAGAAAAGGCAAACTGTGCAGTCTAAATTGGACATTTTTTAGAAGTCCCCCACTGCTGTTTCCTCACGCCCCACCACTGCTGCCTCTTCACTCCCTAAAGATGATCCAATACCTTCAACAAGCAAGTATGTTAGCCTGTCTGAAGAAAGGAAACTTGATGACCCACCCAGCCCTGTCTCCTCCTCTGCTTCTTCCAATTAATGTAGTCGCCATGCTAAATTAAAAAATTATTGAGGCCTCGTGTGCATTCAGCTGACTACATTAAAGGTAAGTGCACAGTAACACTTTATTCATTTGTCATTATTGATTACTTTTACTGTACTGTATTTCATTTTAGAATTTTTATGTATTATTATCGCCTTTTCGACTTGCGACCAAATCGACTTCCGACCTGGTCGTCGGGATGGAACCCCATCGTAAGTCGAGGAGAGCCTGTACCTGTAAATCATGTAGAATAAGCAATGATTACCTGGTACATGGCAACAACCAACCAGTGCACAAATTGTGGTCAGGTTGTCCTTCATGCTCTCATTCTCTATTGGGTGACTGGAAAAGAACTTCTATTAATAATTATGTATCTGAATTACTCACATCTAATGCTGCCAACATATACCGGTAACTGATTTTTCTGAAAACTCTATTTATGGTGATTTAATTATATGAAAATATCACTAATAAAGGAGTTAAAAAGAAAAAATTTATATTTAAAAGTAGAAAATTTAGTACATATACAGTACTACAGGAAATATTTTGGAACCACTTGGTAACCTTTGGCCTGAACAGAAAACACATTTGTACTGTACTGTAATATGGAAGACATTCAGTACTGCGGAATGATGAAAATTTTATTGCCATTAGGAGAGAGATTTTAGAACAAACTGGACACAAATGTTTGCATTAATATCGGAAGGGTTATGACAAGATGTGTCAAAATAAATATGGAAAATTAGTAAATTGATCTTTGTTTTGACATAAGAAAGAATCAGAGACAGTGAAATTAACACATGTCAGAAAAACAAAAACTAGATTAATCTTAGACCTGAAAGTTAACAAGTGATAAAAACTAATGGACTTAAGATCTCTGAATGTGTCATAAATGGGGCAATTCTTATAAGTCAATAGAATATTTAAACATTTATGAGACAGAAACGAAGCAAAAAAAATATATTTACAGATGTCATATGATGAAAGAAAATTTGGAGCTAAGAAAACAAACAGGATCAAGATAAACATTTACAGACGCCAGAAATTTGAAAGAACACCAAGAGATAAATTAATAAAAATATAAACAGTATATACAGTGGGGTATGCTATAACGAACGGATCCTACTACGAATATTCCTATAACGAACGGTTTTACCTATAAAATTGAGAATGCTATAACAAACGAAACTCCAACAACAAACATTATCAAAAAAAAATTTTGTTTTTTTGTTTTTTACTAATTTATTGTTTCTGTATTTCAAGTATTAATGATATTCTTTATTTCAGGGGTTTAGATGCATATTTATGCACTTTTTTACAATTTTTACAATTTTATATTATATTTTTCAGTGTTAAGTGGTTGTATTTGGGGGGCCTGGAACGGATTAATCCTATAACGAATGAATGCTATAACGAACAAGGTTCTAGAACCAATTAGATTCGTTATAGCATACCCCACTGTACTGTACACTGTACTAATACAGAATTTTTTTTTTTTTTTAGCGGGCATTAGCCCACCGGGCCACAGGCCACTGACCCACATCAGGGCCTGGGGGGCAAAAATGTAATACTGTAATAATAATAATAACTAAATTAATAATCAATAAAAAATATAATAAATAATACAAATAAATTGATAATAATAATAAAAAAATACAAATAAATTGATGATGATGATAATAATAATAATAATGATGATAATAATAACCATAAATAAATAAAAAAATAAAAAAATAAATGAAGAGTGAGAAATTACACACATTATGATATGTTGTGTTGTCAAAGTGAGAAACAATTGAGACCCCACAATTGTGTGTAAATGAGGCAGAAAGTTAGATCAGCAATCTGGGACTTGGTCACAATTTTTCTGATGCTATATGGCAGCAGAGTCTACCATTAGACAACACATTATGCTTCCAATATCTTTCCAGGCGGTAGTACCTCCCTCTTTGGTAGCTGCCGACTACCTACTACATAAAGATTAACCCATTGTATTATAAATTGTATTCTCCTTACCCATGGCAAATCCATCATCAGTGAAAGCAGCTCCTGTCTTGTTCTTCTTGTTCATGTTATCTTTGGCAGCCAGTGAATGTTCTACAAAATTTATTGTCAGAGGAGGAATGATGAGGTAGAAGTTCTTAAGATGATTGTTTTTGTTGTCACGAAGAGCTGGTGAGAAGACATCTACCAAGAGCTGATGAAACACAGAATAGTGTAAGGGAAAAATGACTAACACAGTAAAATGCACCATACCTAAATCAATATGGAATCAACAGAATAAACTTTTATTACATCAAAACAACAATATTTTCCACTGCAAACTGATGCTGAATCTCCAAAACATTTACGAAGGCTGCACCTCCCATTTCCCACTACAGTACAGTATTATAGGTACCATATACAATGTAGTACAATATTCTGAAATGTATTTACAAATTAATTTTAAATGCTATGGTAAGTAATTGAAATATTTAATACAGTATTATGGTATTTTATAAATGATCCAAGGAATGAACCATCTACTGTATATACCAATAAAAGTTTACAGTACAGGCTTAGAACCTATGAAATCCTAAACTTAGTGACTGGGTCTTAATCCAAATATTAGCCCTATGTCCTGTTAAAACAACAGACCTTACAAAGGGGACTAGAGGCCATGGCACCACTGACAGCTGATTAATAATGAGTCATGAAGCTGTGTAGACATTGCAAATGCTGCCCAATTTGCTTTTGAATTTACCAACCAAGTCAAATAACAAACTTGTAATATCAAACTCACTTTTAGCCAACCTCCAAGGACATTCCACAGAGGCAAGTGGGACTCAAATCCCACCTCTTTGACATATTCATACAATGGGCTTTCAAAATTTTGCCTCCATTTATCATCTCATGCCAGTTCAAAGCAACTCCTGTATCAGAAGCCAGCTAACAACATCGGAGGAGATGGAAAGAAGCTCCAAAACTTGTGCAACATCTACCCCAACAAAGATAGTTTCTCCATGGTTGTAGTGTTGAGTGACAGGAACTTAACTTATGCACTTCCTTTAGTCCTGTATCTCATGGAACCACTACATAGAGATAAATGTACCCAAATATTCATACATGTACAGTAATGTGTAAAACTGAGAAGAAAGCAATACCAAGTCTCTCACTACTCTCTAACTTTAAAACTGAAGAGGGAAAATTAATTGGCTTTGTACCCAATCAGGATCAGGAGGGATAACAAAAGTCCACTAAACCAAAAGGGAGCCATTGATATAGATCAGAGTTTACATACAGCATCCTGGAAGGAAGAAAACAAATAAATCTGGTCTCATTTGTTCCAGTGCATAGAAAATGCATCAACTCACAATGAAGAGTCCTGAGATACAAGTGATACAAAAACTTGAAGTTGATTATCCAGCAACAAGAACAAGTCCCCCAACAGAGAAATTCTCAGAGAAAGACTCTGGATTTAACATTCATTCAGAAGGCATTGCATTATCAAAGACAAGACAGCAGCCTAAACATTAACATAGTCAGCAAGTGCACAGGAAGGCTCCAACATCAGACACACTAATTTAGAATTTCCCACATGAGAAAGGATTTAAGAGGAACTGTCACTGGTTCATGGTTATTCCCGATTTCATAATTAACTGAAATGGGCTTTTTCTGTTACTTTTTATTATGTTCACTATCTAGCTCCTGTAATGTTTAAATTTCAACTGTCATAATATGACATATATTACTGTATATGGTATGTTAATCCTTTCATGAATAATAGCTACTGTACCTTGTCTATTTTTGGCATTCATGATTATATAGTACAGTTTCTTGAGGGGTTCAGCTGAGAATCTGTACAACTGGCATTATTCCCTTTTCTTAGTCCTTCCTTAGATCCCTATTACAGTACATTGTATTTTGATAATTTTATCATACACTTTTGGCTTCCTGTATCTACTACTGTGGTAGAGCCTGTGCCTTGAGCCGACCCAGCCAAGAGGCTGGGACATTCGCTCTCCACTTGTGTAGGTGTCTGGTGGTCTTAGTTGGCAAGGAATGTCATTTTTCTTCCTAGGTTAGCTGTAGGGGTGGGATATCTAAATCTTTACCATTTCTCCCACATTACCAGGAGTACTGAGTCAAGTGTCTAATTTTTGTGTGACTTGCATATATATTTGGACTATTATGTATTTTATGTATATATTTGGACTATTGTTATGTATTTTAAGTATATATTTAAACTCTTGGAATAATTATAAGTACATAACTGAACACCCACTTTAAGTGTTACATTTATCCTCGTGGCTCCATCACTCTATGTGTACCGGTAGTGAAGATGAGTAGGTATTCTTTAGGTGTAACTTTATCTTGTCTGGCCATTCATTTAGAAATGCTATGGTGATGAAATAGTAAAGAGGAGAAGGTGAAAAACAATTAGGATGGAGGAGCATCCTGCAGGTTGTAACTGGCCTTGACAGGAACTTTGCTTTTCTAGGTACACCATGCAGATGTATTGTCAATTAAAAACAAAATACAGGCTACTTCTCCTATGGTGCTTATGTTCAGTGTTCCTCAGGAAAGAGAGAAAAGATATACTAGATTTTTCACATTACTGTGTATACTCAGAGAAGCCAGAGATCAATCTCTCTTACTGATAGAATATTAGAAAATAAAACGGCAATGTATCTGTCTACCTTAAAATAATCTGTATCTTGATGAAAATTTCGAGTCAAGTTGTTAATGACAGCATCCAAGTTCTCAGCTGCCCTGATTGTTTCTTGGGAAACATGAGCATCTTCACACAACTGCACTAAGCTCACAACATCTTGAAGGTCCGGGATGAAACGTGCTGCATTGCTTGAGCAGTGAAGCCCACCAGAACGTACCAATCGAACATAACCCATGGCATTTCCTGAACAACAATATCAAAGTGTTGAAAAGCTTTTCCCAATTTTTTTTAATAAGACACAATATTTCACTGAGGAGAATGTATATTCCTCCAAAGGATGCAACATCACATAAATTATACTTTGCAGAAAATAAATCATCATTTATATCTACCAATATGAGTAAGAAGTCCTCGAAATTGGTCCAAATATGATAATCCTTCTGGTGTCAACCCCAGTTTCCGGATACCACGATTGAACTTTTCAGCTCTCTCATAGGGGAAATACTCTTGACTGACTTTAACCTGAAATGAATAGAACCAATTCCTTTCATTTATACAATGTACAGTGGGTATATTTCACCAATTACTCTACACAATTGTACTGTACTGGCAGTTACATGCTAAGGAAAGCTATGCAAACATGAGAACTGCCAGGTAATTTCCTGGCAAAGCTGGTTTAGGTGTAAGGAAGGACCATGAATGAATGTATCTGATGTGCTATGAAAGTCTATGGGTGATGAAGAAAATTTTGGATGAGGAGAATACAGCTGCTACAATTGTGGATTTCAAAGAACCACAGAATACCTAAAACTCATGGATCTGATGAACTACCCTGTTTCTAATGTATGTACAGTACTATGTAAGGTAATTTTACAAAAAACTGATGAGGATTTCCAGAGACCATGCAGTATGAGAGGAATGTATGTTATGAATGTTTTGACACAAATGCAAAAATTCACAAAGGTTGTAAAATATTAGCATTGTTGTTTCATATCTTGATATTTAACTGCACCAGCACCTAAGTTAATGACTTATTAATTTATCCACTACTGCTACAAGCACTACTACTATTACAGGCATTTCCCAATTTTCTCGAAGACTCCCATTACAAAAACTGAGATATGTTCTCATGGAAAAGAAACTTCCCCAAAACATCTTAAAATTCCATAAAACAAATTCTTAATGGTAATTTTTGGTGCATACAATGACTATAAGCCAAACACAAACATAATACAGTAAATGTAATACCATATGTATATAGTACAGGGGGCCCCCCTAAATTCGCGAGGGTTAGGTTCTCAAATTGGCCGCGAATCACCAGATCCACAAGTAACATTTGCGGAGGGAGGAGGGGGGGGGCACATTTTACTTGTGTACAAAGAAATGTAAATTCCCTTTATGTGTTTGCCCTTAAGACAATTATTTATTTTACCTGTAGTATTGTATATGTGTGTGTGTGTGTAGACACACTCACACACACACAAAACACATACAAAGAAATAATAATTGGAAAATCTACTCACAAACTTATTAAAAATGTATCTACCATCAAGTCCGTGCTCTATTAATAAAGTTCTGCAATAGAGCATGGACTTGAGGGTATACTGTCACATTTTTAATAAATTTGTTTCTGATTATTTATGAGAGGATTTTCCAATTTATTATTTATTTGTACGTGTTTTGTGCATGTGTGTGTGTGTCTACACACACACACACACACACACACACATATTTACAATACCTGTATACAGGTAAATGAAATTACTGTCTCTAGAACGAATGGCTCCCTGTCCAGCCGCAAAAATATCGGCAACATTAAAACTACCCACAGACATTCTTGGGTACATCCAGGGTGTCATCCACGAATAACCGAGAACTGCGAAGTAAAAATTAGCAAACTTGGGGGGGGGGGGGCTGTAATAGTTTTATACCTGTACTGGAAAACTGGATGAGATTTGAAACAAAGTGAACAGCATGAAACACAAAACCAACATCTATAAAACATATATAGCGACCCCTCGTTTAACGAACGCCTCGGTTAACGAAATTTCGGTTAACGAACTGCCTTCCATAAGGATCTTCAATTCAGTTAACGAATCTCTTACGAACCGACCTCAACATGTTTTCGCTTGCACTGACCGGGCAACCAGCTTTAGTATCAGTCCGCCAATACATCAATCGGTTCTAGGGCTTAAATTCCTTACTATTTTAGTAAATATCAAGAAGTTTATACTATTCAATAATTTTAAAAGTTTAATATTCAATTTTTTAGTCATTTTAACAATTATTGAACATAATTGAAGGTAAAGTGACTAGTTTAATGCGCGGTATCCAGCCTCTTAACACAGCAAACAGGCGTTAGTCTCTGTTTTCACTGGAGGTAACATCTTGCTTGAGACTCTCTTCAACTAAACGCTTTTTTTCTGTGTTTCCAAGCAAATTATTGGTCATTTTGAAATATATTTTACATATTGACAATATATAATGCAGTGCAGTGTTGATTTAAAGAAAATAATCTTGAATTACACCAAGAGAGCTAAAATTTTATGGGTGAAATGGCGCCATGGGGTGACTTCTCTTCCACCCCAATGCCTTTTCTTCTTCCTTCTCCTCCACCCCCATTCTAAATCCCATCATCATCATCATCCAGGAGCCTTCTACATACACACCTCAAAGTAAGTGAACTTTTCTACCATTTTTGTTGAATTTAGGAAATTTTCGGTGAGCTGGAACCAATTACCCAAAAACCCATTGAAACAATGGTTTCGGTTAACGAACGACCTTCTGGAACGGATTGAGTTCGTTAACCGAGGGGTCACTGTACAAGTATATTACTGTAGTAATACATTGATTTTCATTCTATAGCTGTAGGTACTGTACATTCAAGAGCCTGTGTATGCTCATCGGTGTTTGCTATGTTTGCCAACAGTGTGTAACATTAATAACCGACCACCTGAATAACAAACAAACCAGCCAGTGGGGAAGAGGATAAAGTAAGGTAAATCCACCTCATGCTGATGGGGGTGGAGTAAATCCACCTCATGCTGATGGGGGTGGAGTAAATCCACCTCATGCTGATGGGGGTGGAGTAAATCCACCTCATGCTGATGGGGGTGGAGCCAACGGAACAAAACCCATTATTACCTCTCGCCAGTGTTGCAGGTCCTTCAGCAGGCGAGACTTGATATGTTCATCATACAGGAACTGAGAGAAGACGTGAAACTTTCGCCGTAGGAATTGATAAGTGAAGTTTACCTGTGAGAAGTATAAGGTTATCAGGTCACTGTAGTTATGACACTGATAATAATAATAATACCAGTTTTTATACTCTTGTACAATGATTCACACAGATTCAGAAACTTTAGCTCAGACAATTACTCAAAATTTTCTATGGATAATCAATTATTTTTACAGTATCAAAATATATATACGTACACATGGAGTATATTTAACTCTTCTAAAAGTACACTAGTTTTCATTCATTATTAAAATGTATACAATGACTTTTCACTCAAAAATAGAAAACTATCTCAAAACATAATTTCTCTGACTGTCCTCATCAAGTCCAAGATCAACCACATAAGACCTAAACCTAATATAAACATCGTCGGAATATTACTTGTTAAGAAATAATACTGATCACCATAGTACAGTAAAGGAAGGTTAATTACCATATATCAATAGGTGTAACCAGGTACAGTAATTATCAAAACAACTTTAATTCATACTTAGTGAGGCTCAACTGTAAAATATCATCACCACATAGATATTCCTGTACCTGTACCACACACCTAATTATGTACGGGGTTAGTACTTGTATTAATATTCATGAATACAGCACATGAATATACAGTCTCTCCTCGACTTACGACAACCTGGACATACAACAGCCATGGTCGTATAAAATATTTTTCACAGTACGTATTTTCGAGTCCCGATGTTAGTGATCGCGCTGTGTACTGACAAAATTTTTGTTTGTAATTCCCTTTAAAATGGCTGGCAAGCATAAAAGTGAGAGTTCTCGTGGAGCTGAGAAGAAAAAGAGACACCCATTTTAGAATTTATATGCATTATTTTGCCTTTTCGACTTACGACCCGGTCGTCGGGACGGAACCCGTCGTAAGTCGAGGAGAGACTGTACTGTACTGAAGCCCAATAACACAAAAGCTCTTACTGTGGTATTAATGATGCCTGCTCCATGTGTTCGGATGGAATTGGCAATGTGTTTGATGGTGACAGTGCTGAGGTGTTTGTTGTTGCTACTGGCCTCCACAAAGAACTGCTGGTTCAAGTTGTACAGGTAATGCTGCACAAACACGTGAATATTGCGCATAATCTCCAGAACATCAACACCCTGTCAAAATTATGCCAGTAGTTAAGTGGTAGAATGGAGAACAAGACTGAAATGAGTGATAAGACATAGTAACATACAAATAGATACATATGAAGAAATATATAAATACAGATAGACACAGGCCACACAACTACTGTACTGTATACTATACAAAGATAATGTCCAATGGTCAAGTGGACTGACAGTGATACATTAGGTGAGGAGGGGTCTTGTTGGATGAATATAACTCTACTAAGTCTTTGACATGAATCCCTCAGATACCAATGACCATAATCCATAAAAGCTTTGAATAAATTAACTGAATAATTTTAAGACATGAATCTTTAAAAAAATAGAAAAAAAAAGGCCAAGTATCCCATAATGATACAAGTCAATATTCCCTTCAAGGGCATTACTTTGCATATCAATGACCTTCATCCATGATTTTTTTTTAATTATTTGCTGATGAGTTTTTTATGAAAAGTACTGTACAGTACAGTAATTGATTTTTGAAGTTTTCTCTACAAATCTCCCCATCACCATAAAGAATAAATTCTAGGGACAATTAATGCCATTCACCACAACCTTTAACTTATCCGAGGTTATGACATGGTCATACAGCAACCGTTCAGTATTCCACCAACAACAACCATCGTAGACCAACACCACAATACCTGTCTCAAACAGAGAGGGCAATTCGTCGGCATACGTAATGCTGGGTTAAGTATCAACGAGATTGCAAGGCAGATGGGAGTCTCGAGATCAACAATGCGGTGTTGGTTACAGCGGTTTGAAGAGTCTGGTAATTTAATATATCTTTCCAGATCAAGACGGCTTAGACTGACCAGAGCAGCAGACTATGTGAGGATTGTGGCAGACATGCGCGACCATCCTTTCACCAATGTGGTGGCCACTATGGAGCAGCTGCACTTGGAGAGTTAGGCAACGACTCCATGGAATTGGGATCCACCACAGGGTTTCTGTTATCAAGGAAAGGTTCGAAGAACAACACTGGGTTAGGGGGCTACAGTTCCCAGAGCAGTATGTGGGGGAGGACCTGGACTTCTGGGCAACCATGGCCGTCTTCACTGCTGGAGACCTGTTAACACCAGTTACAACCGGCAACATGTTTATCAGGAAGCCAGGGGCAGCCACGTGACCGTAAACATGTGGAGTTGGATCAACCGTAACAGTGAGGGCGAGTTGGCAGAGATAATATGTTTTTTCCTTCTTTTTGTATTATAAACATATAGTTTTTTTTTGTTTAGAGGCAACATGTTTTCTTCCTATCCTCATGTGGAACACTTTTATTTCACCAAATATTTAATACTCAATTAAACTTAAGAGTGATATAACATAGTTCACTCGAACCAATTTTACCAATTGGAACATAGAGCACACTCCCAAACAAAGTAACGCTCAAACAGTGTGTGTGTGTGTGTGTGTGTGCACATCAGTCAGGGAGGGGGTGTCCACATCATGTTTTCCGTTCTCTTTCAAATTACCATGGAACCCTGTAATATGTAAAGTTAATATATCAAATGTGGCACCTCATTATACTAAAAATGGTAGCCATTGAAATGTGACACTGATGATATGTAGGAACGAAAGGAAAAATTTACTTGAGCACATCACTCCTGCCGCCCTGCTGTCTGGAACCTTCAACAACCCTCTCACCTATCAGCAACCATCTCTCCTATTAGGAACCCTCTCTGCTATGACTTGAAATTGAGTTTCTCTTTATGCAGCATATTTGATACCTGTCCTCCTGACACTGACATAAGACAACTCTTATCACCGATACATGGTGTAGTTGAAAGAGGATGTGCACATAGACACGACATAGAATGGATTGTTCACATAATCAAGGTGTCTAGCAGACGGTGTAGAATGATGTGTGTATGATGGTGGTGGTGGTGGGGGGGGGGGCACACATTTCGTTTGTGCTCACAAAATACATTGGTTCTCGTCATTCAATGTAGGTCATAATAATTATTAATTGGTTTGTTCCTGACATTGCTGGCAACATGGCAATCTAGGCATGTAATGTGCCCTTTAAACCACAGATCGAAGCTTAAACTATGGGCCCAGTAGTTCCATCATGTGTGTTCGTGCGTGTGTGTCTCTGACGTTGCCACTTAGCCAGGTTAGGCAAAACTGCCTGGCACAGGACTTTTAGCCAGGACTGTACATGCACTGTATACTGTACATACAGTACACCCTCTACACACTAATCTACAGTAGGCATACACTGTCCACTCTCTTCTATTCAGTACTGTACAGTACATATGGTACTGTACTTTAACATTTATTGAATGTAAAGTACACTACTGTACAGTATACGTAACTGTAATCACTTATTACTTCTTAACACTACTTTTAAGGTCTTCTTAGATGATTATATCCTGATACATTAATGTACAGTACTGCACAACACAGATCGCATGCAGAAACAGAACAGCAGTGAGCAAGCGAACATGCATGTACAACAGCAGCAGACAATGAATTAAGTGTGTTTAAGGAGATAGGCTGTGAGGTACATCAGCCAATCATGGCATCCCATGCAGTCACATGACAGAAGTGGCCAAATGTAGCTCACGGGCACTCTGAGCCTACCCACCCACACAACCGGCACGCCCCCGTGTCGGAAATGTGATGCAATCTTTCAGAAATTTGTTCCCATGCCCGGAACGGAGAGATTTTCACAAAATTTTCTGGAAACATGCAAGATGCAATCCCCGGAAATTCGTTAGGATACCCTGATTGAAGAGATTTTTCCTGGAATTTCTCGTAATGCAAAAAAAAATAAAAATAATAATAATAATAATAATTCCAACTGTTGGAGAGTTCCACGCATTGATGATTCTGGCTAATGGGGAGATTACTGTAATATAAATAAAAAAATCTCGCCATTGACCCCTTCAATTCTATGTCATCCATCCCTGAAGATTTCTAAAATACTCATCATCCTTACTAAAACATACTCATACTGTTGAACAAACAGATTCCTGTACAGTAGAATGTCAGTTTAAAGCGATTCAATTTAAAGCAACACCCACAATTAAGGACAATGTTTTAATTTAAAGCAAATCTTTCCTATTTTGAACGGGTCAATCTGGCGCATCATATTTTAAAATTCGCGCCTAATGTTTCTCTGGGAACGCGAAAGTGTCCTAAGGGCAAAGCTGTACTGTACATGTACTGTACTCAAAATAATGTAATAAATGATTACTAAAATTTTTGTCAAGTGCAAACTATAGCATGATTACTGTATATTAAAATTAATCATTATCTTATAAGAATTCCAGCAATGTAAATTATATTCTACTCGGTCACTTCTGTGACATTTTATAAACAAAAAACAAAAACTCAATCTAAAGGACATAAATAAGCAAATAAATACTTCACTAGACCTTCAGCCCCAACTGTCAAACATGTCACTGTCACCTCCCCTTCCTCCCTCCCTCCCAGGGTTGGGTGGTTATAGGCTTACAGTTTTTATCTTATATAATATCACAGACTAAAGTTAGGAGAATATAATCTGTATTGCTAGAATCTTTGCAAGACAGAGGATAATTTTAATATAAACGTCATATATTTTGCACAAGAGAGTAAAATTTTAGCCATTTGTAATAAAATTAATTAGAACATGTCAGTTCAGTGACATTTTAGAAGAGAAAAACTTAAAGTCACTCTTATGGACAGATAAATAAATAAGCACTAGACCTTGGCATCAAGTGTCAAACATATCACCTCACCCCCCATCTTCCCATCAGCTGATCGCTAGTAAACAGACCATTTTACGTCCCAAAATTTTAGCTGTGTTGATTTATGAGTGTTTCTTTTAACATAATACTACAAAAAACAATGTTTTGTTTATTCTAGGAGGTGGGCTGAGGTGCATCTGGGTAGACTCAGTCTTTTTAGTATTTTGTGTTTCTCTCAAGTACAGTCGGCCCTTAACATACGCGGGTTTAGCATACACGGATTTGCAAATATGCGGATTGCCCCGCCGGAGGAATATTCTGTACATTGAAGTAATTGAAGTACATTCAAATCGGGCGCCATTCAACTCGCGCGTGGCACCAAACACAGGACACCGCCCGCTCCCGCAACCTCACACACACACACGCATAGCTCTCCCTCACTCAGTCAGTCTCGCTGTAACCACACTTGTGTTGACATCAGCATTGTAGTTGCAAAAATATTACATTTCCGTGAATGTATTATATCAAGCACAGTATGAATAGAATATCACTAGTATAACAGTATTTCAACCGAAAACTATTAAAAAAACGAGTAACATATCTTGAACATCGGAAGGTTAGGTAAAGTCTTTTGCTTTCATGTAGTTTATCCTAATTTACATTGAAATACAATACGTTTCAGCAAAACTACTATTTATTTCTGAGAATATGGAAATGTAATATTTTTGCTGAAATGACATACGTATTACAGTGGAAAGTGGCGAAAGCAATGACTTTCGCTTTCTTTCGTTCAAAAGTTGTTACCGTAATCGCTTTTCGAATGGTTTTCAGTTAAAAAACTTTTGTATTACAATAGTATTCTATCCTAATTCACTTGTGATGCAACAGTTTTTTAAACTGAAAATCATTCGAAAAGCGATTACGGTAACATCTTTTGAACGAAAGAAAGCAAGTCATTGTTTTCGTCACGATTTTATCCCACTTTCCACTGGAATACGTACGTCATTTCAGCAAAAATATTACATTTCCGTGAATGCATTATATCAAGCACAGTATGAATAGAATATCACTGTAATATAACAGTATTTTAACCGAAAACTATTATAAAAACGAGTAACATCTCTTGAACATCGGAAGGTGAGGTAAAGTCTTTTGTCTTCGTCATGTATTTTATCCTATTTTACATTGAAATACATCACGTTTCAGCAAAACTACTATTTATTTCTGAGAATATATTCATTCAGCCACAGTTTAGGTAAAATATACATGTGATGTAACATTTTTTTAACTGAAAATGATTCGAAAAACACGTACCCTCTAGCCCTGTTCAAGGAGAAGACTGGGAGGAGCTGTTTGGTGTTGAAGACGATGACAAGGAAAATTATTTTGATGGATTTTTATGAAAATATTCAGAAATATGGTAACGTAGTATTTGTTCAAGTGAATTAGGATAGAATATTATTGTAATACAACAGTAGTGACAATGTGGAGGAGGTGGAGGGATAGAGCAGGGAGAAGGCGGAGGGATAGAACGGGGAGGTGACTGGCGGGAGCAGGGACGAGTGGAGATGCCAGCCAGTACATTACGGGTGTATTAATTGTTTTTATAGCTATTTTTGCATTTTAATATTAAATACTGTACATTACGTTTCAACAAAACTACCATTTATTTCTGAGAACATGGAAATGTAATATTTTTGCTGAAATGATGTACGTATTACAGTGGAAAGTGGGATAAAATTGCGACGAAAGCAATGATTTTCTCTTTCTTTCGTTCAAAAGATATTACTGTAATCGCTTTTCGAATGGTTTTCAGCTGTGGGATTATAAGGCTAATGATAGGATAGAATATTATTGTAATACAGTACGAGTACAACAGTTTTTTAACTGAAAACCATTCGAAAAGCGATTACGGTAAAATCTTTTGAACAACGAAAGAAAGCGAAAGTCATTGTTTTCATCATGATTTTATTCGACTTTCCACTGTAATATGTACGTCATTCCAGCAAAAATATTACATTTCCATATTTATTTCCGAGAATATATTCATTCAGTCACAGTTAAGGTAAAATATACTTGTGATGTAATATTTCAATGAAAATACGGTATCGTAGTTTTCTTTTGTTTCAAATTTAATTAACAAAGATTGATGTTTCAAATGTAATGAACAAAAATTTATGTACAGTATCTATAAATAAACTTTAATAAATGAATACTTTATGTTTTACATCGTCCTGTGCTACCATACCATGCATTTGGCTACTTTGGGCTTGCTATGATGGCGCAAGAGATGTGCCCTGGCAACTGTACCGACACTCACAGCTGGTGGTGCGTTGGTGCATCGTTTCCATTGTTTACTGGTAGTTACTGGTAAATATTTTTCAACCTAACGAAACTATTACCCGTTTAGAGGTCAACCCCCAATTTTTTGCCAAATAATTTGGTCTTAAAAACTCGAACTACACACAGGTATATACGGTAAATAAGGACATGGGGGCAGCAAAAATACACGGATTTTTAACATCCACGGGTATCTCTGTTCCGTAACCCCCGCGTATGTTAAGGGCCGACTGTACCAAACTAAATTATTCCATTGAAACAACACTAAGATTTAGTGTGAATTCGGTTTAAAGCGACCTCTCTTGGAACGTATCTCGTGTTATATCGACGTTCTACTGTAGTCCTCTCGATAATCCAGTTCATACAACTAAAACACAAACGACTACAGAATGCCAACTTTGTGGATGATACCTGATCTAAGGTGTGAGACGGCAGGTGTGACGGTACAGTAAATATGTTGTACTTGGAAGCTGCCAGGTTTCGCATTTCCTCATAGGTTCTCCAGTCATGGGGAGCCACAACAGTCAGGGCATAGAATGTCCTCTCCAGATATTGCTCAACATAGTCTAAAACATATAAGAATCACCTTAATAAGGTACTAATGCAAATAAATAAAATAAAATAAAGTACAGGGGGGTCCTCATTACATGCCAGGGATATGTTCCAGAGAAAAATTACTTATAGTGAAACATTTTATAATGATAATTCACTTCCCACTCTTATTAAGTCTCATTTTATAGATTATTTTCTTTATTTCTAAATTTAATTAGAAATAACGTATACCAATACAGGTAGTTCTGCTATAACGCGATAATTGTGTTCTTGTAAAATATCGTGTTATAGAAAATCGCGTAATAGAAATAACAGGGCTTATGGAGAAAATAGGGTTAGGTGCAGATTACTCAAAATCGAAAAAATTTAGTAGTTAGCCTAACACAAAGGATAGCACAGTCTAAATAAATGTTACATTCATATCTAATAATGAAATCATACAATAAATGTAACACTTTACTTGATGGGGGAGAAGGGTGATTTTGAGGTTGATAAAATCGAGCTTCTCTTCAAGTGTTATATCCTTTCTTTTACGATCATCACCGGGAATTCTATCACCAGAACGGTTCTTGTTGATATTCTTCTTTACCATATTCACATTATTTAAATTTTTTTTTCTTTATTGTTTTATTATTACAAATATTAATGATATTCTTTATTTCAGGGGTTTAGATGCATATTTATGCACTTTTTTACAATTTTTACAATTTTATATTGCAGTATATTTTTCAGTGTTAAGTGGTTGTATTTGGGGGCCTGGAACGGATTAATCCTATAACGAATGAATGCTATAACGAACAAGGTTCTAGAACCAATTAGATTCATTATAGCATACCCCACTGTACCACATAATTGGAGAAATAGTGAGCAAAAATCGCGTTATAGCAAACAAGCGTTCGCGTTATACAAATATCGTTCCTAATTCATAAATCGCGTTAGAGCAAATTCGCGTTATCAAAACACGCGTTATAGCAGAACTCACTGTACAGCGCATAGTGAGGACCCCTATACAATAATAAACAACAGCTTGAAATGGAAAAAAAAATTCCTTCTTCACACAGTAGCTATAATCATGAGCAATGTCATCAAGGAAGTGACACACAATTGCCAATCATCTGGATCCTAGTGACTTCAGCTATTACAAAATGTCCAATAAGCAGGTTCAGTACAGTACTTGTAGGAGCTATCATAAAAAGTCTTACTCTGAAAACTTTAGTGTTTCATAGGTCCAACATGTGATGATACCTGCAAAACTTGTTTATTTATATGGAAATAATGTATAGCTATAATAAAGACATTGCTTACCTTTTACTGATATGACAGAATCAAGCAGACTGAGCGGCTGTAGGTACAGTAACGGAGAAACATCCTTTAATGGAGTCTGGAAGGGGTTGCGGTTATCTAGCTGAAGGTGGGAGTGAGTGCTCAGTCGTAACTCTGTTTCTACAGCTTGACAAGTTTTATCCAGAACCTAAAAAAGAAAACAAAACAAAAAGATCTATGAGATTAAATGTCACACTTTAAATCCTAATACAGTACAGTATAGTATAGTACACAGTTTAAAGGTTAACTCCTGAAAAAATGGGTACAGTCGCTCAAAAAAGTATCTGAAAAATATTGTTCATGACAATATGACACATCAGACGTATGTTTTGGGGAAATGGTAGAGGACCAGGCAACAATGCCCAGACAACAGGGGTTGTATTATTCATTTTAACATCCATTGGACCTCACTTTTCAGATACCTTTTTGAGCGACTGTACCTCATGAAGATTTGGAACCCCATATTACAGTAAGTCCTCACTTAATGTCGTGGTTACGTTCTTGAAAAACACAACGTTAACGGAAACTATAACAGAATAAATTTTCCCCATAAGAAATAGATAAAATACGCTAGTTATGTTCCCCAGCCTCCCTTTGCCCCATAAAATACATTACATATACATAATTTCAATGGAATTTTTATAGAAAATAGTATACTGTATATTATACATCCCAAAAGATAAATAAGCTAAATCATTTTGTATTGTACTCAGTGATGGGCAGAGGTGGTGCGAGTGTGTGGTGAGTAGTGGAGGGGAGGGTGGCGAGTCATTGAGACCTCCATTTTCATAGCAAGGCTTATGGTCTAGCATTGCTTCTTCACAACACAAGCATCACTAGCACTTAATGGGCGCTTTCAAGTAATTTCGAATGGTTGCAGTACAGAATTTAGAGCAAAAACACTTAAACATGCATGTACTCTGTGGAAGCCTAACAAAGACTGGGGACGCTGTGATGCTCCGCGAGAGAGCGTAGCGCGGCAATATGAGAGAGGGCGATGTTTCATACAAAGTAGTCCGTGACGACGTTATAACGAATCGGGCGTGACGTTGTCGGAATCATGGGTATCTAAAGAGTAGCGACGTTATAACGAAACAATGTTGTCGGGGGCAACGTTAAACGAGGACTTACTGTACTTCATCTCATGATTAAATACCCTAATACTAAGCTATCCTATCCTTACCTAACCTCTCTCAGGTAATGTTAGTGGTGAAATATATTGTGGTTCCTAATCTTCATGAGATCCCAAAATGCTATTCAAAATTATTTTTTAGATCACATCTTATCATTATGCAGGAGAGAGATTGTTGGATACTACTTTTGTTTTTGGTCATTCTGATCCACAAACTGTGGAAGCAATTTTGAGTAGATTGGTATTTAAAATTTTGTACCTCCAATCATACAGCATGGAAGGTTGATGCTAAGTTTTTATACAGTGTGTTTTTACTTTTTTTTAAGAAAATAAAGAAAAGGCAAGTTATAATACCCTTAAATTATTTGTTTTGAGTTATTTTACCCAAGACACTCATATTTTTTACAGTTAAAAGAAGAGCGTATGCCATGGACTTTCTGGATACACATGACTAATGTGTAATACTGTATAAGTAATATATTGATAAGAAACAGACCAGATGTAAGTTGAGAGAAAGTACAGTACATGTAACTATATAATCAACAATACTAGAATCTATCATTATGATTCACACAAAAGTTTGTTTCTAAAGGAAAAAGTTGCCATAAAACATACAAACTCCGAAGTAACTTACACACTCCTTGATGTGTAAATAGACCTCGTCCTTGAACTGGCTTAACAGTTGGTCTGCAGAATCAAGATGACAACATTTCTCTAGCTGGATGGCACAATCTTGTACTGCTGCCAGCATAAACTGAATTGATAGAGGGACAATTTAGTCATTCTGTACAGTGTTGTCTTAATATACAATGAATAGAAATACTAACTACAGTAAAGTGATTATTAATGATTATTACGTAGCACAGGCAGTCCCTTGGTTTTGAACGAGTTCCATTCCAGGGAATGTTCTTAAATTGAAAATGTACATACCGTATGTCGAAACACATGCTATGTGCATACCATACTTACAAGTACAGAACAATGTTTAAAAATCCCACTATCAAAGACTAAGTCCTTACATACTGTATATCTAAAAAATTACTTAATTTAAGAGAAAAGAAGAATTAGAATGACAAAATACAGTAATGAAAGTAAAAAAAAAGTCAACAGGTACATAAAATACTGTAAACTTTAAGTTTAACCTCGTTCGTATCGGCTGATGTTCGTAAGTCGGACGTTCGTAAACCAGGGACTGCCTCTATTGGATTAGGGTGTGTAATACTCTCTGGCACATAGGAAAGTCACATACCATTATAAAGTACAGTAAAACCTTGATAACTTGGCACATATGGGGCTGTAGCCCTACCGAATCATCCCAAATTCTGATTCATCGAGGCACTTCCGACCCCCTTACAAAAATACAACAATAATTTTTTTTTTGCCCATAAGTAACACTTACTGGCACTCCAGGCATTGAAGCATTGTAGTAGGTGAGAGGAATGGTAGGTGACACAGAGGCATGATAGGTAACGCAGGGGAATGGTAGTTCACGCAGGTGATGGAGGGGAAACACTACATAAACAGTAAACAATTTGGCACTTATGTATACTTCTGTAATTTGGTCACTTATACAAAATAAAAAATAATAATTTTCTCTACGTATAATTCAAGTCTGAACACTGTATGTAAATAAACATATACAGGTACTCCTTGACTTACGACCTACTCGACTTGCGACCACCCGGACATACGACCGCCGCAGTTGTACCAAAAAAAATCTAATTTCATACGTATTTTCTAGTAACAAAATGTTTCCATCCCGTACGACAGCATGGCGTGGGCTGGGCCACCTCGTCATGTACAGTGTCCACGTCGTAGCCCGCTCAGTTGGTGTTCGGCCGTCGTTGTTGTTAGTGATCGCGCTGTGTACTGAAATTTTTTTTTTTTAATTCCCTTTAAAATGGCTGGCAAGTGTAAAAGTGAGAGTTCTTGTGGTGCTGAGAAGAAAAAGAGACAGTCAATTTCTTTTGAGATGAAAATGAAAATAATAATGCAATATGAAAATGGAAAAACAGTAGCAACCACTTCACGCGACCTTGGCTTCTCTCACTCGACGATATCAACAATTTTGAAGGACAAGGAACGAATTCGTGAAGTAATGAAAAGATCAGCACCTATAAACGGAACAATAATAACGAAAAATAGACAAGGTCCTCTTCATGAGATGGAGAAATTACTTGTGATGTGGATGGAAGATCAGCTGCAAAAGCGTGTACCCTTAAGCCTTCTAACCATACAGGCTAGGGCAAGAAGCCTTTTCGAAAGCCTGAAAGAGCAGGCAGGAGATGAGTGCGACCAAAACTTCACAGCAAGTCATGGGAGGTTCCAAAGATTTAAGAAACATAACAATTTGCACAGTGTAAAGGTGAAAGGGGAGGCAGCAAGTGCTGATGTTGGTGCTGCCGAAGCTTTTAAGGAGGAGCTAGATCGTGTCATCGTGGAGGGAGATTATTTGTCAGAGCAAATATTTAATGTGGATGAAACTGGCTTATTCTGTAAGCGCATGCCAGAAGGGACATACATCCACAAAGAGGCGAAAACCATGCCGGGATTCAAGGCATTCAAGGACCGAATCACACTTCTGTTGGGGGGGAATGTAGCTGGTTTCAAGGTAAAACCCTTCATGATATACCATTCAGAGAACCCAAGGGCTTTTAAAAATGTCAGCAAGCACACACTGCCAGTGTTTTATCATAGTAATAAGAAAGCATGGCTGACCCTAGCACTGTTTGAAGATTGGTTCCTGTGTTGTTTCATTCCACGAGCCAAGGAGTATTGTCTGCAACAAGGGGATGTGTTCAAGATTTTATTAATTTTAGATAATGCTCCTGGACACCCACCACACCTGGACGACCTGCACCCTGATGTTAAGGTAGTCTACCTTCCACCTAACACTACCTCTATCATCCAACCCATGGATCAAGGTGCTGTTGCTGATTTTAAAGCGTATTATTTACCTACGACCTTCGCTCAGGCTGTTGCTGCTACTGAAGGTGAGAAAACGCTCAGAGAGTTTTGGAAGGACTACATTATGAAATGTATAAAGAACATAGCTGCAGCATGGGATGAGGTTACAGGTCAGTGCATGAATGGAATTTGGAGGAAGGTCCTGAAAAGATGTGTGAACAGTTTCAAAGGATTTAATGAAGATGAAGCAATTTCTGAGATTAGTAACAAGATAGTGGGGTTGGGTAAACTGCTGGAGTTAGAAAATGATAATGAAGATGTTGAGCAGTTGATTGAAAGTGTAGCAGAAGAGCTAAGTAACGAGGATCTTATTGAACTGGATGCACAGAAAATTGCAGAGGAAGAAGAAAGACAAAATGTAGAAGAACCTGCACCACCCAAAAAATTTTCAGTGAAACAAATGGCAGAGGCATTTGGTACTACAGTGGTCCCTCGGTTAACGAATGGTTCGATCAACGAAATTTCGGTTAACGAATTACCTTCCATAAGGATCTTCAATTCGGTTAACAAACAAAACTTCAATTAACGAAATCCTTACAAACAACACATTTTGTTGTGAGCATCAGCTGATGATGGGCTAGTCTGCCAATTCAGTAATCTGTTCTATGTTTACAATCGTTTCCAGTGGAGTAAATATCTAGATGTGCTCTTCAATATTTTTGCATTTTTTGTATTAAAATTATGTCATTTTAAAATTTAGTTAACATATTGATAATATAGTGTATGCAGTACAGGGAACTAGTTTTTTGTGCGCCCATCAGCCGCTTGACTCAGCCACCAGGCGTCAGTTTGGCTTTGTTGACAGTGGAGTGAACATCTATTTTGTTAGTGTCTTGAATATTTTTGCATTTTTACATTTAAATTATTGGTCATTCTGAAATTTAATTAACATATTGATAATATAAAGCGCAGTGTTGATTTAAATAAAATAATCTTGAATTACACCTAGTGAACTTAAAATTTTATTGGTGAAATGACGGCATCAAGCATGGGTCCCCTGAAAGACGATTTCTCCTCCATCCCCACTTCCTTCTCTTCTCCCTTCTCCTCCACCCCCACTTCTAATTCTCATCATCATCAACCAGGAACCTTCTACATACACACCTCAAAGTAAGTGTACTTTACTGCATTTTTTTTACTTTGTATATACTTTTCTGTGAGCTGGAACCAATTACCCAATATCCCTTTGAAACAATGGATTCGGTTAACAAAATTTTAACTTAACGAATGACTCTGTGGAACGAATTGTGTTCGTTAACCGAGGGACCACTGTAATAATAAGGGGACGCAAATGTTTGACGAAATGGATCAAAATGTTGAGTGTTTTTCAAAAGTTGACAGATTGATCCAAGATGCACTTGCTTGCAACAGGGAGATTTACAATGAAAAGAAAAGGCAAACTGTGTAGTCTAAATTGGACATATATTTTAAGAAATCCCCCACTGCAGTCTCCTCACGCCCCACCAGTGCTGCCTCTTCACTCCCTAAAGATGATCCAATACCTTCAACAAGCAAGTATGTTAGCCTGTCTGAAGAAAGCAAAACTGATGACCCACCCAGCCCTGTCTCCTCCTCTGCTTCATCCAATTAATGTAGTCTCCATATTTAATAAAAAAATTATTGGGGCCCCGTGAGCATTCAGCTGACTACATTAAAGATAAGTGCACAGTAATACTTTATTAATTTTCATTATTGATTACTTTTACTGTACTGTATTTCATTTTAGATTTTCTATGTATTATTTTTGCCTTTTCGATTTACGACCAATTCAACTTACGACCTGGTCGTCAGTCCCTAACCCCGTTGTAAATCGGGGACTGACTGTATCTTGTATCACTAAGGATATTATAGTCCATCCTAGTAAAGCCATTTTCCTTATTACAGAGCAAAAGAGTACAAATTATAATGCTCAAAGGTGGCTTAGAAATAGAAATAAAGAAAATATAATATAAAACTATAAAATAAGAAAAATGAAGTGTGTGTGTGTGTGGGGGGGGGGGGAGGATATGTGAAGGCAGTGATTTGTACTGCCTGAATGATTCACCCACCTCCTTCCCTCTCATGTGACGTCATGGTAGACACACATACACACACGTCTCGGTCAGCTGGTTAACTGCCTGGCTGAACTGTGATGTTACTCAGATAACACTGGGCTGCATTTGAAAAAAAATTCATGAGGTGCCGGGTTTCTTAGCTGATTCTTTATGTATTTTGCGTGCTGATTCCAAAAATGCCATTCATTTTGCCCAATCAGGTCAGATTTTTATGCTATGGGAATTAGGAAAAAATCAAAATTCTTAAATATGATGTCAAAATTTTTATGCAAAATATATCATAAGAAATGTAACCACAACACATAGGACCAAAATATGTCAACTACATAGATGCCTTTACAGTTAGACATGCATAAATGGCTGTCGCAGAGAATTTCTTTGGTGGTTGGTGTCTGGGGCGTCCCGTTTCAGACACCAACAGTAGTCGGCGAGCATGTTGATATCCCAGCGACCCTGGTACCGCTCCTCCATTACACGGATATCTTGATGGAAGCGTTCTCCTTGTTCCTCACTCACATCACCACAGTTCTCTGGAAAGTAGTCCAAGTGGGAGCTGAGGAAGTGCATCTTGATGGACATGCGTGCACCAAGAACTTTGTAGCTCAGAAGTAGGTCCTCAACAACTCGTTCATACTCTGGACTTCTGTAGTTGCCAAGAAAATTGGAGACAATAGACTTAAAGGCATGCCAGGCTTTCTTCTCATTTACATCCATGCTGCAATCAAACTTGGGATCTTTGAAAAGCTCTCTGATCTGAGGGCCATCAAAAATTCCTGCATTCAGCTTTGCCTCACTGACTTTTGGAAATTTTTCTTTCAGAAAATTGAAAGCCTGGCTTTTTTTGTCCAGTGCCTTTACAAAGTTTTTGAACAGACCGAGCTTGATGTGCAGTGGCAGAAGAAGAATGTTCTGCGGATTCACCAGAGCATGGGCAACAACATTGTGAGAACCTGGAGTAAGTCCACTTCTTGCAGGCCAGTCACATTGCATGTAGTGCTGCTTGTCTGCTCGACTATCCCACAGACAGAGGAAACATGCCATGTACCACCAGATGAAAAAGAAATTTAATTGTGAAAAAATATATGTAAAAAAACACGGACATATACTCTTTTCCTTTGCGTCACGGCGGACATTTAAATGGCCGGCGAGCACGTGGGTGTATTTAAATGCATCGTAAGGGCATTAAAACTGACCGAAATCTTTTCTGTGAGGCTTGCCAATGTCTCGGATGATTTTTTTAATGAACGAATATGAGGACCCCATTTTGAGCGAAAAATGCCAATATTTTACCTGAATCTCCGCTTAAAATGCTATAGCACAAAATTCTGACCTGATTGAGCAAAATGGATAACATTTTTGAGATCAGCATGCAAAATACACCCAGAAAAGCTTAATAATACACAAACCTCAAAAACTATGCAGGGCAGTGTAATGGTTTGAGTGTGGAAGGAGCTATCTTTTCTACATAAAAAATGGGCTGTTTTATTTTATATACTATGCTATGTATCAATTTTATTTTTTATCATAGCATTTTTTTTAAAGTGGTTATAGCGCTACTGGTGTCAAAGACGTGGATAAACAACTTCAGTTGTTTTTGGAATGTTGGACTAAATTTGAATTTTTACCAAATGGACAAAGTTGGGATACCTGGAAGATTCAGATAATTGAAATTAAGATAAAATGAATTGCACTGTAAATTAAATAAAGTTTACCACATTGGATTTACCGTAATAGAGGAGACGTTCTGCATACAGTGGCTGGCCCAACATGAATGGAGGAGGTTGTTGGGTGTTAATGGGTTAGTACTGCCCCAGATAGTTTGTGGTAAAATGTATAGTAGCTTATACCCAAATTATTGGGGTGCTGCAGCACCCTCCCTTCCCATGTCCATGTACAGGGTGGAGTGAGCCAGCACACACCGGACCACAACAATAGCAAAAACCAGACTGACCAAGCATGGAGCGTGGCGAGTGTTACCCATGCAGCCAAAAATGCTAAGATTTTCCAAGATAATTTTATATAACTCGGCATTTCCTAAGTTATTTTATAATAAATTTTGAGACCATATATGTGCCGAATTATATGAAATTCCGAGATATCAAATGCCGAGTTATCAAGGGTTTACTGTAATATACAGGAAGGGGGAACTCACATGAATATGATGAACATGGTCAAAACTTTGAAAGTATTGATTCAGATATGCTGGAAAGATTACACGGTGATGGTAGAGGATTGAGCAGTTGGTGGCTTCCTTCACACGGGACTGAACTTCACAGGCCAGGTCTAAGCGACGCAGAAGTACTAGAAGTGATGAGACATCTTCTTCCTGAATAAAAAAATTATCATTTAGAGGGATTTTCTCCACAAAAATGCTTTTATATTCTAAGTGATAGTCTTACCATTCTAAAAGAATCATTAATATGCCTTCCTCTTACTGTCAAACCTTACAATAAATCAGCCATCAAGTACACTACTCTACAGTAGATTCTGAACTCTCTGAATCTTGTCCTGTAATATTTATTTTTTGTTAAATTCCTTTTACCTATCTTGTGTGATTTGCATTCTCATTAAACTGTTTTACCATAATACTGACTTGTGGAATCTTTTATATAGTAGTTTTTTAAATAGAATTATTGCACAAATGAAAAACTCTCCAAATGTCTCAGAAGTTAAAGAATATGCTGATTATTTACCAGACATCATCTAAACCTTCCCATGGTAGAATCCAGAGTACAGTAATTAAATTTACCAGTTTACCCTTATATTATTGTACTAGAGGATACAGCTTATCTTACCCTTAATGCTCTAGCCTGATTAGCAAGTGATAGAGCCACACGTATGACCAGCCGCCGTTCCTTTGTCCCAGATCCTGACAGCATCTGCTCAACCAAAGCAAGTGCCATTAAGATGTCCAACCGACGGCCATCTAAACGTGCACTGGATACTCTTGTCTGTAAAGGTACATAATGTAAATTATGGTTTCTTATACTTTGAAAGCATTAAGTAATATACAACAATATTTATAGAGGAAATCCAAAAATGACAGACTTGGAACTATGAAGATGTATGACATCATGTAACTGTTACATGATGCTTCAATAACTAACACCAGAGGATCTATAAAATAAAAAGTATAGATTACTGTACTTTGCTCCTTTATGTTACTCAAATAAAATGCAAATACATGTACTGTATTGTACTTGTAATGGGCCCCTGTCTCATCAACAGAACATATTGTATAAATGGGTCAATACATCTGATATTATATTCAGATTCACCACCCTGTAACTTTCCACTGTCGTTGAGTAAGACATGAGTTGTACACGTGAGAGGGCAACTCTCCCAGGAGGGAGAGACCCATCGTCAGCATATTTGTAAGCCCGCACAGCGAGGCCCTTACTCCTTAGTCGCTCACAGAAAGTTATACCGTAAGGACGTGACCTAACGTTTATAATACATAAACGCTGTCCCTTTCTCATTCACTCCTATACAGTGGAACTTACGGTCGATCTACACTCAGGAATTATATATACAATCCTTTTATAATTAAACAAGGAACTGCCGTTTGGGTTTCGTTACTTAAACCCAAATAATAAATATATGTGAACAGCCTGGTTAATTGCACAAGTAGCCGATTCATACTCCTAACACACAGGTTTCACCACACAGTTCATTATGCTGACCTTTGCAGCAGAAACAATAGAGAGCACTTGGCATGTAAGATATTGCATAACGTGAGGCAGTGAGTCTGCCAGGAGGGAACTGTGACGATGATATGTGTTCTCTATGGCCTTCAGAGATTCCATGAGACGACAGACACTTAAGGCACATGCCTTTCCCATGGGACGACCAAGGATAGTGTGTAGATTGAGTACAGTCTCAATACTGTATTTGATTGTGTGTGCCAAGATCATCCCCTGGAAAAAAAAAATGAAAATTAGTTAGTCATTCAACATATAAAACCTTCTTCAACTTGTTATTACCAGTACAGTATCAAGGCCGATCATGTAATTCTTCCAGGTAACTTTGGTAAGAGTAAACTCGTCAATAATGATCAATGTACCAAAATATTTCCGTCTGGTGAACTATCTCTATATCATAAAAATATATTAAATCCTCATTATTTATTGCAAAATTACCCATTTTGCACAATATGTTACAAACAAGACAAAAGAGGATCTGATTCTTACAGTTTTTAATCCTTATCATTGTTTAAGGGTTAAAGAATTGCTTTCTATTAAGAAGGTAAAAGTTATACAAATTATATACAGTAGTACAGTACTTTTCAAATTTATATGATTCACATACCTGTAATAACAGAAAAGATCGCTGACTCAGGTCTTGATTTTTCATTTGACTTGAATGTTTCTTTGATGCAGCATCCAAGTTCACAGACCAACCACACACCTTTATGTAATCACTAAATTAAATACTGTACTGATACTGTATTTTCAGAAACAATAAATTACAGTACAGTACACACATACACACTGTAACTATTCATAAATATACAATACAGGTAAACCTCAAGATACGATATCCCGAGAAGCAACATTCTGCTTTAATGATGGTCATAAATTAAAACTATCTCGCTATATACAGTACAATCAAAATATCTCGCTTTAATGATATCCATCGAATAGCCATCGATATCCATTGGTTGGATATTTTTATCTGTAGTGCAAACTATGGGTTGTATATATTCAAATTAATTGCTATCTTACAAGGATTCCAGCAATGCAAATTATATTATTCTACGTCAAGTCAGCGACATTTTATAAGGAAAAGTTTTTTAACCCTATGCATGACACATCTCTACCTTCAATTGTAAGCCTACCTATGCAGCATCACAAAGCCAACTCGTGCACTACAGCCCTGTGTTTGGTCCTTTGTTGATAGTTAACCCACGATTATTGGCCAGCATTGTACATTATACTTATTTATCATCGGTGTTTTTTCTTATACGTATAGAGAGAGGACAGCACTAACATTTAGATTGAACTGTTTTATGGTGATTATGAAGTGATATTTTCTGTGTGTTTGAGACTGTAAGGTGTACGACTGTTGTTATGAAAATGTGAGCAGTGTCAGCCACTTTCATTGTTTTTGTTATCATCATCATTTACTCTGTTTTTATGAAAAGTACTTTTGCTGTTTTTGTAACTGTGAAGTGAGCAGCATAACTTTGAAAATGTCTGGGAAGGACGAGACATCCCAGACAACCGTGTTTCTGAGGTGAAGCTTGACAATGTTAAGCAGCATGAAACTCCCCAGAAGCTGTGACGTCTCCACTCCACCTACAAGAGTCCCCTTAGCCTTGAAGGGGACACGTGATGATGACCAGGCTTATTCTTCAGGATGTGTTTTGTCTGTGATACATGTGTCTTTGGGGACTGGCTGGGAACGTATCTCATTGAATCCCATGTTATAATGCTCCAATATCTACAATAATTCACCTAGCGATGGGTTTTCAGGAACCTAACCCCATTGTATCTCGAGGTTTAACTGTATTCACATACCTAACTGCCTACCAACATATGTACAGTGAGGGACTGAAGTATTTTCCCAGCTTAGGCAGAAATATAATGAAACCTGGTGATCATTCTGGAAGCATTACTGACACTTCATTCTCCTACTGTACATATCTATATAATTTATCCATGACTCTTACTCTATTTCCACCTAAACAGAGTGGAAGATGGCTACCAAATCAAACATTAAATAGTGTACTGTATAATTTTTATTTTTCAATCCACTTATCTAATTTTGTGTTGAATGAAACATTGAAAAACCCATTAAACAAATCAATAACAAAATATCATAATTCATGACTTTTAAACCAATGTGTTGATGGACATGCAAAATATACCTGATAGTATCACTAGCTACAATGTCACAATTCAACAATACAACACCAAACCCAAAATATTGTAAATAAAACAAGACCAAAAGGCAGAAAACATTCATCAGATTGAAAGACACAGAGTCATTGGAAAGATAAACAATGTCACCAGCATAAGTAGAAGGGTATAAAATAGGAATGCAACATATCAGTAAATTTTAAAAGCTAATACAGTACAGTATAGTGTAGGATAAGTTACAAAGAATAACATTACACAAATAGATGATTCAATAATTACCTGTAAGTTTACAGTTTGAGCCTCCTTGGCAATACTTTGACTCTTTTGTGCCAAGTGGTTGGTCCTGTAACTGAGCAGTGCATCCTGAGTTTTACGGTCAAAAAGTTGGCTCAGAGTAGGAGCTACTGTTGGAATATATTGTTCCCCGAGCCATACAACTGAGCCCACCAATGTAATACATGGGATCTGCAATAACACAGAGATATCAACAATATATTATACAGTAAAAAGTTTTAAAAAATTATCCGGGAATGGCATCTTCATCCAATCAGAGTACATCACTTGGGGAGGATTGTCTTTGTAGATTTTTACAAAACATATTTTCCGCAAAAATTGATGATTACAAAAAAGTAAATGAAGAATTTCTCCATCATCTGAAAGTTACTGACCTACCCAGGAACATATTAATATATCATTCAAATATCTATTTCCTCTTCTGCTTCAAACTGCTAATTCATTATATATCCATCCTAATCTGGATTTTCTTAAATGAAGCACAAGCACAGTATAGGTTTGAATCAGCTGACCTTTTTAAAAAATTTCTGCTTTATGTAAGGTGACCAAAAACATGAGCAAATACATATGAAGACATCTGCCTTATATATGTTGTTATTCATTCTTATTACTACAGTACAGATGACATGTTCTGCTGTGGGTATCACCTTTCACAACAGGACCCTAAATCTGGGTTACCCTTGAGTAGGCTGTTCCTTACCCAAAAATCAGTTGAAAACAAGCTCATTCCATTCGGTCACACACCCTACTGCTTCCTGTACATCTATGCCCCTTAATTTTTATCACTTGTATACAGGTATCAGTATTCATACAAGTAACTTACAAATCACTTCCTCATACAGTATACAGTACATAATTATATTTCCCACAACTGATTTATTCTTTTCCTAGTTCTTATGATATTACTTGGCTCAATTACTTTATAAATGTCCTGTTATAACCTTCTATTTAACAACCTTCATCAGTAATAATGATAATACAATGTACAGTATAGGGGTCCCCAGGTAACGAACGGGATCCGTTTCTGAGGACGTTCGTAAGTTGGATATGTATGTAAGTCAGAACACATGCTATATGCATACCATACTTAGAAAACAATGTTTAAAATTCCACTACAGTGGTCCCTCGGTTAACGAACGCCTCGGTTAACGAATTACCTTCCATAAGAATCTTCATTTCGGTTAGCGAACAAAAATTCGGTTAACGAAATTCTTATGAAAAAGTTTTGGCATGCTTTGGCTTGCTCACCAGCTGGAAGATTAGTCCGCCAATACAGGGGCTCCCCGACTTACGATGGGGTTAGGGACCCAAATCCAGGTCGTAAGTCCGACATGGTCGTAAGTTCGACATAGATAAAAAAATAAATAAATAAAATAAATAAAAATAAAAATCTACAATGAAATACAGTACACTAAACGTAATAAATAATGAGGAATGGATACAGTACAGTAAAAGTAATAAAGAATGAGGAATGGATACAGTGTGACTGAGCACTTACCTAATGTAGTCAGCTGAATGCACACAGGGCCCCCATAATTTTCTATTTACAGGATACATGGAGACTATATTAATTGGAAGAAGCAGAAGAGGAGACAGGGCTGGGTGGGTCATCAATGTCGCTTTCTTCAGACAGGTTTATGTACTGTGGAAACTTGCTGGTTGAAGGTATTGGATCATCTTGAGGGAGTGAAGAGGCAGCACTGGTGGGGCGTGAGGAGACAGCACTGGGGGACTTCTTGAAATAGATGTCCAATTTAGACTGCACAGTTTGCTTTTTCTTTTCATTATAAATTTCTCTGTAGCAAGCAAGTGCATCTTGGACCATTCTGTCAACTTTGGCATAACGCTCATAATTCTGATCCATGCCATCAAACATTTGCATTCCTTTATTAATTGTAGCAAATGCCTCTGCCATATGTTTCACTGAAAACTTTTTGGGGGTGCAGGTTCTTCTTCTACATTTTGTCTCTCTTCTTCCTCTGCAATTTTCTGTGCATCTAGTTCAATAAGATCCTCGTTACTGAGCTCTTCTGCTACACTTTTAACCAACTGTCCAACATCTTCATTATCAATTTCTAACTCCAGCTGTTTACCTAACTCCACTATCTTGTTACTAATATCCGCAATAACTTCATTTTCATTAAATCCTTTGAAACTGTGCACATATCTTTTCAGGATTTTCTTCCATATTCCATTCATGCAATGTTTTGTAACCTGATCCCATGCTGCACTAATGTTCTTTATACATGACAAAATGTTGTACTCCTTCCAAAACTGTTTGAGCGTTTTCTCACCTTCAGTAGCAGCAACAGCCTGAGCGAAGGTCGTGCATAAATAATACGCTTTAAAGGCAGCAATAGCACCTTGATCCATGGGCTGGATGATAGAGGTAGTGTTAGGTGGAATGTACACTACCTTAACATCAGGGTGCATGTCGTCCAGGTGTGGTGGGTGTCCCGGAGCATTATCCAAAATCAGTAAAATCTTGAATGGAATCTGTTGTTGCAGACAATACTCCTTGGCTCGTGGAATGAAACAAGTCATGAACCAATCCTCAAACAGTACTAGGGTCATCCAGGCTCTCTTATTACTGCGATAAAACACTGGCAGTATGTGCTTGCTGACATGTTTAAAAGCCCTGGGGTTCTCTGAATGATAGATCATGAAGGGCTTTAGCTTGAAATCAGCAACATTCTCCCCCAACAGAAGTGTAATTCTGTCCTTGAATGCCTTGAATCCGGGCATTGTTTTCGCCACTTTGTGGATGTATGTCCGCTCAGGCATGCGCTTCCACAATAATCCAGTCTCATCCACATTGAATATTTGCTCAGGCAAATAATTCCCTTCCACAATCACATCATCTAACTCCTCCTTAAAAGCTTTGGCAGCACCAAAATCGGCACTAGCTGCCTCTCCACTCACCTTAACATTGTGTAGACTGGAGCATTTTTTAAATCTATCAAACCACCCATGACTTCCTGTAAAGGTTTGATCACATTCATCTCCTGCCTGCTCCTTCAGGCTTTGGAACAGGCTTCTTGCTTTAGCCTGTATGGTTAGAAGGCTTTGGGGTACACGCTTCTGTATCTGGTCTTCTATCCATATCACCAAAAAATTTTCCATATCGTCAATAGGACCTTGTCTTCTCTTTGATATTATAGTTCCCTTTATAGGTGTTGTTCCTTTCACTACTTCACGAATACATTCCTTGTCCTTCAGAATAGTGGATATAGTCGAGTGTGAGAAACCTAGGTCACTTGAGATTGTTGCTACAGTTTTTCCATTCTCATGCTGTGTTATTATCTTCATTTTCATCTCAAAAGTAATTGCCTGTCTCCTATTCTTTGGAACACCACCAGCACTCTCACTTTTACGCTTTCCAGTCATTATAAAGTCAATTAAATACGATAATAACGAAAGTTCACAGCGCGATCAGTATAGGATACGATAGCCAAACACAAACAAAGCGCTCCACTGAGTGAGTGTACCCACGAGGAGACCCGAGAGGCGCCACCCACTCGCCCCGGACGGAAACGTTTCGGTATAGAAAATGCGCGCGTCATTTGAAAATATTTTTGGTCACGACTGCCGAGGTCGTATGTCCCGACGGACGTACGGTCAAAGCAGGTCGTAAGTACCAATGGACGTAAGTCCATGTGGTAGTAAGTCGGGGTCTAGCTGTACAGAAATCGGTTCTTGGGCTTACATTCGTTAAAATTGGAGTAAATATCAAGAAGGTTGTACTATTCAATAATTGTCCAAGTTTTATATTAAAATTTTTAGCCATTTTAATACTTATTTAACATAATTGCAGTAGAGGGAACTAGTTTTTGGTGCCCCCATCAGCCACTTCACTCACCCACCAAAGCCTCAGTTTGTGTCTCTGTTCAGTGGAGGAAACATCTTGCTTGTGGGTCTCTCGAACACAGAGTACAGTAGAAGTCCAAAAATCCGGATGCCAGAAATCCGGACCACCTGAGAATCCGGACTTTTTGAAAACTCAAACTTTTTAAATTTGGCGGGCTTTTGTGTGTGTGCGCATGCGTGAGCGCCACAGCTGCACAGCGACAACAAGCGACCACGCGGTCGCCATTTTAAAACGAGCAAGCAAACTGTGACAATGTTTTTAATATTGTGTCCTACTCTTTCCATTTACCATATACTGTATAGCATACGTACAAGCCCATAATAATGGCTCCTAAAGTAGATAAACTTCGTTGTGTGAAGCAAAAGAAGAACACGTTGAAATTGAGTGACAAACTTGAAATAATTAAGAAACCAGAACGTGGTGTGAGCAATACTGATCTAATGGAAACATACGACATCAGAAAGTCTACAATTAACGATATAAAAAAGGCAAAGAATAAAATTCCAGAATTCACAGCCTCGTCTGAGTATTTGCTAATGAATAGACTATCAAAATTTACCTGTTCATCTCTTCTTTATTCCTCCTTAAATTTGAATTTAAAAGTACTGCCTGAGAATCCGGAAAATCCAAAAATCCGGACCGACCCAATCCCCGAGCAGTCCGGATTTTTGGACTTCTACTGAATTTTTACGTTTTTACATTACAATTATTGGTCATTCTGAAATTTATTTAACATATTGACAATATATAAAGCAGTGCAGTGTTGATTTAAAGAAAATAATCTTGAATTACACCTGGTGAACTTAAAATTTTATGGGTGAAATGACGGCAACAAGCATGGGGTGATTTCTCTTCCACCCCCACTTCCTTCTCTTCTCCCTTCTCCTCCGCCCACACTTCTAATTCCCATCATCATCATCATCAGCCAGGAGCCTTCTACATACACACCTCAAAGAAAGTGTACTTTACTGCATTTTTTTTTTACTTTGTATGTAATTTTCGGTGAGCTGGAACCAATTACCCAAAATCCCATTTTTACAATGGTTTCGGTTAACGAAATTTTCGGTAAGCGAACGACCTTCTGAAACGAATTGTGTTCGTTAACCGAGGGACCACTGTATTTCATAGCTTAAGTCCTAATATACATCTAAAATCACTTAATTTAAGACAAAAGAAGAAATAGGATGACAAAATACAGTAAATGAAAGAAAAAAATAAGTCAATGGGTAAATAAAATACTGTAAATTTTAAGTTTAACCTCGTTCGTATAAGTGGGCGTTCGTAAATCGGGGACCTCCTGTAGTTACACAAAAATAAAAAATTATTGAAGCCACATTCTCAAAACACAGTAAACATCTAATTTTTTACCTCAAGTATAAAACCTTGCATAAATTTTAGCTTCATGTACAGTTATACAGTAGAATAACTAATAATAAACAAAGGCTTGCATTGAGTAGGTACATTAGATAGATACATTTTCTCGCTGCCTCTTCTTTCACTCTCACATGCATATCATTTGTAAGGTTTACCTTCTTGAAGATGCTAATTAGCGTTCTGGCAAGCTTCTTTTCCTGTGAGTTGAATATCACCTGGTGAAGAATACCCAGGGCAGTTACCCCAACAACTTGAGGCTGATAGTCACACCACCAGTCTTCACCACCACCTTGCTCCAGCTGCAATAACATTTCTTTACCTCAGTATACACTATACACCATACCTCATCCTATATACTTTGCAAGTACGGTAACCCTTTCTTTACTGCTCAGTCAAGCTAATATTCACTCCCAGTCAATCTTACTTTTTGCACTGTCACTTCGTATGTTGAAATGCCCTGTAGTTTGAGCTTCTCCCCACCTAGTTATTATATATCATATTTGTATCACCTTTGTTACTTGTATATTATTTGTAAATCAAAAGACCCATTCCCAAATTATGTAACTGTATATTTTCAGCCTTCCGGCTGCCATGCTCTTTCAATAAATCGTTAATTATTATTATTACAGTATTATTATTATTATTATGGATGATGGCAGCAGTATATATTCAACAGACATATTAGAAAATGTGGTAAGGAAAGCTGCTATTCTCTTTCTGTCAAGAGTTTACAAAATAAAATAAAAAATCTAGGGAGAACATCGTAATATGCATGTAGAGAAATGTTCTAATCACATTACTTGCTGTCCATCTCCTTTACAGGCATCAAACAATTCAAAGCTAAAGTTAAAATAAACTAAAAATACTTGGCCAATGAAGCCACAGCAAGAGAAGAGTGATTTTCACTATTACTGTACAGTACAGTACTAATAATAGAATGTTGTACTGTATTGATGGAGTAATTCATCAGCTTCGGTTAATTTAGGTGCAATGTAAAGTTTGTTACATTCAACCACCAAGTTACTGAATGCTCTAGGTACACTCGCTCCAAAGAAGTATCATCAAGGTGGGGTCTGACGAATTTCCAAATGAACACTGCGACTCCTGTTGTTTCGGTAGGGATGTCAAAATCCTTTATTCGTTAGGTCATATTGTCTCACACAAAAGCGTTTCGTTTAAGATACTTTTTGGAGCGAGTGTACATTGTTTGCATATATGTACTGTCTAGGTATATTGTAAACTTGTATGGTTAATCAACTGCAAAATTATCTACGTGGTGGTCAGTCTCTTATCAAACAAATAATAAACAGACCAGGCTGATCACTCAGGTAAAGAGATAAGAAAACAGAAAACAGATAAATACAGTACACTCAATAAAGTACTGTACTCAACCGAACACAAGAGTAAGAAAAAAAAAAAGAAAAAATTATTTTATATATATATATATATATATATATATATATATATACAGTTAACCCTCACTTTACGCGGTCCCGCATTCCGCGTTTCCACGTTTACGCGGTGCCCTGCCGGAACCCAGGATGCTCACATTCCGCGGTGCGTGTACCCCTTTACGCGGAGAGCGGTTGGCGAGCTGCGCCATTTTTGGATCCAAACCTCCAGCCATCCGCCATGTTGTGTAAGCTGCGCAAACATGGTGCGCACAAGGTCGCCCAGTCATCAAAACATTACCAGTTCTTCACCCGCCACCCACCACAGCCGGCCCAAGTCAGTGATAGTGATAATTATGGTGAGGATATGGACTTATATGGACTTTGGGGAGTTTGACAAAGAGGCCCTGCAAGCCTCTGTGGTGGATAGTGATACAATTGATACAAGTGACACAGGTGAGGGCCAATAATCTGCCCTCTGCCTCGGAACCAACCGCCCATCCCCGTGTGCCCAGCCATTTTTTCTACTAATGTAAGTGTTAAAAACCTAATATTATTGATATTTCTCTTAGTGACTATACAACATGGTTGATATATGTTATACAAAAGTTGTAAAAAGTGTTGGGGATCGGCGGACTCCATTTCATTCCCCATATTTGGCTATCACATTACGGGACCCTCAGTTACATTAAGTGGTTATATATATATATATATATATATATATATATATATCTTCACCCTCCCAGCTTTTCCTACTGTCATGAAGGTCAAAGGACATACCAGATACGTCCTTCTGATGCGAGGCTTAGTGTAAGAGGATGTACCAGGTAAGTACCTCTGATTCAAGGGTTTAACCCCTAAGTCCTGGGCTAGGGTGCTTAGGGCATTTTTGGAAAAATCAACTTTTCCAAAAATAATTTTTAACCCTTTTAAATGGTAAAATAATCAAAAAGAAGTAAGAAAGACTATATATTGACCTTCTAGAAACTTACCCGGGGCAGCAGTGGCGAGGAAGATAAGGGGACGTTGTTGTTTTGACGGCTAGCACTCGTGGTCACTATGCGCTTAGCAGCCATTTTTTGCTTGCCTTTGTGTTCGGGATGGCCAGCAATGCATATATTTACTGATCATAATACTTATTTCCTATAAATAATTCATTTTGAATATTACCTTGATACAACATGATAAATTGGACAAACAGTCTCTGTGGATTGCCTTGAGGAGAATATTCTGTACATTGCAGGAATTGAAGTACATTCAAATCGCGCGCCATTCAACTCGCGCGCGGCACCGAACACGGGACACCGCCCGCTCCCGCAACCTCACACACACACGCATAGCTCTCCCTTACTCAGTCAGTCTCGCTGTAACCACGCTTGTGTTGACATCAGCATTGTAGTTGCAAAAATATTACATTTCCGTGAATGTATTATATCAAGCACAGTATGAATAAAATATCACTAATATAAGAGTATTTTAACCGAAAACTACTAAAAAAATGAGTAACATATCTTGAACATCGGAAGATTAGGTAAAGTCTTTTGTTTTCATGTAGTTTATCCTAATTTACATTGAAATGCATTACGTTTCAGCAAAACTACTATTTATTTCTGAGAATATGGAAATGTAATATTTTGCTGAAATGACCTACGTATTACAGTGGAAAGTGACGAAAGCAATGACTCGCTTTCTTTCGTTCAAAAGATGTTACCGTAATCGCTTTTCGAATGGTTTTCAGTTAAAAAACTGTTGTATTACAATAATATTCTATCCTAATTCACTTGTGATGCAACAGTTTTTTTAACTGAAAACCATTCGAAAAGAGATTACGGTAACATCTTTTGAACGAAAGAAAGCGAAAGTCATTGTTTTCGTCACTTTCCACTGTAATACGTACGTCATTTCAGCAAAAATATTACATTTCCGTGAATGTAGTATATCAAGCACAGTATGAATATAATATCATTGTAATATAACAGTATTTTAACCGAAAACTATTAAAAAAAGAGTAACATCTCTTGAACATTGGAAGGTTAGGTAAAGTCTTTTGTTTTCGTCATGTATTTTATCCTACTTTACATTGAAATACATCACGTTTCAGCAAAACTACTATTTATTTCTGAGAATATATTCATTCAGGCACAGTTTAGGTAAAATATACATGTGCTGTAACATTTTTTTAATTGAAAAAAATTCGAAAAACACGTACCCTCTAGCCCTGTTCAAGGAGAAGACTGGGAGGAGCTGTTTGGTGCTTAAGACGATGACAAGGAAAATGATTTTGATGGATTTTAATGAAAATATTCAGAAAGACCCTGGCATTGTCAAGGAAAGTGGCTGCTGAAGGCTTCCAGGACATGGCAGAGAACGAGATTAGGGAGCTAATTGAAGAGCACGACACTGAGCTGACCGAGGAGGATCTACAGGAGTTAGTAGACTCAGGCAAGGAAGAGGAAGCGAAAGGGAAAGAGAATGAGGAAGAGGAAGAGCACCAAGAAATAACGTTGGAGAAGTTGGGGGAGATGACCAGGAATATTGAGGCACTGAAAAACCTGGCCTATAGTATGGACCCCTCCATGGTGCGTGCCCTGAAATTCATGCGAGGGATGGATGACGTTTTCGCTCCATACAAAAACATCATGGAAGAAATGAATGAAAGAGACGACAACTCCCCATCACCATGTTCTTTGATCACCGAAGGAGAGATTTAACACCATCAATCACTGGCGGCAGTGAGGAAGCAGCTGAATTCACCATCGCCCCCACTTCACCACCCGTTATGGAATTGAGTGACGATGAGCCCGATGACCCCCGTCCTGTCGCCGAGGATAGGAACTGTACAGTAAAGTGAAATTTTTATCTCTTTTTTTTTATTAGCTTTTCTTGCCATGTTTATTGTTTGTAAAAATGCACAGCACAGTACAGTTCAGTACTGTACATAGGAAGTGGAGGTGCAGTTATTCACAAAACATTTGTGTTTGTTGTCGGCAGTAGTGACGGTGAGGAGGTGGAGGAGGCGCAGGAGGGAGCGGAGGGAGCGAGTTGGGAGGAGTGGTGACCTTGGACGCGGGAGCAGGGACGAGATGCCAGCCAGTACATTACGGGTGTATTAATTGTTTTTATAGCTATTTTTGCATTTTAATATTAAATACTGTACATTACGTTTCAACAAAACTACCATTTATTTCTGAGAACATGGAAATGTAATATTTTTGCTGAAATGATGTACGTATTACAGTGGAAAGTGGGATAAAATTGTGACGAAAGCAATGACTTTCTCTTTCTTTCGTTCAAAAGATGTTACCGAAATCGCTTTTCGAATGGTTTTCAGTTGTGGGATTATAAGGCTAATGATAGGATAGAATATTATTGTAATACAGTACGAGTACAACAGTTTTTTAACTGAAAACCATTCGAAAAGCGATTACGGTAAAATCTTTTGAATAACGAAAGAAAGCGAAAGTCATTGTTTTTGTCATGATTTTATCCCACTTTCCACTGTAATATGTTCATCATTCCAGCAAAAATATTACATTTCTATATTTATTTCTCAGAATACGTATATTCATTCAGTCACAGTTAAGGTAAAATATACTTGTGATGTAATATTTTAATGAAAATACGGTATCGTAGTTTTCTTTTGTTTCAAATTTAATTAACAAAGATTGATGTTTCAAATGTAATGAACAAAAAATTTTTGTCCAGTATCTATAAATAAACTTTAATAAATGAATACTTTATGTTTTACATCGTCCTGTGTTACCATACCATGGATTTGGCTACTTTGGGCATGCTATGATGACGCAAGAGATCTGCCCTGGCAACTGTACCGACGCTCACAGCTGGTGGTGCGTTGGTGCATCATTTCCATTGTTTACTGGTAGTTACTGGTAAATATTTTTCAACCTAACGAAACTATTACCCTTTTAGAGGTCGACCCCCAATTTTTTGCCAAATAATTTGGTCTTAAAAACTCGAACTACACACAGGTATATACGGTAAATAAGGACATGGGAGCCAGGTTTTTTTTGGGGGGGGGGGGCGGGCAGCACATATACGCGGATTTTTAACATCCACAGCTATCTCTGCTGTTACGTAACCCCAGCGTATGTTAAGGGCCGACTGTACTTACATTCAGGAAGCTTCCCTGTGGCCGAGCGTGTAGCGTGACAGGCAAACACTGTAGTCACGCTGGAACGTAATAACCCGCGCTGAGCATTCAAACAATGCCATGAAAAGGCGAGTGTTCCGGAACATCAACCGGGGCGCCCTAGATGGACGTTGCGGAATGTCAACCGGGGCGTAGGGGTTAAGCCTATTTTTCCATAAGTAGTGACTCTACTGGATCCCTTCATTCTATACAGCATCAAACTTTTGGCTTCAACTTCAGGCTGGTACCCTATCAGATCATTCTTGTGTGTGAGCATAATACTGTACCTTATCTGTAACAATGTAGACTCACCTGACCACACCATCCCAGTATCACATTCATCATCTCTTCTCGTAATGTTCCATTCCTAGTCACAGTGAGTCCGTCACAGTCGTATGGCTGTCGCACCACAGACTGAGGAAACGACACAAATTATGCTTATGAACAATAAGGAAAACGCTTTGTACAAAAATTCTTAGGATTTTATGAAGAAAAATAATTTACAAATTTTATAAAAGAAATGTGTTTCATATACTGCATTCAGCCTGATTTTCATATTGGTTGACAAAAAAGCAATAACACTGTAATGCTACTTTATGTAAACATCATAACATCTAATCTCAATATTTTGCATAATCTGAAAACTTAAAAAAAACATACAGTACATCTTCCTAATACTGTATATACAATATATTCTAAGATTCAAACATATCAATATGTATCGCACAATACAGTACTGCAATACAAAAATCACATTTCCTTTACATAAAGTACATGATCGGGTCTCAAGCATCCGTAACCGGTCACACATATATTTCTTACCAAAAACATTGATCCTTGCATCACAAGATTCTCTACATCACTCAGCATCTTCTCAAGGGGCTGTAAACTGTTTTTATCGTGACCAAACCTCTGTTGATCTGACCCAGCAGAGCGCACCAGACGACGATAAGCTCCCCAGTGTTCATGTAAGAGTGAGTTTCCTATTACAACTTCATCCAGGGTGATAAGAGTACCCAGGAGGATACCCAGATGCTCATACATGACCTGTAAGTAAAAAATAACATGAATAGTCTTTAATAATAAGTTGTGTCTAACACTCTACATAATGAGTTTGGATGAATTTTAAGTTTTTTGTCAGAGGAAGATTTAAAAAATAATAATTCTGTAATAATAATAATACAAGTGGTAATGTGCATATCTTTCCCCGTTATGTCATGGGTTTGAGTCCTGGCTCAGACACCAAACACTGCAGGTTTCCTCCTACACTAACATTGAAGAATAAGGTTTATAACAAAGTACAATAATAAAGAACAGAACAACTGACAAAATAGTTAGTAAGCCGATAAGGGGTGAAATAATAAATCAAAGTGTGAAGATGGGCATTCTTGCATCATATTAGTTTCTATGGATAGAACTTGTAAGTAAATGATAAGTTCTGATATTGGAGTTCAGTATTTCATCAGCTCTTTCCTGTTGCCTTTTATATATATGTCTTACAGTACCGTATATTCCCTATTATTCATCCCTTCTTTCTCGTTTTTATACACCTTCATCCACCCCAAACTTAAGCGAAAAAGGAATAATGTTAAAGAAGAGATGACATGAGTACATTAATTAAAAGAGGAGTTGGAGATGTTCTGTGAGCACAAACCTGCATTAAGGAGTGTTTTCCTTTTGTTTACAGTATAAGTGAACCTAAAACTTCTCCAGTAGAATATGAGAAATTAACAAGTTAAATATTGTTAGAAGATTTATTATTGCTACTCCCGTGGTAGTATTTCTATTGGCTGCAAAAGCCTCCCACTCTGCTACCACAATAAAACTTACTTTTTTTTTATCAGTATTTATGTAAATTCTGGGTTTAATACTTGGCTGGATTAGAGGAGTTTAATCCTTTCCTATACATGAATACTTGGCTTACTTTCATACTCAGCAATAAAATAAGTTGTGTACACAATCAGGTGGAATAGTATCCTGCCAAGGATGAGAGGTAACCCTTAAATTGCTAAACAGGGAATAATGGAATTAGTAACTCCTGGATAGCACAGCAGGAAAAGGCTTGACAGGGTGAGTGAAATAATGATCACATTACCAACCTGAAAGTGAACATCAGTCACATCAATAAATCCATTTGCTTTTTTTTCTGAAGAATATAATGATGTCATCTGATGTATTACATTCCGAGAAACTTTTTGGACACGTCGCACATAACACGAAACTTGATGGAGAGTTGGAAGAATACGTGATAATGATATTTGGGATTCTCCTGTTGTCTCTCCTTCTTCTCCAACTGTAAATGGACAACTCCTGAATCATCAAGCAATACCTATTGTGGGGCCTTGTAACTATAATTCATAAAAACATTAAGGGTCTCATTCAGTCAGCTACTTAAAATAAAAAATTAGCAGCTAATCCTGGAATCTCATGCTCAAGAATTCTTGATTTATAGTTTAAAGACATAATGATGGAAGAAAAAATCTTTCACAAAAAAAGTGAGCAATGCTGTACAAGTGCTTACCTCCATTGCCATATAACACAAGAGGTGGATAGAGTTGTTGACGCGCCTCATCCACTAACTCGGTTGCTTCTAAGCATAAAGCACTGAGAGCTAGCACTACTTTATTCACTAACTTGTTGTTGGACTGAATAAGTTGAACTAATGATGGTTGTTCAAAAGGTGCCATCTGAAAAGCATACACATAATTTTAAATGTGAAGATCCCTAAATAAAATTATTTTTCCATTAAGATAAATTCTTTAAATATGGTAAAGTACTGATATGAAATACAGTAAACCCTCGATAACTCGGCATTTGATAACTTGGAATTTCATACAACTTGGCATGGATATTGTCTTGGAATGTGTTATACTAGTATAACTCGGGAAATGCCGAGATATATAAAATTACCTGGGAAAATCTTAGCCATATCTGGCCACCTGCATCACCTACCATGCCTCTGTGTCACCTACTATGATGCTTCATTCTTCACCTGCAGTTCTGTTAAGTTTTACATTTTTACATTTAGTAATTACATGTACACATATATGGGTCGATATTTTTTTTATTTTTGTAGGAAGGGGGAAGTGCCTCAATAATTTGGAATTTGGGATAACTCGGCAAGGCCAGAGCCCCATACCCCATATGTGCCGAGTTATCGAGGGTTTACTGTATACAGTACTGTATAATACAGTGGAAATCGTTTTAACAATTATAACATAATATTTATATATTTTTTTTAATTTACAGTACAATACTGTATATGTATCAGTATTCTCTCTCTATAGAATGTCTAACTGCAAAAGGTATAAAACATAAGGTACATATACTTGGCCATGTTCATGTCAAGATAATACCTCAATTGCATATGCAAGACAAAGGCTCTCACCTTAAGCCTGACTGGATCAAGTACAGGATCCCACGGTGGCAGTGGGTGGGGCCCCAGAGCCTCGATAATCTCTTCCAACTGGTCTCCATGTTGCTCTACAATACTACTGTATCTTCGAAGTTCAAGTTCAGCCACAGTCTCTGTCAAATTTCTTTGCTTTAACAAGTGCTCATTATTTACCATACAAAACTGTTTAAAAATGTTATATTACAGGTACAGGTAGTTCTGCTATAACGCGATAATTGTGTTCTTGTAAAATATCGTGTTATAGAAAATCGCGTAATAGAAATAACAGGGCTTATGGAGAAAATAGGGTTAGGTGCAGATTACTCGAAATCGAAAAAATTTAGTAGTTAGCCTAACACAAAGGATAGCACAGTCTAAATAAATGATACATTCATATCTAATAATGAAATCATACAGTAAATGTAACACTTTACCTTGAAAAAATATGAATATAACTTGATGGGGGAGAAGGGTGATTTTGAGGTTGATAAAATCGAGCTTCTCTTCAAGTGTTATATCCTTTCTTTTACGATCATCACCGGGAATTCTATCACCAGAACGCTTCTTGGAGATATTCTTCTTTACCATATTCACAGTTAATACCACAAAATTGGAGAAATAGTAAGCAAAAATCGCGTTATAGCAAACAAGCGTTCGCGTTATACAAATATCGTTCCTTATTCAAAAATCGCGTTAGAGCAAATTCGCGTCATCAAAACACGCGTTATAGCAGAACTCACTGTATACTGTATTCTAAATATCTTTAATTGTTTTAGAAGTCATTTATTAACACTAATTACTCGAAATTTTAGATTGTGAACCCAGATCCTCAATCAGCATGTAAAGTAGTACAGTGCTGTACCTTTGTATGAAATTTTAACAGAATCCATGGTATGACCCCAAGTACCGAAATGCAACATAATGGGTAAGGCGTATTTTTTACGTCAAACGACATTCTCTTGGAATGTGAAAACTAACTTGTCTACCTGTATATAGTAAAGACAGTCTATATTTTTAAGAATATATATATATGAAGGTGATTTAAAACTCAGACACAGCGTAATTTTGTTTTTAAGTACTGTACTATGTATGTATGTATGTATATATATATATATATATATATATATATATATATATATATATATATATATATATATATATATATATATATATATATATATATATATATATACAGGTAGTTCTGCTATAACGCGATAATTGTGTTCTTGTAAAATATCGTGTTATAGAAAATCGCGTAATAGAAATAACAGGGCTTATGGAGAAAATAGGGTTAGGTGCAGATTACTCGAAATCGAAAAAATTTAGTAGTTAGCCTAACACAAAGGATAGCACAGTCTAAATAAATGTTACATTCATATCTAATAATGAAATCATACAGTAAATTTAACACTTTACCTTGAAAAAATATGAATGTAACTTGATGGGGGAGAAGGGTGATTTTGAGGTTGATAACATCAAGCTTCTCTTCAAGTGTTATATCCTTTCTTTTACGATAATCACCGGGAATTCTATCATCAGAATGCTTTTTGGAGATATTCTTCTTTACCATATTCACAGTTAATACCACAAAATTGGAGAAATAGTAAGCAAAAATCGCGTTATAGCAAACAAGCGATCGCGTTATACAAATATTGTTCCGAATTCATAAATCGCGTTAGAGCAAATTCGCGTTATCAAAACACGCGTTATAGCAGAACTCACTGTATATATATATATATATATATATATATATATATATATATATATATATATATATATATATATATATATATATATATATATATATATATATATATATATATATATATATATATATATATATATATATATATATATATATATATATAAATAAATCACTATGAGTGTAGCGTGATCTGGGTATATGCTGATAACCACAAGGAAGAAGAAACACGTTCCCAAACTTCGTGTAATTCACATCTTCAGGGTGAGTACAGACTAATATATATATATATATATATATATATATATATATATATATATATATATATATATATATATATATATATATATATATATATATATATATATATATATATATATATATATATATATATATATATATATATATATATATATATATATATATATTTCATTAATAAAAACGGACTTCTACATACAATCATGAAGCCTTGTGCGTGGGTTCGAATCCTGGTGGAGTTGAGAGTGTTGATTGTATATATATATATATATATATATATATATATATATATATATATATATATATATATATATATATATATATATATATATATATATATATATATATGCGTGTGTGTGTAAGTAAAATGAACTCTAAATGAATCTGAACACTTAATGCACTCTGGAATATTGTACTTTACTGTACAGTATTTGTTTGTTGACTTTGACTACATAGTAGATACATTATGATGATCCTTCTATAATGTTCATTTTTATGGCTGCATTAATATATGCTCCTGTATAATACAGCTCCTCCCCGACTTACGACCTACTCGGCTTACGACCACCTGCACTTATGACATGCCTCAGTCGTACCAAAATTTTTAAAATTACGTATTTTCGAGTCTCAACGTCAGTACACAGACAAAATTTTCGTTTGTAATTCACTTTAAAATGGCTGGTAAGCTTAAAAGTGAAAGTTTTGTGGTGCTGAGAAGAAAAAGAGACACCCATTTTAGATTTTCTATGTATTATTTAAGCATTTTCGACTTACGACCGTTTCGACTTACGACCTGGATTTGAGTCCCTAACCCCGTCGTAAGTCGGGGAGGAGTTGTACTTAAAATGCTGGCTTGGGTTGGGTTAGATTAGGTTAGCTAAGTTAGTTTAGCTACTGCAGTCTAATGGTATAATATTTTACATGTCAATGCTTTTTTGATTAAAATTGGTAAAATTTTAGTTTGTCAGCCCTGTATATTTATATATCCAAACAATGATTTTCAAACTTTTTTTTACGTTTTTTGAATGATTTTGACCTTCATTTCTACCAAAAATCATTAGTTTTTGAGATCCCCCCTCTTATGCAACGGTAATGGGGGACACTCAGTGGGAACCCAGGGTTTGGGGTGGGGGAAAGTCACATAAACTAGTGATTTCCGACCTATATGAAGGTCCAAATCTCTCAAAACACGTCATAAACCGCCGGAATAACAAGGTTTGGATATCTAAATACAGGGATGACCGAAACTAAAATTTTACCAATTTTAATCAAGAAAGCACTGACACGTAAAATATTATATCATATGACTGTCATAGCTAAACTAACCTAACCTAATCTAACCCAATATAGCCTTGTGTAATATAACCGAACCTATTTTGCACTGTAACTGAGGGGCTGTTGTCCTATTTTGCACTTTAACTGAAAGGGCTTTGTCCAGGGGGCTTTTTCATATGGGGGCTTTGTCCGGATTCCATTATTAATGTAAAAAATAAAATAGCCATAAGGACTAAAATGGTAATAGGAAAATTAGACTCCCAACACTTCATTCATCTATGGTCTATCCTCACTTTTTCACTTATTAAAGGCTCTTTGAGTCTATCAACATAAACTATGTGATTAAAATAAATAAATGGCTAAGTGCAACTCCCAAACTGGGAAAATGAACTTTCCATTAACAAGGAAATACGGTTGTGCATGAATATTAAGTTAGGAAACTCTAATATCTAAGTAACCTCCATATAAATAATAATGTTCATGAACAATGTGATTATCTTACTGTGGCTGTTTTCATCATAGTCTACATCAGCTGTCATTTTGGTGTCTATTGGTGGCCGCCCTCATGCCTGGTGGTCTCGTGAGTGTTTACACCGCCCACCTCGACACCTCCTGCGTCCGAATGTGAACACCAAGTTTAATTATACCGGTATATTTATCATATATTTTATAGCGATAAATATGTATAAACTAACCGAGTCTGAAATTTATTGGACTAATAATTAAAATTTCGCATTTAATTTTATGGAAATTAGATAACTTTTAAACTATCGTGCGGGCAGTGGTCCAGCAGGGTACATTGGAATCAACTTTTATCCTCTTCACCAAATGATCGGCTCGTTAGTCGCTTGGGCTATCGGTCACGTCTCTGTTACGCGCTATTGGTAAGTACTGGGCATGCACCGGCTCCTGAATGTACCTGAACCTGCTCCAGTGTTGGTCAAGTTCTTGTCTTGAAAGTGCTCACACTCGGTGCCATCACAACACTTTCTGGTAGATTGTTCCAAGAGTTCACAACTCTCACTCCGAAAAAGTTTGCCCTCACAGTTTTCTGGGCCTGCAGCTTCTTCAATCTTGAGCTGTGGCGTCGTGTGGGGCGAGCGTCCGCCAGCTCCAAGTAAGGACACTCCAGTGCCGGATTAACCATGAGGCACTTGAGGCATTAGCCTCAGGCCCCCCGACTCTAAGGGGCCCCCAAATCCAAACATTCTCGAAGTTGAAGCGTATAAAACATGAACTTCGTTCAACGATGTCCTAGCAACGTCTCAATTTTCTGTCTCTTATGAACATGAAATGTGTTATTTTGCAGAAGCTTAATATTGATGAAATTATTGATAAATTTGGGTATATTCTGTTCTTGTTATTTATATATACCTTGAGGGTAGGGGGCCCAAGTTGATCCGTGCCTCAGGCCCATATTAAGCTTAATCCGGCCCTGGGACACTCGACTGAGTAGTGCCCCTTGAAATGCTTATACACCTCAATTAGGTCGCCCCTTGCCCGTCTTTAGTATAAGCTAGGCAAGTTCAGGCGCTCCAATCCCTCAGGGTAGTTTTTTTTTTTTTACGGGAATTAGCCCACCCGGGCACAGGTCAAACGACCCACAACGGAGCCTGGGGGGCGAAAAAAAAAGAACGGAAAGAAATCGTAAATATAGAAAAAAATGTGTAGTGACCACGGTCATACACGTCAGTTAACGTAAAATCAGACGATTCATATTACGCTCACTAGCCCACAAAACATGTAGCTATGCCTGCTTTATTGAGTCTCCCATCTGAGGCGTCCGTTTTCTCATCGCTCCCAAGCTTGGACAGTCCATTTTCTCTGACTTCCTGAAACCAACCTCTCTATAAAGTGAATTTGAATGTGAGAGAGAACACTATTGTCTTGAGTAAACTTAGAGATGTCTGATTACAGTTAAGGCATACAAGATCCTGTGTGAGTGATGTTGAAAGCTTTAACTGTCTTTATTATTTGTAACATTTGTTAAGTAAGTGAGTGTCGAGTCTGCCAGTACGAATGGCATTCCATGATATTGTTCCTGGGGATAGCCATGAAATTCCAATTGCTACTGAAGTTAGATTATAAGCCAATAAATATAAAATAGATAGGCTACTTATAGAGAGAAAGATTCAGGATTATAAAATTATTAATATATATACACAAGAAAAGATTAATAGAAAATATAGATATGAAGCAAGAATTTAAGTATGTTACCGCCACAGTAAGATAAACTAGAAGAGAGAGAGAGAGAGAGAGAGAGAGAGAGAGAGAGAGAGAGAGAGAGATAGCTACAGTAAGATTGTAGTGGATTTCTCCCCTACAAACGCTGTTTGTCGCTGAGTAGCCGACCCCGTGAATTCCACAGTGTGTGCCTCGTGGTCTGGGTCAACCAGCGCCGCCATACATCACGGAGGTCAACTACTAAGCCACGCCTACCCCCCGCTATTTAAGACCTGACCTCGTGGTGACCTGCCTCTTTTCTACCTACACCAACCAGCCAGCAACACCTCCTCCTCCTCCGCCTGCCTGGCGGTCCTCGCTCCCGCCGGCGAGCATGGCGACCCACAAGCTGGTCCTCCTCTGAGCATCCTCACCAACCAGCTCTCTCTACATCACGTTTGTAACCACGCTGCCACTTCCCAGCACCAAACTGAACTGCACTGTACATCCAATACAATATGTATACAGAGAGCACATTGTGAGTTTCCTTTCTCCATCCCATCCTGAGTGTGAACCAAACATCTCGTACCCCACAAATGGTGACCCCCGGAGATTCGCACTCACACAGGATGGAGGAGAAACCGATCACTCTCCCAGTCTTTAAGCAACATGGAAGACTGGCTTATCCACACAGAGGCAGCTACTGTCTCTACACCGCAGGTTAGACACCCTAGAGCAGCACTGCTTCTCTAAGCAGACACCAGCTCCTCTTCCTGCCCCAAGCACCACGTCCTACCGACCCCAGCAGGCACATCTGAGAACTCTGTACCTGCCGAGGGGGAAGCACAGCATTCATCGCCCCCACACACCGTTTTTTTTCCCTCAGGCACTCCCTGCTACTGTCCTGCACCCTGCTGCCGTCGTGGATCCTGCTGCTGTTGTAGAACCTGCTCCTATCATAGACCCTCCTCCTGAAGTCGCCCCTGACCCAGTCATCCCAGCCAGTGACCATGAGGACACTGCCCCTGCAGCTACAGAAGCACAACATTCATCGCCCCCACACACCCTTTTTCTCTCTCTCTTCTCCCACAGATCTCGTGTGTCTAGACAATTGTCTCCCCTAGCGGCCGGCTCATCCACGCCCTCACCGTTATGTCTCACATGTAGCATGCACCGTGTAGTGGACGTCTCCCCTACAACTGCGTATCGCATTCCGACGTGCCGTCTCCTAGCAACCAAGCGAGAGCTGACGCCAGATGGTACGGTTGCTTAGCAACGAAACTAGTCACCGGCAACTTTCTGGGTTTTCCCAACATGATTCATAGAGGACTGGCGGCTGCTGCTGGGTATATAAGCTCTGTCTCTCCATTGAGATTGATTCTGCCCATCTTCCTGAACAAGCAACACCTCCTCCAGCAAGCTCCACGCTGTTAGCATTCATTCAACCAGGAGGCCAGCAACAGGCAACATCTTCTCTAACGAAGCTCCTGCACATCTACCTCCTTCACCACGCTACCCACCGAACGCTTCTACTGAGCAGCTCCTCACCACACGGCACCTCCAGCACCAGACTGTCTATCATATAACTTATATTATACAAGAAAACCACATTAGAGTTTCCTTCCATCCTGAGTGCTAGACAACATTAATATCTTGTAGTGGAATTCTCCCCTACAAACGCTGTTTGTCGCTGCCTAGCCGACCCCACCAATTCCCCAGTGTATGCCTCGTGGTCTGGGTCAACCAGCGCCGCCATACACCACGGAGCGGGGGTCAACTGCTAAGCCACGCCTACCCCCGCTATTTAAGACCTGACCTCGTGGTGATCTGTCTCTCTTTCTACCTACAGCCGCAGCCAGCAACACCTCCGCCTGCCTGGCGGTCCTCCTCCGCCTGCCTGGCGGTCCTCTCTCCCGCTGGCGAGCATGGCGACCCACAAGCTGTCCTTCTCTGAGCGTCCTCACCAACCAGCTCTCTCTACATCACGCTTGTAACCATGCTGCCTTCCCAGCACCAAGCTGCATTGTACATCCAATACAACATGTATATAGAGAGCACATTGTGAGTTTCCTTTCTCCAACCCATCCTGAGTGTGAACCAAACATCTCATACCCCACAATCTCGATACCCCTACAACCGCCCGTTCTGCCTCACATGTGCCATGCAACCCTGCAGACAACAAGTCTCCTACACCGCCTGGAGGGAAGGGGGAGTATTGTAGTGAATTCCTCCCCTACAAACGCTGTTTGTCGCTGAGTAGCCGACCCTGCGAATTCCCCAGTGTATGCCTCGTGATCTAGGTCAGCAACCAGCCCGCCTTACATGACTGAGGTCAACTATTAAGCCACTCCTACCTCCGCTATATAAGACCTGACCTCGTGGTGACCTAGCTCTCTTTCTACCTACAGCCAGTATTCAAGTAACACCACCTCCTCCGCCCCTGCCTGGCGGCCCTCGCTCCCGCCACGCTGGCGACCCACAAGCTGGTCCTCCTCTGAGTACCCTCACCAACCAGCTCTCTCTACAACACGCTTGTAACCACGCTGCCACTTCCCAGCACCAAGCTGCACTGTACATCCAATACAATATGTATACAGAGAGCACATTGTGAGTTTCCTTTCTCCATCCCATCCTGAGTGTGAACCGAAATAACCCGTACCCCACAGTACCTCCCTGTCTGATAGTTGCCTACTACCTACCTACTGTTGTTTGTATGCTCCACTGTCTATTACCCAACATTCTATGGTTAGTAATACAGAAAACCACTCTCTTCTCTTGCTGTAGAGGAAGGAAAATGCATCGAAAGGAGAAACATGAAATGGGGGAAGGAGAAGGGAAGTACTGGGAGGAGTGAAGCATAAAGGTAATGGGTGCAGGTGGCGGAAGATGAGAAAACGGAGAAGAGCGAGAGAATTCCGTCTACACGGGGAGAAATTTTTGGAAGGGATGGAGAAATAATTGTTTCTGCTGTGCATCAGGAGGTTATACAAGGAAGAAGCTAAAATTTCTTCATACTTGAAAGTACTGAAACAACATTTAGTACTCTCAAAGTTTGGGATACAGAGCAAAGGAAGACAAATGAATGTAATTTAACCTGTATGTGTAGGCAAAGGCTAAATGATTTAGAAATATTGTGTTAGCACTCATTTAGCAAAGATACACAGGCGTTATCTTAGGTGATCCTGGGAAAGGTATGTGAGGTGACACCCAGTGACGCTGCTCACGTGTTTCCTTCACCTCAGATGTAAACAAACATCAGCAGACCTCTGGAAGGGTTACCTGCCATAACTGTTGTCTCCATCACTCAGCAGACCTCTGGAAGGGTTACCTGCCATAACTGTTGTCTCCATCACTCAGCAGACCTCTGGAAGGGTTACCTGCCATAACTGTTGTCTCCATCACTCAGCAGACCTGCCATCCTGTACAAGGATGCCGTTGGTGGTGTAAGACGTATGTATGATGTGTTCAGTTCAAACCATTGCAAAGTTCTGTTTGTTAGAATGACATTTCTGTTAAATCAAGCCAGGAACCGCACCCTGTATTGCAAATCTGAAAGAGACTTGAGATCAAACTCACAAGCATGAAGAATATTCCCAATGATATTGCATAAACTAAACAGGTAAATTTCATTTATGTGAGTCGTTGTTTGTCTTGATATTTCTGACAAGATCTTCATTAGTACAGTATTGTGAAAAATGCAGGTGTGGAGGTGAGCAAGTCTCGGAAAACAGTAATGAAATGAACCACAGAAACCACAATATTGTATCTAATCTAATGGTAACTCATGGTAATACTCTACTTCTCTTTTGCATTTAAAGTAAGACTTTTGTATGGGAATAAAGTTGTTCCTTACCATGAAAGTAGCTCATATTCACACTGGAAATTGTATTTGACATATTTTAGTTTTCTGCACTTTTCTTACTGATAAATTGAGTCTCACTTCTTTTAAAAACAAAAAAGAAAATTAATATATCAAACCTTGCCTCACTTACCAATTATTAAGCTGAAAAGCTGAGAAAACATTAAATGTTAGAACAAAATTAAAAATTATTCCAAGATTAGGTTAGTTTTGGTTATACCATGTCATCCTCAGTAAATGGTTCAACATTGTACAATATGAAAGATGCCATTAAAATAAAAGCAGTTTGCATGTAACTTATTACAGTACTGTATACAGTTTTTTGAAGTAGGTACAGTATCTGGGTAATGATATGTTAAACAAGTAATGTAGTATACAGAATATTGAAAAAATAAATCTGTTAAAAGTGACAGTGACTGTACTTAAATAATAGATATTAATTAGTTATTGAGGAAGATGGTGATCACTGGGGATCAGGTGTGGCAGCCATTGGATGTATAATTTTCAGGAAGAAAATCATGAGAATATATAAATACTGTACATAAATTTGTAGTTCCCTGGGTGGATATGAGTTATTTATGAGGTTTAATAGGAGATGAATACTTTAGTACTTGTTTATGGTACAGGTTGACAATCCCTTATCCGAAATCCTTGGGACCAGAGGCATTTTGGATTTCGGAATTTTTCGGTTTTCAGAATGGTTAGGTTTTTTTTTTTTTTTTTTTTAGCCCATCCAGGCACAAATCACTGACCCACATTGGGGCCTGGGGGGCGAAAATATAATAATAATTATAATAATAATAATAATAATAATACAGGTAATAATAATGATTCATAGGTCTAGGTCGTGTTTCTCACTTTTAGCTTTTTTTCATTCTTGTATTTCTTTGTTATTATTATTATTATTATTATTATTATTATTATTATTATTATCATAAATATTATTTTATTAATACAGTATTATTGTTATCATTATTGTTTTATTTTGGTGTATTTTTTAATTAAAATGTTTATTTACTATGAATAATTATTATTATTATAGTTATTATTATTATAATAATTAGTATTACTATTACATTTTCGCCCCCCAGGCCCCGATGTGGGTCAGTGATCTATGCCTGGGTGGGCTAATCCCTGTTTAAAAAAAAAAAAATGCTCCACAAAAAACTTTCGGTTTTCGGAATTTCGGATAAAGGGTTGTCAACCTGTACAGTGGTAATGTGCATATCTTTCAATACTGTGTCATGGGTTTGAGTCCTAAGGTTAGGGTTGACTTTGTTAGGTGATACACGCTTTTCCTTAAGTTCGTAGGAAAAAAAATCAACTTTTTGACTATCAATTTGCGCAAAAAACCTGCTTAGAATAAAAGAGAATCTAAATCTCATTTTACATCCATTAAGCATAATTTCAACTTACAAATCTTTGGGTGGCAACAAGTAAAATTTTACTCAATATTTTTTCTCTCTTAATGGTTTTATTTTCTGTTATAGTTACAGTATATACATTTATTCTTGTGGAATAATTCTTATTCTCAAATTTTTCCCAACAGGATGGAATACTTTGACTGGATTTATTGACAGAACAAAACACCCAAGTAAAGATGTGTGGTGAGCGGTGCCGCATCTTGTGTTCACAATGGCGTTTGTGGATCAGGCCACTTGTGTTCATACTGTATGGAGGCATTATTCTGGGTTTTGTTCCCTATCTTATATACACAATGGTAAGGTTCCATCACAAAATTTGTTGTAAGCAGTTTATGGTGTACAGTATATTATATATTTACTCTTTTTTATATACATACTGTACTGTACAGTAGTTGACAGAAAGTGTACAAAATTACATACATAGTTCAATATAGGTTTTTATATATAGTAAATATAAAGAAGGAACATTGTAGTTTAGTGTTTATTTGTTAAATATTATTCAGGTAAGATGTGCTATATACAATATGTACTCTTTATAAATTTCTCATATTTATATTTACCGGGTATTTATTTATTTGTTTTATTTTATTTTATTTCTGTTTACAGATTTTAAAGGATATGAATGGATTCGAGATTGCATGGCTTATTGGTGGGATATTTGTGTTCCTGGCCATCCCTATAACACTGTGGGAGATTGTGCAGCATCTTATAAACTACACTAAACCCAAACTGCAGAAACACATAATCAGGTTTGTCAGAAATTTTTGTTTTAATTAATTAGCATCTTCACAACTGGAAACCACATTTGATATTTTATTGGGCTAATGCGAGATTATTTTATTCAGCACAGAAACCTCTAGTACCCAAGGGGTTAAACAAACAAACTTGGCATGAATGTACTTGAAGAAAATTTATATTACAAATAACTTTAGGTGGCCTTCCTGTGCAAAGATTTGGGCATCCATAAGAACCAGGTGTAAATATTGGGGACTAAATCCTGAATTCCCACTTATGATTAAGGAAGAAATAAATGACTCATGATGTATAACACTTGCTCATGCTTCATGAGAGAGCTGCCTTGTCATGTTTAGATACAGCAGTGATGTGTTGATGAAACAACTTCTGTTCAAACTAAAACTGAACCTCTCATTATATTGAAAAAGAAAATCCACCAGTATAAAGGTTATTGACATTTTAAATAGTCACTTGAGTGTGGCTAGAACCTCCACATTTTTAGTGACACTTGCTTCCCTAATCAGATAATGTGGTCCTAAGGCAACAACTGTCTCGTCCAGTATCACTCCCATTTCTCTCGACAGTATCCCGTCTCTTCAAATTGTAGTTTCTCAGGAACTATAGTACATTAAAACATTCTAACAAATGGTAGATCCATATTCATATCTTGAAGTAAACCCAATTTTACAATTTTAGGTTTTATTCAACAAAGTACATAACCATCTGTTACAAAAGAAACACAATAACTATCTATGGACGAACTACAACACAACTTAAGCATGAGCATCAGGACAGAGATTATGACAATCTCCCCTGCCAAAGAAAAATGAACAGCAGTTTGACAGAATTACACATTGTCTCAGGAAAAAAAAATAATTGTGTACACAGGTACGACCATGACACAATTGCAAAACTACAAATCCAAACGTTTTTGGAGTTGATGGTGATGCTCTGATCTGCTTAGTTGTGTCACTCTCTCAGGAGAATGTGTGACAGGCTGCTGGACAAATCGTGGCTTATTCTCTAACAAATTAACTGATTCAGGTTTGCCATCGTATCTTGTAGAATCAATGTCGTTGTTGCTGTTAATTTGGTTGTCTAGCGTATCGGTGCTCTCAGTTTCTATAGCCACAGTTTGAATGTCCCCAATTGGAGCCAGGTTTCAAACTGATACTGTCGTCTCCCTGCCGTTCGAGAAAAGAATATGGGCATACTGAGGGTTCACTTCAAGGAGTTGTGCCTCTTCAACAATAAGGTCTTATTTGGACTCTCTGACTTGGTGTTTTTTAAGTACAGGTCTGGGTGTAGAGAACCAGGTTGGAATTGAGCAGCTAGTGGTTGATTGATGCTGATGGTGTGTTGCGTTTGTTGCAACTGAAAGTACAGTAGAGTACGAATTGAATGTAATGCATCGTGTAGAGCAAGTTCCCAATGAGTGATAGTTTAGTGTTTACATTTCAGTGCAAGAGTTATAGCTTTCCAGGTAACCCCATTGTAATGCTCGTACTGGCCATTGCCTTGGGGGTAATATAGAGTTGTTCGACTTATGGATATCCCTTGACTGTGTAGAAAATTACACACTTCTGATGACATAAACGAAGAACCTGTGTCTGAATGTATGAATGCAGGCATACCTAAAATAGCAAACAATTGATTCAGGCAATAGACAACAGTCTGTGAGGTCATATCAGTATGTGGGAATGCATACAGGAAGCAAGAAAACTCATCTATAATTGTGAGCAAATATGAGTTTCACGTCAATGATGGCAATGGTCCCTCAAAATCAATGCTGAGCCTCTCAAACGGCAGTGTTGCATTGATCAAGTGGGATGTCTGAGGTCGATAAAACCTTGGCTTATACTGAGCACAAGTAGGACATGAGGAAGACAATCTCTTCACATCTTCAGCTGCCAGGGTGGCAGAGAGACTTTTTTAAAGTTAAGTAACGTTTCTGAATTCATGGCTGAATAATACACCCTTGAAAACATATCTGCTGAGACATTGTCCTTACCAGGTCAATATTGAATGTCGAAGCTGTTGCAGGCAAGCTCAGTTCTCCACCTCTGGATCTTATTGTTCTTTATCTTACCAGACTGCTTGGAATCGAACATAAATGCCACTGACTTCTGATCAGTAATGAGGGTAAAATGACATCCAGTTACATAATGTCACCACTTGCACAGTGCTTCTACAATTGCGTCCTGGAAAAAAAGGCCATTGGTCTTCCAGCTTGATTCAAGGTAGCCTCAATTGCCTGTTCTGTTGCATCAGCCTCAACAACAAATGGGATGGTCTCATCAATTGATTGCACTGCAGCATTTTCAATTTCTGCTTTTAACAACTCAAATGCCTCTTTAGCCATCTTTGAAAGTGGAAATTCTTAATTTGAAATTTGAATCAGTGGAGCGACTTTGCCTAAGTAATTTGGGATTCATTGTGAATAGTACGAAAACATACAGTATATCAAGTTGAGAATAGTTATGTTCTTTGTTGAATAAATTGAAGTAAACCCAGTTTCACATTTCTAGGTTTGTTCAATAAAGAACATAATCATCTATAACAATAGAAACAAAAAGATATAAAACACAATAATCATCTATGGACAAACAGTAACACAACCTAAGCATGAGCATCAGGACAGAGATTATGATATACCTTACCAAGTTTAGTAATTAGTATGTCCTTTCAAGTTGTGTACCGGTAATTTGAATACTTTCCACATTGTACTCACGGTAAAAAGTGTATCTATCCACCTGGGTCTGATGAATTTCAAAATGGTCAATACGACTCGTGTCGTATTCGTAGGGTTGTCAAAATCCTTCCTCCGTGGTGTCATATTGTTTCAACAGAATATGAATACTATAGATATTTTTTTTACCAAGTGTACCTATACTTTTACCCCATCCTTGTTGACTAATGTCCTCCACTTTCTTACTGTCACAAAAGAAATTTACCTCTTAAAACCTACCTAGTGGTTATTATCTTAGTTGAATAAAAATTAAACAAAATATTTTTACTTCCCAGTATGATATTATAACAGCTCAAATATTTTACATATAGTAGAAGTTAGTGGAGATATCTTTTCTTGTTTAAAAATTCTTATATTAAATTATAATAAATTCTACTTCCAGAATACTTTGGATGGTTCCAGTGTATGCCCTCAATGCTGTAAGTATTAAAAAACTCTTTATCTGGTAATTGGTTTGAATTGTAGTGCACAATATGTTCCAAGTCATTGAATGTTAGCTAATGTCATTTTTTGGATGGTACAATTTGAAATACTGTACATAACCAATTCAGCAGATTGAAAGATTAAGTTATAAATTGAAGTGCGGTAGCTCATTTGCTCTTCAGGAAACTTTCATTATTCTGTTTATTTTTTTCCAGTGGCTGGTGCTGAAATTTCCATCCCTTGCACCATATTTAGACACAGCAAGAGAATGTTATGAGGCATATGTCATCTATAACTTCATGATGTTTCTCCTCAATTTTCTGGATGATGAAATGGACCTTGATGCCACAATGGAAACTAAACCTCAGACAAATCACTTTTTCCCACTTTGCTGTCTTAAACCTTGGCGCATGGGCAGGTAGGACTTGCCTCCCTTGTTTCTCTTAACTATTACAATTAATATGACAGTGAATAGATTCATTTATTGTAAAATGTGATGCATTGTATTTAGAGAACATGTAAAACATTGGTAAATGTTAAAATCTTAAGTAAACACTGTGTACTGAAAGCACAACACACTGTTTGGTAAATGTGAAGAATGGTGAACTTTAGGGACTTGTATTGAATATTGTCCAGTCTTATTTATGGAGATCTTTTTTCCTTGGCAGGGAATTCATTCATCGATGCAAGCATGGCATCCTGCAGTACACAGTGTTCCACCTTATGACAACCTTCATAGCCTTTGTGTGTGGCCAGGCAGGGGTTTATGAGGAGGGAAAATTGTCTCCCAAGAATGTAAGTTGTTAGATCATATTTATTCATAGAATAAAATTTTATATGATTACGTCTTCACTGAGGATTTTTAGTGGCACTTGTACTCTGAACATCATTCTGGGTTGTTTTTCTAGATGAAATAGTCTCATTTAGATTCTCTGGAACTGGGAGTAAATAAGATTAATTCTTTCCATATTTTGAGGTGACCTTTTTCTTTCTTTTTTTACGGGGATTAGCCCACCCGGGCACAGGTCACTGACCCACGTCGGAGCCTGGGGGGCAAAAATGTAATAATAATAATAATAAATAATAATAATAATAATAATAATAATTCTTCACAGTAAATAAAATTTTTAATAGAAAATAAAAAATAACAATAAAATAATAATAATAAATCTGTAATAATAATAATACTAATACAGGGTAATAATAAAGAACCATAAATACAACAAATTAAAAAAAAATCAAAAGTGAAAAACACTACTATATGTATGTTGTGTTGTCAATAGTAAGAGAAACAATCGAAACCCTGCAATTGTGTGTAAATGAGGCAGAAAGTCAGATGAGCATCCTGGGACTTGGTCATAATTTTTGTGATGCCCATATGGCAGCAGGGTCCACCATTAGACAATACATTATGCTTCCAATATCTTCCTAGGCGGTAGTACCTTCCTGTTTGGTAGCTGCCTACTATTTCCCATAGGGGAACTTTTAGCTGATTCTCTTATCAATTTCCTTCATCCTTTTCAATGTTGATTTGGTATATCACAAATCACTTGTCATATGATCCATTGGCCAGAAAACAAAGGATTGAGGTGTAAAATTAAATATTTTGGCTGAGGAGAAGAGAAAATTGACCTAGAATTTCACCCTTCTCCCTTAGCAGGTAAACGTGAGGTTGGATACATGACCTAATCTTACAAGTGAGGGATTTGAGTCAGGCAAAGTAATTTAAGCATTGGCCCAATGTACCTATCAACTCACAGATATTTGAAACACTCTTTATAAACTTTGAAATAATTAGGTGATTGGCTGTTGTGCAGCATTAGCATTGATACAATAAGACTGTGTACCAGCCACAATACTGTAATGCAAATATAGTAATCCCTTGATGAAGGTAGGTTTTGCATGGGGTTGTTCTGCTGGGTGGTCTCCTGTGTCACTTGACTCTTCCCTTTGGTCATAAATTGGATTTCTTATTTCACTCCTTTGTTTTTAGGTTGTAGCTACCAGTTATACAGTATAGTACGCCCGGATAATTCGCGGATTTTTTTTCGTGGTCCTCTATTATTCATGGATGACGCCCTGGATGTACCCACGAATGTCTGCAGGTAGTTTTAAAGTTTCCGACATTTTTGCGACTGGGACAGGGAGCCATTCATTCTAGAGATAGTAATTTCCTTTACCTCTGTGTGTGTGTGTGTGTGTTAATAAAAAACGGTTTATTAATAGAGTTGCAGCTGGTGGCTGAAAATGTACAGACTTACATTTGATTTAGACATAATGATATAATATGCATTGAATACATTTACAGGGCTATACAGTACATAAATCAGGAGTTGTTTATTATTTTAACAATAGATGGGATGGTGCTATACTTATATCTATCGGTGCAGGCTCTTATGGGCTGAATTTTGTTGTAGTGGCTGACTGCGCGAGGTGGGTGGGGGCTGCTGGTGGCAGGAGGTGGCAATGACGAGGGTGGTGCATTAATTGGCTGCCAAACCTTTCCAGTGCTTGGTGGTGGAGGTCACTGAGGGATGACATTTCCAGGGTGGAGAGAGCGTTGTTGTAGCCGGAGTATTCTGCGCCGAGCATGATTCTGCAGGCCCTTTTCTGTACCTTCTCTAGCTGACATTGTTGGGTGGAGTTGAGAGAAGACGACCAGGCTGGTGACGCATATGTAAGTTTGGGGAGAATAAAGGCGTTGTAGGTGGTCCTCAGCTCTGGCGTGGGTGTCCCAAGTGACCTAAGTCGTCGTAGCATGTAGAGACGGTACGAGGCTGCCTTGACTGTGTTATTTACATGGGCCTTCCAGTCAAGTTTGTTGTCTATAGTTACACCCAGGAGTTTGGCAGACTGCACCAGCTGGAGAGAATGGGCACCCACTGTGACTGCTGGGGCTTGCACTGGAGTGGTGGCGGTATTGATGTGCATGACTACGGTTTTGGTGTGGTTGATAGTGACCTTGTTCTCCGTAGTCCATGCCTGTAGCCTGTCCAGGGCACCTTGTAGCGATGTGTAGTCTGGTACGGTGTTGTCCACTGAAACCCCCACAGTGCAGTCATCCACGTACTTCCACCTGTGAGGAGTGTCCGATAGAGCGTCGTTGATCAGGATGAGGAAGCACAGTGGTCCCATCTTGATCCCCTGGGGAACACCGCAGGTGAGGTGTTGGAATGTGGAGACCAAGCCCTGATACCTCACTGCTTGGCCACGTCCACTCAAGAAATCAGTGAGCCATGAGACCAGGTTGGTGGGCAGCCCTAGTGCAATAGCCTTGTTGATAACAGTGCAGTGATCAACAAGGTCAAAGGCCTTCCTGAAGTCGTGTGTGTGTGTGTGTGTGTGTGTGTGTGTGTGTGTGTGTGTGTGTGTGTGTGTGTGTGTGTGTGTGTGTGTGCGTGCGTGCGTGCGTGCGTGCGCGGGTGCGCGCTACACACAAAACACATACAAATAAATAATAATGGGAAAATCCTCTCACAAATAATCAGAAACAAATGTATATTAAAAATGTTGAGTCTACTCTCAAGTCCACTACGTGCTTTATTAATAAAGCACGTAGTGGACTTGAGGGTGGACTCAACATTTTTAATACCATACATTTCTTTCTGATTGTATATATGTACAGTATTGTATTGTATTGTATATACGTATGTGTGTGCATGTAGACACTACACACACTCACACAAAACACAAATAAATAATAATGGGAAAATACTTTCACAAATAATCAGAAACAAATGTATATTTATAATGTTGAGTCTACCCTCAAGACTTGAGGGTGGGCTCAAAATTTTTTATACTGTAGGTATACATTTGTTTCTGATTATTTGTGAAAGTATTTTCCCATTATTATTTATTTGTTGGGAAACGAAATAATTGTCCTAAAGGCAAACACATAATGGGAATACCCTGTATGCATTTCTTTGTACAGAAGTAAACATGTAACCCCCGTGGTCAGCAAATGTTATTGGCCATTTTGGGAACCTAACCCGCGAATTTGAAGGGCATGCTGTACATGGCGATAAGTACAGTATAAACCTTTACCTTACTGCTCTCCGTATAATTTTTATTCATAAATCTTGCTACATTTACAAATTTAGTTACAGTAAACCCTCTATAACTTGGCACATATCCCCCCTCCTACAAAAATACAACAATAAAAAATTGTCGACCCATATATGTGTACATGTAATTACTAAATGTAAAAACTAACATTAACCAGCACTGTAGGCAAAGAATGAAGCATCATAATAGGTGACACAGAGCCATAGTAGGTGACACAGGCATGGTAGGTGATGCAGGTGGCCAGATAATTTAATAAATCTCGGCATTTCCCGAGTTATACAAAATACATTCCGAGACCATATCCACGCCGAGTTTTATGAAATTCTGAGTTATCAAATGCCGAGTAATATGAAATTCTGAGTTATCAAATGCTGAGTTATATGAAATTCTGAGTTATTAAATGCCAAATTATCAAGGGTTTACTGCATAAACTACAAATTCAGTGCTATAATTCCCTGGTGTTGAGTAATACAAGTTTATGCCTCAACCTAGCTAGGAAGATAATTGTATACATTTAATCTTTTAATTGATGCCTGATCAAGATCCAACTTAAGTGAAATTGGTCTTTTATAAGTCTTATTCCTATTTCAGGCATTTGTTTACCTCTTCGTGGTCAACAATTTATCACAGTTTGTGGCTATGTACTGTTTAGTTTTATTCTACAAAGCCATGAGAAGGGAGCTGGACCCTATGTCACCACTTGCAAAGTTCTTGTGCATCAAAGCTGTGGTCTTCTTCTCATTTTTGTGAGTATCAGTGTATTACATTTACCAGTAGTCAGATGTTTGTTTATTTTGCTGAGTTAAAATTAATTATGTACAATACTGTTCTGTTTTCCTTTTTAAGAAAAAGTACAGTACAGTAGTACCCCGATTTTGCGGTCAATTGAACCCACAGGGTACTGCGGAAAGTGAAAACCGCGTACGGAGCATATGGGATTAATTCTAATAGAGGCTGGCCCGATCCCCAAACTCCACTTTTCCGACACAATACCTATGTTGTAGTAAAAATAACATCTAAATTTTATGATAGTATGCTCACACAATTAATATTTAAGAGAAATACAGTCGCCAGGTTAATGTCCATTCAAATAATGGACTCAGATCCCCCCCCCCCCCTCTTCCCAGCTCACTGGCCCCTACCTCTCTGAGAAATGATTGGGTGAAACACTAGATTTTAACATTTAGTAATAAATAATACCTCGGACTAAAGTTGGGATAATATAATTGACATTTCTGGATTCCTTGCAGGTCAGGGAATATTTTGAATGTAAACTTCATATATTTTGCACAAAAGATAAAATACTTGCTTTGTGTAAACCAAATTATTACATTAGATCTAAAATTTGTATGTCTAATGCAAAATCCATGATGTTTATATTCAAAATGATCATCATATTGTAAGAATTCCAGCAAAGTAGATTGTATTCTGGTCGAGTAATTTGTATGAATTTTATGAGTTAAAACAAATATCTTCAGTTAATAAAAAAAAAATATATTCTTCACGACACTATCTGTCAATCAATGTACCCCAACTTGCCTCCCCCCTCCTCACACTCACGCCAGCTGGGTCAGTCGTCCCAACCCTCCCCCCACCCCCCACCTTCCCTCCATACCAGAGAAGCTTTGGGAGAAAATAGTATATTTACATTTTTAGTAATAAATAATAACTCAGACTAAAGTTAGGATAATATAATTGACATTTCTGGATTCTTTGCAGGTCAGGGAATATTTTGAATGTAAACTTCATATATTTTGCACAAAAGATAAAATATTTGCTTTGTGTAAACCAAATTATTACATAAGATCTAAAATTTGTATGTCTAATGCAAAATCCATGATGTTTATACTGTATTCAAAATGATCATCATATTGTAAAAATTCCAGCAATGTAAATTATATTCTGGCCTGGTAATTTGTATGAATTTTATGAGCTAAATAAAAAAATAAATAAATTATACTTCACCGCATATATGAGTAGATGCACAGCGGAAAGTGAAAGTCCGGTTCTGGCAAGGTACCGGTTCTGGCAAGGTACCGCGTAAATGAGAAATCGCGGAAAGTGAAACCGTGGATAATACTGTATTTTTGTTTACTGTATATGGTCACTTGGAGGAAAAGGTCTCGCCACATGTAGGTTTATCAGTATTTTCACATGGCATTAAATTGTGGGATAAATTATGATGATATTTTCTTTATTTAATGTCATATCATCTTATTATCTGCCCACATGTCATTCCTTCCATCTATCAGTTGACCTGTCCTATATCTCAAGTCAATCCATCAGTCTGTCCCTCTTATATGTTTTCTGTTATGATTTTTTTCATTAATTAAATTCAAATGGTAATACAGTACTAGTAATGTGTAAAATCAACACATTTGTTATTTATCATCTCCATGTACAGTATGGTATTTTTGAGTTGGTGGTGATGCATGTTGTCTCTGCAGTCAAGGAGTTGCTATCATGTTCTTGATGAAGGCTCAGTTTATGCACGACATATTCCACATAGTAGCTGAAACTGAAGAAGAGAGATTGAAAATTGAACGAAAAGATTCCAGCATTTTACAGGTATTTCTTAGTTTCTATTTTCTGTAATACATGTGATATTAGTGCACCAGTGACAGTTTCTTATCGCTAATATTATTTGTTTTCTCATACTGTATATTAAAGGGATGTTAAAACTATCTTAGTGTAGTACTGTATTTGTTTCATGTACAGGTACTGTAATAGTTTAGTATTTACTGTACTGTACCTTGTTTAATTTAATTTAATTTTTTTTCAGAACTTTTTAATCTGCATAGAGATGTTCATAGCAGCAGTTGCTCACCGCTATGCCTTTTCTTACAAGCCTTATGTTGATGAAGAATATGAAACTGGAAATTGCTGTCATACTTTCTTACTCATTTGGGACATATCTGATGTGCGGTCTGACATCAGAGAACACGTTTATGTTGTTAGTAAGTATAAAACACCATCTCTCTTGTTCACTTGTTTTAATAGTTCATCTGTCATGAAAAAAAAGGAGGTAATAGTGAAGATGATAAAGAATTTATAAATTTTAAAATATGTGGTTGTCTTCATCATGTGCTGACATCTATGTTCCTTACTATTTGTTTCTTTGTCAAGTGTTTAGTATAATAACTTCAGGGGATATGAGGAAAACTTCAACATTAGTACAAACTGAAATTAGTGTCAAGTTTATCCCACAGCACTGGTTGTCTACCTTGACTTCTTAATTTATCAGAGTAGAGCATTAAGAAATTACAGTTTGTTAAAACAATGAGTAGTAATGGATCAGCTGATTGGTTATACTATTCGCCTTTTATTTTAAGCATTTCTGGTTTTATCCCAGGGCACATTTCAGTCTCCTTAGCTGTAAGTTGGTGCCTAATCTTATGATCGAAGTAATGAAGGTAATATAGTGCAGTGCTTTCTCACCCTAATACATCATCATGACTATAGGATGCACTTTCACTAAAGTAAATACAGTTTCATGTAGTTTTGCATACCTGTGTGGATTATTTCAAGTATTCATAGTGGAAACATTTATTAATATTGTTTCCCCATATCATTCTACTGTAGTTACCTTACTCATCCCTCAATTTGTCTATCTTACAGCAATACCCTTGTACACACGAAGAAGTACTGTACTGTAATACCTATGTAAGGACTCAATAAATTGACCCTTTGGTAACCAACTTAAGATGAGAGATATTTTTTAAAGTCTTTTTTATTATTTTTTGGGAAACCTTTATAATTTAAATCATGGTTGAGTTCACAGCAGCAAGTAAGCCATTCTATCAGAAGAAGTATCCTGTGTACATTTATAAGCATAAGCCTCCTGGTCCCTATGTACAGAATGTAATGTATTACTGTACTCATGTATTAAGCTGCTTGCTTAGAACCTGATACAGTATTTATTTATTCTTTTTTGTGATTAGGGACATTTTTATTTATTAGGTATAATATTCAACGAGCTCTGGTTCTATTTAGGTGAAGGTATGAAGCGTCGGTTGACTTCACGTGGAGGTGGATGGCCTGGTGGTGCATCAGCTGTAGGAGGTGTAAATGGTGGTGATGAACACACACGCCTCATTGCTCCTCATGCACACACAGGCTCCCACACAACGCAACGTTACATGTCAACCTCAGATTCTGAGCATGATATTATCATACAACAGGTAATTAAAGAAGGGAGATCATGGTTGTCAGTTGTTGTTAATAGAATAAAGAAGATATTGCAAAGGCATCCATAAAAAAAGATTACATTGCATCTAGATCCTGTATACAGATACATTATGTGCATCATGCTGGATCACACTTTGCATCTTCCAAACATGAAAATTGAATAAGTTCCTCCATCGTTTTTGCTCATCCAGCATTATGTCACACTCCAACTTATTTTTCTCACTCACGGCCAAGAGTTTGATCCTTGTCCCAGACACTTGAGGAGGGTATTATCCAGGGTGACCTTACCAAACATCAAAGGTTTCCCGGTACCTGGTTTCTTCCTGTACTAACACTGGATAGACCAACCACCCAAATGGCTAGTACAGTTAGCTGATAATCTAGGAAAAAAAATAATTTACACGTAGTTACATGTGCATCAGTTCTTTTAGTCACACACCATTTTTCTTCTTACCTATGTGCACAGCTTTTGAAGCACCCTATTTTTATTTCTTAGTTCCAGCATAGTGTTTCTTTTGGGTAAGTACAGTATCCAGTACTGTACTGCAGTACTGTATTTTAAGCCTTCAGGGCTATGAAAAGCAGTTAAGTCTTTGTGAAGGTTAAAAAAAACAAATGACAACAAAGAGCAAATGTTGTTCATAGTTGACATATAGTATTGTGGTAGTGATGGAAACACAACTAAGAGATGGACCTTGATTCCTGACGCTTTGTCACAAAACTTGTGAGAAAACGCCAGGAATAAAGCCCATCTCTTGGTTGCGTTTCCTTCACTACCACATTAACAACAAAATATATTGTGTCTTGGCTGAAACTTACATAATATATTTATGTTGGAATCATATTTAAATAAACTAATTATGGTAATGAAAAATTTTCAGGGTGAAGGGTCCGATACTGAAGACGTTAAGGCCATATGACACCCAAGCACCCCTCGACCTGGCACTGTTGTGTGATGGAAGGGGGTCATTTTGATAATAACCATTATAAGTAACAGTGGAGAGATTTGAAAACTGTCACCAGCAAGGTAGGAGGTACTGTAGTAGAAAGCTTTAAAATAATAAAACTGCCACAGGTTCTCCAAAACTGGTGTTTTGTATTTAAAAAGAGTTTGGTTGCTTTTAACACTGACACTACAGTGATAATTTTAAAATTTGGAAAAAATAAACAAAAACACTTAAGAGTTTGCCCTAGAGTTTAACTTCTTATTGAGTAGAGAGTGAGGCCAAAGATTGTAAAGTACAATACATATAAGCAGAAAATTATTTTTTCCAAATAATGGAAAAATTACAAAGTTGCTCATAACAGCAAGGAGGAAAAGAAATCAGTGCATGAACTTTTTGATAATGTTAAGAAATACCAAAAAACAGAAACAAATTCTGATATTGTAGCTCTTATTATATTAGGCCATAAATGACGTAGTTATGGGTAGATTAAGTAAATGTTTCACAGCTCATTGTATTAATTTGACTCAAGGGAATTTAAAGTTCTTGAAAATTTCTCTCTTACACCTGAATAGAGGATCATAGTATTTGATAATTAGTTAACACTGGAAATTGTATTCCAGGTAAAGCATTAACAATTGATATAATGCTTAGCTATAAGGTAAAGTGTAACTTAAAAATTTTGAGAATTTTTTCCAAAGATATGCTGTAGCAAATTTAACAAAGAAGTCATCACATTTATTAGTATATTAATAAGTATATAATACTTAAAAACAGTGACTAAATTAAATGTATTTCCAATAAACAGTATATAATACTGGTTAAATTTGCACTTGATAAGATAAGGAAATGACATGATAAAGAAAGATATATTTTTCTCCCAGTGAATGGTAATATGGCTTATGTAAACCGATCCCCACACAAGTTGATACATTCACATAATCCTCCATCAGCATGTTCCTTTCTCACTTCTTCTGTTCCATATTCCTTTCTTACTGCTTCTATTTCATGTTCCTTTCATCATTGCTTGTTCCATGTTCCTTTCTCACTGCTTCTGTTTCATGTCCCTTTCTCACTGCTTCTTTCCCATGTTCCTCTCTCACTGCTTCTGTTCCGTGTTCCTTTCTGACTTCTGCTCCATGCTCCTTTCTCACTGCTTCTGTTTCGTGTTCCTTTCTCAATGTTTCTGTTCCATGTTCCTTTCTTACTGCTTCTATTTCATGTTCCTTTCTCATTGCTTGTTCCATGTTCCATTCTCATTGCTTTTGTTCCATGTTCCTTTCTCACTGCTTCTGTTCCATGTTCCTTTCTCACTTCTGTTCCTTGTTCCTTTCTCACTTCTGTTCCTTGTTCCTTTCTCACTGCTTCTGTTTCATGTTCCTTTCTCACTGCTTCTTTCCCATGTTCCTTTCTCACTGCTTCTGTTTCGTGTTTCTTTCTCACTTCTTCTGTTCCATGTTCCTTTCTCACTTCTGTTCCTTGTTCCTTTCTCACTTCTGTTCCTTGTTCCTTTCTCACTGCTTCTGTTTCATGTTCCTTTCTCACTGCTTCTTTCCCATGTTCCTTTCTCACTGCTTCTGTTTCGTGTTTCTTTCTCACTTCTTCTGTTCCATATTCCTTTCTTACTGCTTCTATTTCATGTTCCTTTCTCATTGCTTGTTCCATGTTCCATTCTCACTGCTTCTGCTCCATGCTCCTTTCTCACTGCTTCTGTTCCATGTTCCTTTCTCAATGTTTCTGTTCCATGTTCCTTTCTCACTCCTGTTCCATGTTCCTTTCTCACTCCTGTTCCATGTCCCTGACTCACTTCATTTCATGTTCCCGACTCGTCCCCTTCTAATTTATTCTTCTCCCACTCGTTCCATATTGTGTTTCTCTTGCACTCATTCTGCCTTGGTGTATCTTTACTATATCTTCATTTTAGCTTTGGTATGTGATTGTACTAGACCCAAAGAATGTATGAATGTTATTATTTCAGTTAAAATTTAAAGCGGAGATTAAATTTGCTTCATGTGTTACTTTACATATACGCAAACATAAATATTTAATAGACACACTTGCTTATTAACTAATATATACAGTATCGTCATCTTTAGCAGTTAGGTAGCATGTGGTATTCACGTATTACTACAATTGCACCCAGATAGAATTGTCAGACTCCACTGGTCATGTTTGTAGATATTTGTACTCATTGTCCATATATACTGTACCTAGTTCCTTCTCAACAAGTAGAGGTATCATTTTTTTTTCCTTAAGAATATAAAACATTGTAATGATACTGAACATTTATTTAAAAGACAAAATAATAACTAATATTTTGTGAATAAAACTTTACTGGCTTTTATGTTTAAAAACTTTGTTCAAACATTATACATTTTATTTAATTAAATTTGTAAATTATCTCCATGCTGCACCACAGTAACACTGTAATTGCTCATTGAGCAAGAAAAATTAGTCCGTAATGATTACATGTACTATACGTATATCTATGTAACTGTACTAGTATAGCATTTGTAGCAAAATATCTATGCACAAATCTTGTCAAGTAATAGTCCATACACTTCACCTCAGAGCTTGAGACTGTGTTTGGCTGCTGGTGAACATTTTCTTAGTTGGACAAATACAGTAAGTGGAACTTATGACTGTACCGTACTGTGAGATTGAGATATTAAAAGTGCTATTAAAGGCACAGTAACACAATATAGTACAGGTACCATATATCTCGGCTTATAAGACGGAATTTGAACATTAAAAAAATCTGCCCAAATTTAGGGGGTCGTCTAAACCACCAAGTATAAAATTCTTACCTCTTAAATATTGTGGTTTAGTTTGTCAAGAGTGGTGATGGAAACATCATAAGCCACTCACAAGGTCTTACCACTAATTATTTTATACTGAAACTTACGTTTGGCAAGCTGGATTCAAATTAAGATTACCGGTATATTAAAATAATAAAAATGTATTATAAACCTGTCTAACATACCGTAAAAGAGAATTATACCCCGGTAATAAACACAGCTATCATCACACACCCCTCCCCACGCCCCCCCTATTTGCCAGTGAGGAGACAAGAAAGGGAAAGTGACCGCGAGATTGGGCTATTTTTAGCCATGGAGGTGGTCAGTAATGCATATCGGTATATTTACTGATAATAATAGTTAAAATTTATTTTTTTACAAGGAATATTCAGTAAATAACTGCATTAATTCTTGAAACTACTGACAGTTAAATACAGATATTATACGTCACTAGTGTTTACACTACACCAGCTGGTAACATTTGATGCCATTACTTGAAGTGAATTGGCCTTATTTAAAGTAACTAATATAAATAAATACAAAAAGTAAAAAAAAGATCAAAAGTGAGAAACTGAATACTGTATGTACCGTATATCACGGCCTATAAGACGAAATTTGAACATTAAAAAAATCTGCCCAAAGTTAGGGGATCGTCTAAACCACCAAGTTTAAAATTCTTACCTCTTAAATATTGTGGTTTAGTTTGTCAAGAGTGGTGATGAAAACATCGTAAGCCACTCACAAGGTCTTACCACTAATTATTTTATACTGAAACTTACGTTTGGCAAGCTGGATTCAAATTAAGATTACCGGTATATTAAAATAATAAAAATGTATTATAAACCTGTCTAACATACCGTAAAAGAGATTTATACCCCTGTAATAAACACAGCTATCATCACACACCCCTCCCCACGCCCCCCCCATTTGCCAGTGAGGAGACAAGAAAGGAAAAGTGCATTAATTCTTGAAACTATCGACGGTTAATTACAGACGCTCAAGTGACGTCACTAGTGTTTACACTACACCAGCTGGTAATATTTGATGCCATTACTTGAAGTGAATTGGCCTTATTTTAAGTAACTAACTATAAATAAATACAAAAATTAAAAAAAAAGATCAAAACTGAGAAATAATATACTGTATGTATGTTGTGTTGTCAAAGTAAGAGGAACAATTGTGTAAGTACGTAATATTTTTTCACTCAAATCCTAATGAAACACTACTGGAGAACATTCCTTTGTCGCAAAACAGTTTATAAATTAAAGAAAATAATTACAGTGTGTTTAATATATTACAGTATATTATAAATAAATAAATAAAACAAATAATTCGGTAAATCTATTTAAAGTAAATGGAAAATAAGCAAACATGTTATTTACCAAGACCCTTCCGTCTGGCTCAGGGTGAGATGTAGGGGAGATAAAGAAGGCTATTTATAGCCCATCAGAAGTGGCCAGTACCCTAATGCACCATAAATAATTCATTGAACATTCATTTTTTGTACATAGTATATTCAGTATATATATATATATATATATATATATATATATATATATATATATATATATATATATATATATATATATATATATATATATATATATATATATATATATATATATATATATATATATATATATATATATATGTGTAATAAATGTATGTAGTAAGTACATACTGGTAACCTTTTTCACTCAAATCCTAATGAAACATCACAATTAGAATACGGTGGTTGCTGTTGAACCACATGTTGTATAAATAGTCACACCACCGAGACGAGGGAACACTCCCACCACGCTTCAGTGACGTCACTAGTGTTTACACTACACCAGCGGGTATAATTTGATGACATTACTTGAAGTGAATTGGCCTTATTTTAAAAAATCAAGGATGGTTGGTAAAGGACTACTGAGTCAGTGGGTAAGTGTCACATTTGGGGTACTGGTCTTATACAGCAAATAGAGCTCAAAAGCTACTTTTTAAATGGAAATTTTGGGGGGGCGTCTTATGCACCCCGCCGCCTTATAGGCCGTGATATACGGTATATATATATATATATATATATATATATATATATATATATATATATATATATATATATATATATATATATATATATATATATATATATATATATATATATATATATATATATATATATATTTTGGTCACAATTTTCATGATGCCATGTGGCAGCAGGGTCTACCATTAGACAACACATTATGCTTCCAATATCTTCCCAGGCGGTAGTATCTACCTGTTTGGTAGCTGCCTACTACCTACACAATTTTTAGTGATATTACTTTGTTATATGATAAATTAGACAAACAATGAAAATAAACATCAAATTTAATTACCAAGACGTTTCCCATTGGCAGCTGTAAGAAGAGGGGGAGATGGGCTATTTTTATCCAGTCTTTGTGTCTGAAGTGGCCAGTAATACCATATATTTACTGATCATAATACTTATCTCCTATAAATAATTAATTTAAAATATATTTTTTACATAGAATATTCAGTAATTGACTTTTAAATAAATAAACAAATAATTCGGTAAATCTATTTCAACTAAATGGAAAATAAGCAAACAAATGTTATTTACCAAGACCCTTCCCTCTGGCTCAGGGTGAGATGGAGGGGAGATAAATAAGGCTATTTATAGCCCGTCTTTGTGTCTGAAGTGACCAGTACCCTAATGCACCATAAATAATTCATTTAACATATATTTTGTTGTATATTTTATGTACATATATTTTGTTGTATATATATATATATATATATATATATATATATATATATATATATATATATATATATATATATATATATATATATATATATATATATATATATATATATATGTGTGTGATAATAATAATAATAATAATAATTAACGGTTTATTGAAAAAGTTCTGCAGCCCGAAGGCTGAAAATATACATTGGACATAAATGACTTATTACATACATTGGTGGTTTAACAAAAGCCTTCATTAGAGATAGGTAAAGGAACATACAGTGAACATACAGATTAATGTAGGTGTTGAACAGCAAACACGAAGTGTAGTAACTCTCTCCCAGATGGTGATAGGAGGGACCTGATGTGGTGTAGTAATTCCCTCACAGATGGTGTTATGAGGGGCCTCACGTGTAGTAATTCCCTCACAGATGGTGTTATGAGGGGCCTCACGTGATGTAGTAGTTCCCTCATAGATGGTGTTACGAGGGGCCTCACGTGGTGTAGTAACTCCCTCACAGATGGTGTTATGAGGGGCATCACGTGGTGTACGAATTCCCTCACAGATGGTGTTATGAGGGACCTAACGTGGTGTAGTAATTCCCTCACAGATGGTGTTATGAGGGGCCTGACGTGGTGTAGTAATTCCCTCACAGATGGTGTTATGAGGGACCTGACGTGGTGTAGTAATTCCCTCACAGATGGTGTTATAAGGGGCATCACGTGGTGTAGTAATTCCCTCACAGATGGTGTTATGAGGGACCTCACGTGGTGTAGTAATTCCCTCACAGATGGTGGGGGACCTCACGTGAAACATCAGGAAACTAGTGCGTCTTGGCCCTTGATTGGTCAGGATGTATGTATGTATGTATGTGTATGTGTGTGTGTGTGTGTGTGTATATATATATATATATTTTCAAGTAAATGGAAAAATTTTACTCGACACAGACATTAGTTCCAGTTACCGGTAAATAGCAGACGCTTCAGTGACGTCACTAGTGTTTACACTACACCAGCGGGTAACATTTGATGACATTACTTGAAGTGAATTGGCCTTATTTTAAAAAACCAAGGATGGTTGGTAAAGGACTACTGAGTCAGTGGGTAAGTGTCACATTTGGGGTACTGGTCTTATACAGCGAATAGAGCTCAAAAGCTACTTTTTAAATGGAAATTTGGGGGGACCGTCTTATGCACCCCGACGCCTTATAGGCCGAGATATACGGTAATGCCAGGAATGATTAGGAAATATGAATAAGTACAAACATGTACAGTATATATAAGAAGCAGCAGTGATCATGAGTGGGTGGAGATCGTGGTATAGATTGATTTTGAGGAAGGATGGACTGTTGATAGGTGGTGATGCTGGCTTGTGTGAAACTATGGGTTAGCCCTATTTGGGGCCTTGTTATGGAAATGGGAGCATGGGGAATTATCATAATACAATTTCAGCATTGAGAATGAATGAAACATGATGTATGAAGGGAAAATATGTGCATTTATGTTTATGTGTTTCTACTGCAGTAAAATGAAAAAGACTTAGGAAGAAAAAAAGAGAGTAAAAGGTACTTAGGAACTTGAACCCTGCTGCCCTCTATCAACCTCATTTTTTCCCTCACACTACACTACTGTCTTTCTACATTAATTTAAAGTTTTAGTTATATTTATTTAAATATAAACAGTAAGCATTACATTAAATTCTTAAGCATTTTATTATCATATTATAATTTTAAATTGATACTTGACTCATTTCTCTTAACAGTTTCCAAATAATAGGTGAAATATGTATTGGCCTGAGATTCCT